CCTGCGACGGATAGGTCCGGGGGGGCATCAACGACAGCGGTCTTGCAAGAAACCCCGGTTTAGGCTTTTCTCATTGCGTTGGTGGCACTGAATCCGATGCTGGGCCTGGATATCTACTCTTCGGAGCATTTACAGGGGCAGAAGCACGAAGTAAACTAAGTGCCTCAATCGCAGGCGTCACGAGTACAAGCAGATGCACCCATGATCGATTGCGGAAAGGGCAATTCCTCAATTCCCAGTCTGTCATGCACACTCCCAATGTTGCAGTTGGCAATTTGTAAGACTTGCAGGACGAACAAGTCCAACTACTGCAGGGCACGATGCACACTGATGGATCAAATTTACTCCCTCGTCTTTTCGTCCTGCGTTACGAAGGATCTAACTTTGGCTTGCCTAAAAGGCTAGACTTTTGGCCCTTGCTGTACCTGCATGCATGATAGTTTAGGCCCTGCAGGCACCTCCAGGGGCCAGGAGCTTGCTGTGGACACTATACATGGGACTTGACAAATGTCTTGTTGACGATTTTGGGAATTTGAATTCGAGGCGATGTACGAAGTACCCCATGATCCATTGGGTTGAGGGGTTTCTTCCTCAACTTGCATTGGTAACCGGAAATTCAAATTATCTCCAGCTGACCTCCAGTAAGATGAGCATTTCCACAGGGTCTGGACTCTGAAGAGGGGTCGTCTCGCCTCCTCTTTCTCAAGCTCAACTGTATTTTGTGGAGTCTCACTGCAGGGCCAGAGTTGGGCTTGAAGCTTGAGGTGTACCATGGGGGCCGGACCTGTTCATTCCATCCTCATGGTACCGAGTGGCCGGTCATCACAGCGCTCATCACAGTTCGCCCGTCATCACAATCCCGATGTACGTGCGAACTCTGAAGTAAGAAGTATGCCATCTACGAAGCGTGCCCACCCCATGTACCACCGAAGCATCTTTTCCGGGGGGTTTGTATGTTTTCCCCACATCAACGCAGCAGGGAGTGAATAGAGTTTCGGGTCTGGTCCTTGCTTCCCGCCTGGTCAAACTTGCCAGCTGCTTGTGGTTTTGGAATGTGTGACGAGAAAGGGCTAATGATGGCGATCAAGTTCAAGGCTAGCCGGGTCAGACATGGACGGACCAGACACCGGTCGAGAGACGGATCAACTGATGAGCTTACTAGTATGGCTGCGGGGAAGCGTTGATCAACCTGCCCCTCTTCGACGAACAAAGGGTGAGTGTGAGATAGAGAGATAGAGAGAGTGTGTGGACTCTGTGGAGTGCGTGTGTGTTACATCAAGAGAAAACGAGAGCGATGATCCCTTCCAAGTTCTGAGGGAGAGATGAATAGGCGCCGACTTGCTCCGTGATCCGTAAAATACCCCTCACTTTCGCCATCTCCATGCATCTCGCTAATAATAAAGTGTTTAAGCGTACAAAGTAGGTGCATATGGATGTGGATGATGTGGATGCATCAAAGTATGCTGGCTAGCGCAGGGCAACAGCAAGGACGGACACACAAGCTGCAAATGTGGTGGAGTGTGTAGTGTGTAGTTTGTGTACTTCTCTCATGTTAGCTCCTCACTTTAAAGCCACAGCATTCAAGAGTCCTCCCGAAAACAGAATTGATCGTCAAATTCAAGTCCTGAATATCAAAGCCTTATTCGTGCACAATACGAAAGCAGTCGATCTAAGTTTAGACTTGGACTGCGAAGTACGAAGTATGAAGTACAGAGCGAAAAGCTTCGCATCTTGAGAAACTCCGCTTCTTGCAAATTGGCATGTCTCGAAGATGCATCGTGAGACTGATACCAGCACTTTAACTTACAGTACATTAATAGCGTGCGTGGTTTTCTCTCGACGAGGGAATGCATGTCTTGGACGGTAATTTCGCACATCTGCATGGAAAAATTGCCAGATTCATGATAGAATACAGACCGCCGCTTAGGGAGGGGAGGGCGGCGACACTGAGATGAGAGAGTGACTTATGAAAAAGCAAAAACCCAAAATGCAAAGAGGTGATTCCATGCCACGATGTCAAGCTCCTTGCCCACTCATGACTTTCCTGGGGAAACGATTAGCGGATGTCGGTGTAAATCCCGCGTTGCTTCTTCCTTCCCCGATATGTTCTTTCCTTTTTGACTCGCTTATCGTGGGGAGATTCCCAAAGATGCTACGCTTGCCCACGCACCATTCTCCGCAAGGCACATACGTCGTCCTATCGCCAGCAGCGGGAATGAACTCCATTACTATGTTCGTCCAAGTAGTTCCTGATTTGGTGGAGACTAGTGAAAAGTGTAGGAGGGGGGAGGGTGAGGGGGAGGGACCAGACGGCTCTCACGCATCGAGCAGCACTCCAACGACGTAAGTCCGCATCCACACTAAGAGGGCCGTTTGCTCTACTACACAGCATCAGTTGGTAACGATAGCTCTTCTTCACGGACCTGTCGAGTGTGCCTGCTTACAAAAGTCCTACACCATCATCGAGCGCCTTGCCCGCTCCGGAGCTTGTCTTGCAATCCCATGTAACCCTCCCAAAGTCAGTGCCCTCTGACATCTATCCACAAAATACCAGATGGCGTTCCCATCATCAGAGAAGGTGGGACAGACGGCACGGGCGTTCTGCCAGCATCACGGACACTTTGCTTCCATCATCAAGTGGCATGGTTCAGATCTGGCCCCATAACTCCTAGTATTACGTATTGCCTCCACGCTTATCCCAATCCATGAAGAGTGTCCCCATCCAAGTAAAGGCCGGAGGTCGAGCCAACGGCTACCGGCACAACGACGCGCGGGGCGGTGGGACATTGCCCCCTCTTTCCCCGGACTTACAACTCCCAAGCTCGGCTCACCGCCCTCCCTGGACGGCCCTCTTTAGCCGTGAGGTCGTCCGATTTGGGAAATTTAAACTCGAACCGTTTCCTCGCTATCTGGGTCGAGCCTCGACTCATCAGCGGAGCACAAAGATAGTGGAGGAGGAGAGGGGAGGGCCAAAAGGGTCGAGGTGGAGATGGAGGCTTTAAGGTTGTGGTGGAGTCTCCTTGCTGGGCTGAGAATCCAACCCTCTTAATGGGAGCGTGAAGGGGTGACTCCCTACTATTGGACTCTCTGGCTCGTTGTGGGAACACGTAGGTTAGTGTTCGGCGTTTCTTAGAGGTGACGATTTTATGCTTATCAGCTCTTTTCGTTTCACCTGCTCCATACCAGCGCCCGCTGTGAAGGTTATGCTTTTAAAGTTCGAACGAGGTTACAATACAGGATATACGGCTCAACACATAAGGTTTTCGAAGTGGATTACCATCCGACGTAGCAAGCTGATCCTCGATTCAACCCCCTTCAACCCCCCCTCCACATGGGAGGTAAACCAGCTCCATGTATCCATTGTATCGTGAACGTTGTGGGGAAATTCCTACCGGTAGAGGATACTTGGACCTTCCTTGGTCCCTATATTTGCCATCTAGAGCACACGAGTCGGAGGAATCTGGGGAGGTTCCCAGCTGAAAGTTGGAGCATCTCCACGCCATCTGAAACGACGAAATCGCAAACCTTGCCGTAGTTGATAAACTTAGACAGAGGAGAGTACATACAGGACACCAACTTAACACACCAACTCCAAATCTCTAGTATGTTGCTACCCGTAAATAGCAAGAATGCAGGTGCCCGTAAAACCGGGCAAGCCAAAAAGGCTGGATGTACTGTCTTTGCTTACGGCGATGAATGGGTGTGGTGACGAGACGTTGGAATCTCACGCCTTGTACGTCACTGGTGTGGTTCCCAGTGTTTCAGGACGAGTTAATGCTTGTGTGATGCTGACAGGTAGTCGGCAGTGGAAATATAGCTTCAAATCTCTTCTTTGTGTCCAATGTGACGTTCCTCTCTCCGCATCGAAATGCCATGTTTGCCTGTGACCGCTCCATGCCTGGCTTCGGAGATGCAGGATGTGAGCTCGTTTGAAGGGCGCGCCACTTTGCCAGCCAACACACGCTCTACTATGATCTCTCTGACGTCATTCGCATCGAGGGGTTCAGGAGGTGGCAAGATTTACTCCCTGGCCTTGAACACTTCATTCGTCCCATAGGTAATAGGAGGTAATGGTGGGTTACAGCTTATCCGGACGCGGTGTTGGACAGAAGCCGCCGGGGATTCAGCCATTTCAGTCCAACACTGGCGGAAGGGATGCCGGTTCTGAGGTCGACATGCTGATATAACCCATCTCCAACGGAGGCCGTCGGTTTTCCGAACGAAAGGTCCGTCTTGGAGGCTGGAGCTTACACTCCACATGGTCACGAAAACAGGCGCAAAGTGCTTTGGTGCGATATCGTACATGGCTTTGTTTCTTTTTTTTAATACTAACAGTATTGTACAACTAATCGTACAGTAGCCGATGATAGCCTCCTTCCTCTCCCCGTCCGGTTATACCATGCATCCAAACGAGCTCATGGGACCTAACCATGATGAGGCCCAAAGTTCTTGCTGCCATCTTCTAGATGGGCTCATGTATGACCCTAGATCTTGGTCAATACATGACCACCACACCCAACAACCGAGGATATACGTCCTCTTCTTTCGCTAAATCAATGTCCCAGTCTGTCTTAGTCTGCCATTGCATCACCCCAGACCTGCAGCTGCCCCAGAGCCGGCCGGCGGGCAGATATGGGCCATCCATGCCGTACATGACCAGGCTATCAATCGGGCGGAGGCGTTGGCAATCATCCAACGAATGGGTATTCTCAAAGCTTCCCCGCAACCCCCGAAAAAAAGAGTGTAAAAATGAAAGACCGAATACCATCAACGTTATGCTGAAAGGGAGGGTGAGCGGGGAGAGGAGTTCGGTCAGAAGTGAGCGATGTTAGCCAAGGTCGGCTTCGAGGGTCCTCAACATCTCCTCAGTATGCGGTCAGCCAGCCGCCCTGAAGCCCGGCCTGTCAACCCCGTGGGGAATCGGGGAAAGGACGGTTTGTTGTAAGGTTGATACGTCGTCCTCCCCTGTAGTATCCCCATAGCGACAGCTAACCTCGCTCTTACATCGTACCATCGGGTTCACCGGGAAGACGCTCGGCTCTCTTCTGCTGCCAATCATCGAGGTCCTTGTCCGCTCTCAATCTCTGCAACATTACACATATTTAGCCCAGAGTTTTCTCACGCATCTCCGCGAGGAGACAAGGCCACAGAACCCAAAAAAAAACAGAGGTGAGCCGTTGTTCCTTACCTGGTACTCATCCCTCCAATCCACCTTGCGCGGGTTCTTGCGCACATTCAACTCCTCGTCCCTCGTCATCTGCTTCACCCTCCTATCGTGCTTCTCGTACCGAATGGCCGTGGCACGGGTCAGCACAAACGACCCGGCAATGATGATAGTCAGAAACGGCAGGCCGAAGGTGAGGAAGGGGTGTTTGGCGATGGCGCGACGGTACTTGGCGGCGCCGGAGTTGAGGTCGGCGGCAGACCGGTACTTTTTGGAAGTGAAAACGGCCATATCTTTCTTTCCCTCTCTTCGATCCCTCAGGGTAGGTAGCTTCGGTTCAGAAGGCAATAAAACCTTTTTGGTTCTTGTTTGATAATTGAACCAATATTTGAGAGCAGACGGGAGGCGGCGTGTGAGGTTGATTGGGTGGTGGTCTGTTTCGAGAACACGAAAAGCCAAGGACGCCGTGAGCTTTTTGGTCGGTTTGTTCGTGGACTGATCAATTGGGACGCGGGATCGACGTTGGTTTTGCTTGGGATTCGGAAATCTGGTGATTCGATGAAGCGTTTTCCGTTTGGCTCCCAAAATTAGTACTCTGTACTGGGCAAGTGGGGCGAGTACAAGTCAAAAGGTAGTTCACTTCATCACAGCTGCGATTACTTCGTACTCACGTCACAGAGTAAAACCAGAGAAGCTGGGTCGAGTGGAGTATCATGTGGGAATTGTGTTTAAACACCGTGTAAAGAGCTGTTTCCGGTAGTGGCCATAGCAGGGAGTTGGAGACATCCAACCAACCAGAGACGCTAAATGCAGATCATAGAACAGTGCCGATTTACGGTTGCAGCGGCTGCCTGACAATTCTAACACGAGAACCACAGCTTGGGCGCCCCAGGACAATGAAGAGCAGGGGGCGCTGCCTCGGTTCCAGATCATCAAATTGATCCACCCTCACCATCGATGCAATCAAGAAGCCAAAGCACGCTGCAGATCCTTCCAATGCAATAGGGCGATGGCTATGAAGAAGGGGAGCACCCGTTTTGGCACAAGAAAAGCCGATGAACGACGGAATCGATGAAAGAGGGCAACAAACCTCTTCAGTTGGGCTTACCTGATTGCTGTGTGTAAAAGTGTCTGCAAGGCTTGTAGCTTGCTTGAAGCTTACCTCAATGCCTTGATCAGTTAGTTACATGCTGTGTTGCCCGAATGAGATCCTAATGCGCTCTCCCAAACCTCGTCCAAAGAAATCATATGTTAGCTCGTACAGCAGATCATACCTGCAGCTTACGACGACCGCCAGGCTCCGACGGAAATGTCGGCGACGAGCGAAGAACATTCGAAAAGGGCTGGGCTGATGCGCACCTGCATGAGGGACGAGCGATATTCATCCGTACAGGGATACGGACTCGGGACGAGCTGCAGCTTGGGAGGGTTGGGAAGGGGGAGAGTGTGCCTAAGCGTCCAGGATCAATTGATACCCATCACTGATAGCTCGGACTTTATGCTCCAGTCTATTATCAGTTCAATGTTGCGACTTGTCCCAGCTCCTCCTCCTGTTGCACCTTTCCGACTTCGTACTTCGCCGTTGATATCGATAGCGCCCTTGTTATCTAGCTTGAGGGGACTGGAGCGGGGTCCGTGTCTGCGGGGAAACTTCGCACAGAGAAGACTGCTAGGTTGAAGCACGGGTGAGCTTGTTGGGCGTGTGCGAAGTAGCGTAAGAGATCATCAAGTTCTGGCTGGTTGGCAGCGGCTTGTACCACCCCCTCTCCCAGAATGTGCCGTCCACGCCCATCAATACGACCCAGTTCCACGGGCGAGCCCATGCCAACTCCTTCGTAACACGACTTTAACACGACCGCCTCCACAGCTGCGACTCTTGTTTCGAAACGTCAACACCGGCAAAGCGAGTGCTCATAACAACCAGGAATGCGGCTACTAATACGTTACAGAAATCCGGAGGGACGATAAAAGGTATTACCTAGTTCTTTCTTGTCTTAGCCAAATCTGGGGACCCGTCCGGATCTGTGATGCCGTCCGGGTCGATGCTCAACGCTGGTTATCTTAGCTTGGTTTTTTTTGGGCGTAACTTATTGGCACAGCTAGCTATATCTCGACTAGACTTACGATTCAGGATCCTGGAGATGGTGGGCCGGAACCGCATCGGTGAAGGTGCCGGTTGAAGCTACCCTACCCTCTACCCTGGTTCCCCTCTTTCTACAAGCTGTCTGTGGTTCTGCTTTCTGTCAAAGATCCTAGCTAAGCTCATACGTGCTTATAACAACTACACCACTTCGTACGAGGAGAGACCTTGCCAACCCTCCCATGGATATGGTTTGTTTCCACATGGCGTGTTCCTGTTTCTTGGATTTCCCGCAATCAATTCCCACACCCTTCGGTTATGCATCCTCCCCATCCACTCCCCTCCACTCCCTCTCGTTTTCTCCTGTTGCTCCTCCTGTCCACGGATGAAAAAAGGGTGTGTGGGTTCCTGTCAAGGATATGCATCTGCGTTCGTAACCGCAGCAGCAGTGGTTTTCACAATCAGTCATATCTGTCAAGTCAATCCTGCTAAAAACCGAGAATCCGAACGCTTTGCCCAACTCGGTGCCCACTGGCCTTCTTGTCGTCGTTCGGTGCGCGATTCACTCACCCAAACTATTATAAATATCATAGCTTCTTCTTCCCCCTTTCGTCCTCCTCTTTCCCGGGTATAGTTCCTCTACAGTAGATCACAAGCTCTCTCTAGACCAGAAAAGACAACGCCTCCCCCTTTTTTTAAGCTTTGGATTTCTCCATATTTCCCCTCTTCTTCCTCGTGTTAGCTTGCCTCTAATCGATTACGTCCCAAGCTACTCCCCCTCGGCGCAGCTTTGCTATTCGCAGACAGCTCTTTTATTATCTCTGATGCAATTGAGGGTAATCAGCCTCTCTTGACTTTCTATCAAAGAAAGCTATTCTGTGTCTTCAAGAATACTCCTCGGGGGGTCCCCAAGTGCCTCTTGCCCTTCTTTCTCTTCTCTTCTTCATCAATTCGATTTGAAAGAGAAGACCTCTACGTCTTAAGATCGAGACAATGACATACTACTGCTCCAACTACTATGTACGGGCGGCTATCGCATCCATCAACCCTTCCCCGAGCTTATCAACGACGTTGACCGTGTCTGACACTTGCATTGATGCCTACATATAGGGCTCCATCCAATGCCGTACGACGGTGACCAGGTTCGGAGATCGATGCAAGCTCTGCACTGTAAGTCGCCATCTTTAGTTTCCTCCCCTCTCAATGCTGCACCCCTCCTCCATCATCCTGCTGCTTCTTCCAAAAGCGTCGAGATGGCAAGGGAACAACCCTCCCTCCTCTCCAACCCCCTGTCCCCTTCCGAAAAAAAAATTGAGATACAGAAATAGTAACCAAATTCTTCTTTTCTTTTCACTCAAATCAGGTGATGAGAGTCGGTGCGTCGATGAGCTACGGCTTGCTACCCGACGACATGTCCAATGGCGGGATGCATGAAACCAAGAGCGCCAACAGGGATCAGGTAAACGATCGAACCAGAAGAGGGGAAGAGAGGAGGATGGTGAAGTAAGCTGCATGAGCCGATGGATGGACCGGTGAAATGCGGACTACGGCGAAAAGAGAAGGAGAAGACCCAAGAATTTAGGCAGGGACTTGGTCGGGCTGAGGACGAAGAAGGGGAGCGGTTGTGTCAAGTCGGGTTGAAAGGAAACATCACAACTCAAATGACGAGTCGAAAAAGTGCGGGACACTGCCGAAAGGGAACGACGGGACAAACCACGGGAAATGGACAGGACGGACGGACGGACGGTTGGTTCCTTTTTTTTTTTTTTTCTATCTTTTTATGATTGATCTCTTGCATTTGGCGCATCCATTTTGGGGGGGATACATTATTCTAATTGTAACTAATGGTCATGGTCATACACGCATTTGATATCTTTTTAATGGACATTGATATTTCTCGCAACATAATATCTGTTGATCTCGAGATTTCTTCTGCAACACTTGCTGTAAATCCCTCCATCGGTTGTGGTCCCAATCCACCTTTGATGTTTCTGTGATAAGGACCTGACTGCTACCCTTCTTTCCTGACCTGTGAAACCAATCATCACCGTTCCTCTTGATGCCTGATCTGACTAGTGAATCGACTTAGTCTTCATATTGTTCATTTCGTGTGCCAATATTCCCTAAAACAAATAAACTCCGCCCATAATATATATACCCTATGCATTCTCCACTCGCCCAAGACGGGCCAAGGGAGTAGTCCTAGATCGACGATCCGAAGATGGTTGATTCAGTCCGAATCGGAGATGGTCGATAACCGTTCTGTGTACTACTAGATAGTAGTTTCACCAAAGTCGGCGCTGATACGCCGGGCCCTCAACGTGGGACAGCCTCTTAATCTCCTCCTTGATCAGCCGCCTGCGCTCAGCCCTACTGACGAGACTCTGGTCATCCGCGAGGGGATCGGGGTTCTTTTGGTTCTTCTCGAGCTGCTGCTGTAGGTTTCTTTCCCTCTCCGTGAGAGGCTCCTCCGGTTCCGGTGGCCGTCTTGTCTCTCCCTTTCGCAGGGGGCCAAATACATCCACCTCCACTTCCACTTCAGCAGGGCTATCTTCTCCCCGGGAAGGTGTTGTTTCGGGAACGACCTCTTCGGTGGGTCTTATCTCGACAACAGCTGCTGGCCTGCTCCTCTCTTGTATCGGTACAACGTGGTCGTCCGCCAGAATAACAATGGTACCGTCCTCCAGCTCTGTCGTCGTATGCTTGAACCTGTCGGGCAGGTAAATCTTGGGCGAGGGTTTCGGCATCTTGATACCCTGACGTATATCTCGCAGTGTTCGTTGCTGGATCACACAGCCGCTGATGAAGAGGATGCTAGTAAACAGCAGGACTAGGTTGGCAAAAGAAACGAGGGACCTTTCATGTTAGCTTTTCTAAACCAACATCTCACGAGTAATACGGGGCTTGTTCTGTTTGCGAAAACGGGAAGCCGCATCGAAAAGAAAACACGGCATTTTGTTTTTGCAAACAAAAAATTCCGGGAGATTGAAAGAGTGGGGATTAGTTTGTACGAACACATTGCGGATGTGAGGAGGATAGTTGCTTGCGAGGACGTGAAGAGGAGGGTTCGCCATGGATGCGGCTTCCCTCGCCTTGCGCTGGGGTATCTGGGTTGATACATTTTCTGTGCCGTTTGCGACGGGGACTTTTGTTTGACAAAGGGCCGCGATGAAATCTTCTTTCTGAATCTCGATACAGGCGCTTTTTGTCGATGCGAATCAATGGATTAGAAGTGTCGTACTTGTATTCCTCGAGGGGTGTCGTCCCATGACGCATTTACGAGACATGAGGAGTGTTGACGGGCATAAGTCCCTGTTTACTTGGTTCGCGGGGCAACTATCGATAAGCCACAGAGACGAAAGTCCAACCCCACCAATCTAAGAATCCAGGACAATTGGAAGCTTTGAGAGCTTCAAGCATTTTACAACTCCCTCCCTCGATTACACCCAGAAGCCAGAGCTGTCCGAATTAATCGAGAGTTTTACAAAACAATCCAGAAATAAGCCCATAAAAAGCAGCACACACCCTAACATCCGTCAACCATGTCCAAACGACGCGAAACCGTCGACGCCGACGAGCGCCGCTTCATCGACGAACGCGGCTCCTCCGCCGCCCTCGCCCCCAACGGCCTCAACCCCTCCACCATAATGGAAAAAGCCGTCCGCGACCGCATAATCGACTCCTATTTCTACAAAGAGCAATGCTTCGCGCTCAACGAAGCCGACATCGTCGACCGCGTGGTCGAGCACGTGTCCTTCATCGGCGGCACGTACGGCACCTCGCAAAAACCCACGCCCTTCCTGTGCCTCGCGTTCAAGCTTCTGCAGCTTGCCCCTTCGGACGAGATACTAGCCGAGTACATTGGTCTAGGCGGGGAAGAGTTCAAGTACCTGAGGGCGTTGGCGCTGTTTTACGTAAGGTTGACGAGACAGGCGAAGGATGTGTATTTGGCGCTGGAGCCGTATTTGGAGGATTATAGGAAGCTGAGGAGGAAGGGAAGGCAGGGGGCCGCATTGACGTATATGGATGAGTTTGTGGATGATTTGTTGAATAAAGAGAGGGTTTGTGGGACGAGTTTGTGGAAGATGCCGAGGAGGGAGGTGTTGGAGGATTTGGAGCTTTTGGAACCGAGGTCGATGAGTGACGTGGAGGCGATGCTGGAGGAGGAGGAGGAGGAGGAAGAAGAAGAAGAAAGGGAAGAGGAGGAGAGGAAGAGGAATGGGAGGGATTCTACGTCGGAGGGTGAGGTTTCAGATAGGGGCTCGGACCGGGGCGACAGGGATATGGATCGAGGTCCGAGATCGAGATCGTGGAGTCGGAACCGCAGTCGCAGTCCCTCGTGAAATGGGTGCTGCGGGACCCGGTTTACCGGCTCTTGAAAATAATCCTCACTCTGGCGATGCTCTTTCGTACCGGGGCCAGAAAGCGAAGGATGGCCGTACATCTAGGGGGAGCCTGTGAAGGTGACACTTCGACTACCGGACTTCGCAAGGCGGTCACATCATCTGAAGAGTCTAGGTCAAGACAAGAGGCACAGAAAATAGCTAGGACAATATCCTGAGAGCTCCGCTGTTGTCTATTACAAGAGCCATGCTTTTCTTTAATGATACCCATACATAAATATATATACAAGGAGATCTGCCATCTATCTTGCGATGCCAAACTCCGTTCATCTCCGATCGCGATATTGTAACATACATCTATATCTTTACAGGTAGACGCTGCGACAGCTCGTGAGCAATAGCAAGGACCCTCGCGTCATCCCAATACTGCCCAATCAACTGCAACCCAGCAACCGGGCCGGTTTCCGGCGTCGCTCCTTTCACAGGAACAGGAATGCTAATGGCAGGCAAGCCAGCAAGACTAGCGGGCACGGTGAACACATCATTCATGTACGAATCCACGGCTGTCTGGTGCTGAATATCCCCAATCAACGGCGGGAAAGTCGGCGCCGTGGGACAGAGCAAAAAGTCCACCTGCGCCGGCCCCTTCTTATCCATCAACGCGACGTCATCATCCATGTCGCTCAGATCAAACGGCTCGTCGTTCTCGTAGAGGGGGTTTGGCAACTTAAACGCCCTATCAAAGTCCCTCTGTACGAGCCTGCGCACCTTTTGCGCCTGGATAAAGAAGTTGTCCATCTTCTCGGAGCTGAGACTGTACGTGCCTAGGAGAATGCGGCGCTTGACCTCGTCGCCGAACCCTTCCCCGCGAGTGTGCGAGTAGAGGACCTCCCCGGCGCCGTCACTCGCTTCCCCACGCGTTCCGTAGCGCACGCCGTCGTACTTGGCGAGGTTGGAGGAGGCTTCTGCCGGTGCGAGGACGTAGTAGGCTGGTAGGGCGACTTCGGTGGTGGGTAGGCTGACGGGAGCGATGGTGGCGCCCCATTCTTTGAGGAGGGACTCGGCTTCTTTCCAGGCGGCGTGGATGAGGGGGTCGAGTTCCTTGATGCAGTATTCTTTGGGAATACCGATGGTGATGGCGGCGCGGGAGCGGGGGGACTTGAAGTGGTTGTCTAGGGGGGTGGGATCGTTGTTGTGGCCATGCGTCTCGGCGCATCGTTTTCGAGATTCCTCCGTTAAGGAAGTGGGATCGCTGGGGTCATGCTCGCGAATCAGCCCGGAACCGATGACGAGATCATATATGCTCCTCACATCCCTTGTAAGTAACCCCACAGTATCCAGCGAATTCGCATACGGCACAACCCCAAACCTCGAGACCATGCCATAAGAGGGCTTAAACCCCACAGTCCCCGTATAGGCAGCCGGCAAGCGAATCGAACCCCCCGTATCCGTACCCAGCGCCACGTCGGCTTCGTTTAACCTCACAGCTACGGCGCTGCCTCCCGAGCTACCGCCTGCCGACCGGGGCGGGCCGACCGAAGCAAAATTGGGATTGGCCACGGGGCCGTGGACGGAGTTAAGGGAGTGCGAGCCCATGCCGAATTCGTCCATGTTGGTCTTGCCGACGAGGGCGCCGCCGCGGGACCGGAGCTGGCGGACGATGGTGGCTTCGAACGGGGATTGGTAGGTGAAGAGGAACGGAGAGGCGCATGTTGTTGGGGAGCCGAGGGTGGCGATGTTGTCTTTTACGGCGAACTTGAAGGTGGAGGAGGCGGGTTGGAGTTCTGGCGGGACTGTTGCGCGGTGTATTTAGTATTCAGGAGCTGGAGGGAAAGGACGGGAGACATGGTGGTGTTAAGAGGGACGGGGCCATACTCTTATGGACGAAGTGGTTTGTGGAGAGTGCGCGCCATTGTCGGAGGGGAAGAGAGGAGGGTCGGCATAATTGCGCCGGCGCGCGGAAAACGCGAAGACGGGTGGGAATCATGTGGCCATGCGCAATTGGCCTTGACGAGTGAATGTTGGGCCGAACTCGAAGGAAGAGAGGTGTGATGAGACGATGGTGGATGGCTGCAACGAAAAGTCACTTCCAGCTTGGTTCAATGCAATGACGTCCGCTCTGACAATTGGTGGCTCCACCAGTAAAAATTCCCCTGGGGTCTGGGCTGGGCTTGGCTAACACCTTCTGTCGCACGACTCACTGGACAAGGACGGACTAATCATAGTTTAGATACTTCGTAGACCCTACCAAGACTCGACCAAGTGCATTGTGCAGGAGCAAACGACCCACACCACAAATCCGCAACTTATCTCCAACATTGAACCCTCTCTGTGACCTTGTTATAGACCAATAACAGCTCAGCTAAACAAGAGATTAAGCACTTCGGCCCGTATAGCTCAGTGGTAGAGCGCATCACTAGTAGAGCTAGTGAGATGATGAGGTCCCTGGTTCGATCCCAGGTGTGGGCAGTGATCTTCATTTTTGCCCGTCTCTTCAGGCTCTTCTTTTATTCCTCTCATACTTTTTTGCCCCTCTCTTTTTCAAATTTTCGAGACGGACTCGTCGGATCCCATATCTGGTCCCTCCTGAGAGGGTCTAAACCAATGGAACTCAGTCATTCACGGCCTTGTGGCCTAATGGTAAGGCGTTAGATTTCGGCTCTAAAGATTGTGGGTTCGAATCCTACCGGGGTCGTTTGACAAGTTCATTTCTTTTTTTGGCTTCCTTTTCGAGGATTCCAAAATCGTCTGGAATTTCTGCCCTTCCTTTTTGCTTTTTCCTCGTCCCTCGCTCGACACGGAGTAAGCACGCCAACTAATATAAAACAAAGACATTCAAGACTCGCGGTCCTGTATTTATTATTTATTGATGTGTTAATTACATGCGCATTTCCATCGCCGGCTCCCGACTTTTTCCTTTTGTGTGGAACGACACCATTGCAGGTCCGAGAACAAACTGGGTCACGAATGCGCCCCCTGGGACCTGGTCGAGGAGCAGTTTCGTGACCTTCGAAGATCCGAGATTAAGGATGTTGTCAGAGGCTAGAACGATATTCATGCGCGAGCCGGAGGACAAAGGAGTGTTACTCCTAGGGGTTATATTTAGCTGTTTCAATAAACCGTAGACCGAAAAATGTCCTTTCTTCCGCAAGCAGCCTTCGAGAGTCGAGTTACCTTCTCGATTCCCTAGGTTAGCAAGGCATCCATCCATACGACAGGATAGGAGGGCCCTTTCTGAATGATCGGAGAGTTCAGTGTTGTATTGGGGGAACTCTTGGAGAATTCTCAAGTTCAACTTTTCAGTCCTCTTCGATTCTCAACTCCGGGTCCTGGCGGGCTTCTATATCCCTGCCGTTTTACACGCAATGCGCAACTCAAAGTCGATGATAGCAACCGAACCAGCCAGTCCAAGGGCATGACAAGACGCTGAAAATAGGAGTTGTCATAGGCGGACTTGCATATTTCCTTCTTCAGCACTCCCTTCCACAATCTTGTTCTCGAGGTGTCTGTACCTTCGTAGGTGGATTAATAAGGAAAGAGCAATTGGGGTATCTGTCGATCAACTGTATCCATCAAAACTTTGGATTTCTTGAGCCTCGAAACCTGGATTCAATATGTCGCACGGGATTTTCTGCGCCCATGTAACCCGCCGTTGCTATAACAAGCCACTTCGATCGGCCCCATCCAACAAGCACATTCGGTGACCAAAGCCCGTATAGCTCAGTGGTAGAGCGCATCACTAGTATAGCTGGTGAATGATGAGGTCCCTGGTTCGATCCCAGGTGTGGGCATCACCTTCAATTAATCTTTTGCCATTTGCTTCCTTTTTCTCATCTTTTCCTTTTTCTTTTTCTTTTGCTTCTTACATCTCTATTTTTATCCTTTATCCTCTATATTTCTAGTGTTGTTCGACATATATTTATTCATGGTTCTTTGGTTCGACGGATCCAGCCTGCATCAAGCGTGGCCAGCCTGCATCAAGCGTGGCCAGCCTGCAACAATCGAACTTGAATCGCTCTCCTGGTCTGCGGCCGCCCAGGAAAACGACATTAGGATAATCGTATTATTTACAACAAGATATCTTGGAGGTCTAAGTGTGCGCAAACATCCATCCTTTCCTCGGTCCCCTCTCAGAATACCATCCAACAATCGACAGCCTCTGCCTCCATTGGAACAAGATACCTCGCTTGTAGAAACAAGCAGCAAAGGCCTTTAGCCGTCATGCGAGCTACCTTCTTCAAAACGGATAGTGCGTTGGCTTCGGCGTACGGATCGTCGGGCACTAAGTAGTAGTTTCCAAGCGAAGTTAGCCAGGGACGTTCCCATTTTTTTCTTTCCTTTCAAGAATGGCGGCTAACACTTACACCGGACGTATTTCCGCCTCGAAGGGAACACATTTCTTGTATGGTATTTGAGAGACCGAAAGCCATGCGCGGGAAATAAGTCCATGGTGTTGTGAGGTTTTGATGGACTGTCCGTCTAATGACGAAAACAAGAGAACTAACACGCGAAGATTTTGGGGGCGCGACTTGGTGATAGATGGTTTAGACGGGACCGCGCTGGAAGGAGGCGAACGCCCAGAGATGGGACGTCACAGCTGATGATCTCGACTCCGGACAAACTCCTTAGCACTCGGGCACATTGAAATGCTTTGGATATTGCCGGGAATATTGAGGGACGTTGAATGAGGAGTTTTCAGGAACTACGACAGTCGCGTCTCTCTGATGACGGGGCTATTTTTAGTGAAATAGAGAGGTCGCTTCGTCACCCGCGTTCACTCTGTGTTAGATCGCGAGCGAAGTATTATCTAGCTGATCGTACAAATAAAGCATAGCCCTGTTTGAGGTATGACAGACAATATAAGGCAGAATATCAGCGCGTTGAGAGCCGTAAGAAACAAGTGGGACTCCAGCTGAGATATGTATTTGAATCCACGATTTTACCTGATGGCCTCCCAAGACTAACACTGTCTGTGCTAGATGGCTTCGACATCTGTAGCGTCTGAGAGTAAAACCTGGTTCTGGCTGTCAATAACTCACCCCGGGAAGGCATTCGAGAAGTTAAGGCAGCGTAGAGTAAAGGGAATTGTGTCTAAAGCGATGAGTGCGTGAGGACGGTATTGGCTCAGCCGTCGATGTTCTGTCATCCATATACATTGTGTTGAGGCAGAGCTTCGGGGTAAGGTTGGGGAAGCCGGAAAAGCCAGTGACATGTCCATCTATGTGTGCCACGTTGTTCTGAGGTGATGCTGTGTTGTTGTTGATGACTTGGGGGCCTGAGGCCTTTTCTTCTTTTATTCTTTCTCTCTCAGAGTCTGTGAGATCAACTCCGGCCCTCTCAACGCAAAATAACGTTAAGATTGTTGGCGAGCAGAGGTAAGAGTATATGGAGAAAAGTCCGAAACAATTATCTTTTCCACATTGCTCATTTACCTTTCAAGTGCCTCGCCCAATGAAAAAGACCATGGTCCAAGACTCGATTTCGTCATTGCGTGACAGCAGCACCTTGCAAGACTAACAGTTTCGAGCGCGATTACACCTCGTTGGTAGAAACCTATCGGCTGGAAGAGAAGGTCCTGAGACTTTTTGTGGAAAAACATTCCGAAATAATTTGCTTAATAGCACAAGAGTTCTTCGTCTTTACTTCCAATGTAAAATGACGAGTGTATTTCCATCGTCCTCTTGGAGGGTGCTGTTCCTCGAGTGCCTCGCTGTTGGGCTCATGATTCGATATCTGCAAAGGCCTGGACTTGTTCCTGGGGCCGCTTTTCGGCAACAGGCTCCAGACACCCTGATGGTCTTCCATTTACACTGTGTCAGCAATGTACCTCCCCACCCTTGTCCCTCCAGAAACGGTGGTCTGTCACGTGTGTCACGGGATGGCACAGTGCATGTCCTTGTTCTGACTGTTTCCGCCAACCACCGTCATTCTCTCCGTGTTAGCGTCATCGATCGTTATCAGCGAGCCGCTCGTGGATATGCTTTAACTTTAACTACTTCGCCTCTTCACCACCAAGGTCTACATATCCCTTCCGAGTCTTCTTCTATATCGACACGCAAATACACCTTCGAGACTGTTGAGCATCATGCTGCGCAAGTACGGCACCCTTCTCTGCGGTGCCGTCGCCGGCATCCTGCAGGTTCAGGCGGAGCAGCCCGGAGCAGCGAAGCCTGAGAAAGCTGAGCTTCGTGACCTGCACTGGGGTCAGCTCAACTTCCTTCATACTACGGATACGCATGGCTGGCATGCAGGTCATCTTCAAGAGTACGTATAGTCGAACAAACTGAGAAGAAGGCGGATATGCTTCTTTTTCCCACTACCAGTACCCTCTTCTAGGCAGCAGCGGCGACTTTGAGGGAGCCCAAGACTAACGTATACCTTGGTGTTCAACAGAGCCCAGTATTCCGCCGATTGGGGAGACTATGTCTCGTTCGCCCATCACATGCGACGAAAGGCTGATGAACGTGGCGCCGACCTCCTCCTTGTTGACACCGGCGATCGGGTAGATGGCAACGGCCTCTACGATGCGTCCGATCCCAAGGGTCTTTTCACATATGACATCGTCAAGGGGCAAGACATCGACATCATATGCAGCGGGAATCACGAGCTTTACGTCGCGGAAACAGCCCGGCAGGAGGTCACGCGCAATATCCCCAACTTCAAGGGACAATATATTTCCTCCAATCTCGACTACATCGATCCCAAGACTGGGAAGCAGGAGCCCATGGCCCGACGATATAGAAGATTCAAGACCAAGAATCAAGGCATAGATATCGCCGCATTTGGATTCCTCTTCGACTTCACCGGAAACGACAATAACACCGTCGTTATACCAGTGAAGCAGGCTGTCAAGGAGGAATGGTTCCAGAAGGCGATCCGCGAAGACGTCGATCTCTTCGTAGTTATTGGCCATGTGGGATTGAGGATGGATGAGTTCAGAATTATCCATAAAGCTATCCGCCAAGCCAACTGGAATAGCCCAATTCTTTTCTTCGGCGGCCATGCCCATGTCCGTGACGCCGTCAACTTTGACTCCAAGGCGGCTGGCATTGCAAGTGGCCGATATTTCGAGACTATTGGCTGGATGTCCGTTGACGGCCTCAAGATCAAGGAGAAGGAGAAGGAGAAGACTGAAGACCCTTCCATTAGCTCCAGCTTCAAGGTCCACCGCAGGTATATCGACAACAATCTCTACGGCATGTACCACCATACCGGTCTCGACAACGCTACTTTCCATACGGAAAAGGGCCAAGCCGTCAGTCAACAAATCACGAGGGCTCGAAAGATCCTGAAGTTGGACCACAAGTACGGCTGTGCTCCCAAGGATCTCTGGCTGACCCGCACTCCTCACGACGCCGAAGATAGCATATTCACCTGGATCGGAAACGAGGTCCTTCCCGGCGTGGCCACTAATAAGGAGAGAGCTGACATCCCGAGACTTGCAATTCTCAACACCGGGGGTATTCGGTTCGACGTCTTCAAGGGCGCCTTCACGCGAGATAGCACGTTTCTCGTGAGCCCCTTTGTTAGCACCCTGAAGTATATCCCCGATGTTCCGTACGAAATCGCGAGCAAGGTTATCACCTTGCTGAACAGTGGCGGGAACATCTTCACCGACCGTGGCCTCGATCCTAGGTACTTGTCCGTACCGGAGAAGTGGTCCGGCAAGGACTTGGGCATGCTGCCCGTCATTCCGGGTCCCGGACTCGAGTTGCCAGGTGCAGCGGAGCAATACAGGCTGGCTGGCGACAATACCGATGACAAGGACAAGGACACGGACCGGCGGACGCGAACTGAGGGTTACACGACTGAGGACGACTTTGGCAAGGATGGCGATGATACTCTCCACGCGCCTGTCCCGTACTTTAACATCCCGAACTGCATTCAAAGTGAGATTGCATTCCCGGTGGACTCCACTCCGGAGAAAGTTGACCTTGTCTTTATTGAGTTCATCACTCCGTGGGTTCTTGTTGCCCTCAAGTTTGCCGGTGGCGATTACACCAATGAGGATGTCGGGTCATACACGAAGGAGACCTTTACCGAGCTCCTGGCCCACTGGGTCAAGGATAACTGGAGGAACAAGTGTTAAATTTTATGTTCCCGAGTCTTCCTTGTCCGTTCTTTCTTGTTTTGCTTTTCTTGTTACTAGAAATATCTACTTTAGAAAACCCCATTTGGATTTTTCTTCGGACGGACTTCAAGGGATCGGCGTTTTTGATTGGGATTTCTTCCGACGAACAGAACATATACGTCTTGGGCACACAACTTGAGGAGCATATTATACCATATACAGAACTTATGAAATTGATCTTTGCGATTTTGGCCTTGCTAGATATTATGAAGCATAGTTGACCGTGCACTTCAGAGCTTTCGAAACTCCATACTAACGATTCTCAGGACGTGGCCTAAGTAATCTATGAAGAAGTCCCCCGTGCCCATATTCTTGTTAGGCCCTGTGACATTAATAGCCCATGACTCGGAAGTATTTGTCCTCTTCTTGGAGTGTAGTTTATCATTTTTTATCAGCAACTCTACATCGTAGAGGTGGAAAGCCACAGGGTCTTGTTGACCGGGCTTGGCTCACCGAGGAAGAAGGGAGTGGGCACCTGTCGGAAAATTGACAGCCGTCACCACCTGCGAATCTAATCTAGACAAGGCAGAGCTTTGGTTACGACAACAGCAGCCTCCCACCTTCGAGCTCCTGTTGCTCCAACCATCAACAAGCATCATCCAAACCTCACAAATTACCAACCATACCCGACACATCCCATATCGCCATCGCCCTTCGACTCGTATCTCCCCCATTCACCCAATCAGCATCTCTGATATATTCCCATTTTCTCACCCCCACCCGTTGTCGCCATGGCCGAAGCTGCTCTCAAGCCGGAGAAGGACTTCTCCAAGCAGGTCGATGAGCTACTTCCCAAGGCTGAAGAACTTGCCCAGGTAGGGCTCGGCATTCGTTGGCGCTTATCCCAGAGCGGATTTGCTGATATCTGTGTTCTAGTCCGATCTTCAAGGTGCCATTGAGAAACTCACTGCCCTCGAGAAACAAACCCGACAGGTTAGCTCCGCCTCTCCTCTACCGTGACGACGTCTTCGTCGATACATACTCGAGATCGAACCTAACATTCATCACTTCTAGGCATCCGATCTTGCGTCTACGTCCCGAGTACTAGTTGGAATCGTTACGATATGCAAAAACAAAGGCGACTGGAGCTTGATGAACGATCAAGTCCTTGTTCTCTCTAAGAAGCACAGTCAGCTTAAGCAGGCCATTACCCGTATGGTCCAAACCGTCATGGGCTTCCTCGACGAGACGCCCAACCTAGAAACGAAGCTATCCGTCATCGAGGCCCTGCGCACCGTCACCGAGGGCAAGATCTTCGTCGAAGTCGAGCGCGCGCGAGTAACCAAGATTCTCTCCGATATCAAGAAGGCGCAGGGCGACGTCAAGGGCGCCACGGAGGTTCTCTGTGAGCTACAGGTTGAGACCTTCGGGTCCATGGACAGGAGGGAAAAGGTCGAATTCATCCTGGCACAGGTTGCTCTCTGCATCGAGACTGGAGACTGGACCCAGGCTGGTATTTTGAGTCGCAAGATTAGCACCAAGTACCTTGCGAGAAGGCCAAAGAAGACTGCCGAGCAGCTTGAGAAGGAAAAGAAGGAGAGGGAGAAGAAGAAGGCTAGGGGAGAAGAGGTGGCCGAAGAGGTCGAGGATGATGTGACGGATCTTAAGCTCCGTTACTACGAGCAGCAGATCATCCTGGCCAAGCATGACGACAAGTATCTTGACGTCTGCAAGCACTACAGGCAGGTCTTGGATACGGAGGCCGTTGAGGAAGACCCGGCCAAGCTTCATCCCGTATGTTGATGTCGTTTTCTCCCTGTTGCTATTTGGCCTGGCGCCAAACTAACTCTGCTCGTTCCGTCAGGTCCTCCAACGAATCATCTACTTTGTCATTCTGGCTCCTTATGATAACGAGCAACACGACCTCCTCCAACGAATTCTCCGAGACACACGAAACTCCCAAGTTCCCCTCGATGCCGAGCTTCTCAAACTCTTCACCGTTCACGAGCTTATGCGCTGGCCCGAGGTGGCCAAGAAGTTTGGCCCCCATCTCTGCAGCACCGACGTCTTCGACGCCGAAGAAGGCCAGTCGTCCGACGAGAAGGCTCACCAGCGATGGAAGGATCTGAGAAAGCGAGTCATCGAGCACAACGTGCGCGTCGTGGCCAAGTATTACACCCGCATCCAGATGGGCCGTCTTACCGAGCTCCTCGATCTCGCTGAGGACGAGACGGAGAAGTACATTAGCGAGTTGGTTACGTCGAAGACGGTCCACGCTAAGATTGACAGGCCCGCGCGCATCGTTAGCTTCGCTAAGCCGCGGGATGCTGATGATATCCTTAACGAGTGGAGCTACAACATGAAGAGCTTGCTGGGCTTGCTTGAGAGGATCGACCACCTCATCACCAAGGAGGAGATGATGGCTAATATCCAGGCAAAGTCAAGAAAGGCAAGGTAAAGTGATATCTCCAGAGTTGGGGGTCTTGAGGGGTTAGGCGCATGGTAGGGATGGATGGGGCGAATTGGGCCTGTCCCTCCTAGGAGTCGTCTTAAAAACGTGTGTGTACTAGTATTACAGGCTAGAGGCGGTCCTCCGTCTGGACTGATATGTACCATTCATAGATATGGTCTCGACTTGTGTGTCTCGTTCTGTTCACTACTGTGAAGCACTTTTATAGATGTGCCGTGCATATGTAAAGTCTCGACCTTCTCAGGCATATTGAATGGCCCTCCCGTCTTGTGTATCTCTATGTCTATTACGTGTATGTCTATAGTTGTCTATGCGAGTCTCGCACTCTCCTTAGGCTCACTCTCCTTCGGCTCAGCCTCCTCCGCAAACTTCCTAATAAATCCGATAATGGGCATCATCCACTCCCTCGAAACCGGCACATAATGCCCACCAGGATGCACCGCCACCACAGGATCCTCACACCTCTCAATCAACCCCCGACTCCTCGACTCCTCCACAACGGTATCCAACCCCCCAATATAATGCAACGTCGGCGTCCGTATACTCGGCTCATACATCCACTTGACCTCCTCAACAGGCATATAAAACCCCGAATAAACAACCGTAAACTTCAACGGCCTCCCACCATTCGCCCCCTTCAACTTCTCAGCCCAACCCTTCGCGCCCTCGGGAGGCGTCCTCCTCGGCTCTTCCATCGCGGCGGCGACCATAGCCGCCAGCGCACCGCCCTGAGAAAACCCAACCACTCCATCAACCCCTTGCGCCTCGCGGATGGCGTCCGCGACGGCCGACATTCCGGCGTCTAGGCCGTGGACCACGGGGGAGGTCGGATCGCGGCGGAACCACGCCCAGCTATCGAGCTGGTCGTCGGCGTCGGAGGGGTCCAGGGTGGGGGAGGAGGGTGTGAAGCCGGGGATTTCGGAGGGGCGGAGACGGATGGGAGCCGTGGGGTAGAGGAAGGTGAGGGTTGTGGAGAGGGGGGTTAGGGCCTTTGTTAGGAGTTTTTCGAGGGCGCGGGTTTTTGCGCGGAAGAGGGGGCCGGATTGGGTGTAGCCTTTGAGTGATGTTAGGTGTGTTTGTGGTTCATGTGAAGGGGGGTGGTTGAGGTAAGATGTTGGGTTGAACGGGTGTTGGTCTGAGATGTGACGGGATAAGGTTACGCACCATGAAGCATGAGGACCTTGAGTTCCTTCTTGGGCGGTTTAGGCGCTTTTTGGTTCCCCTTCTTCCCGACCTGGGGCTGCGTCGAGGCAGGACGGGAAGGCCCGCTCTCGGACGGGGTTGGCGTCGGCGTCGCAGACTCGGACATGGTGCTTGCGCGTCTGATGAAGGTTTGGGTAAAACTAGGTGTGGATGCGCGGGTCAGCCTCCGTACACAGAGGCTGAGCAAAAACATTAACGAAGGATCCCTTCCTTCAGTTGGCCTTGAGGGCTCTTCGCCGATATTATGTGGTCCTGAGATATTGTTAGCGGAAGTGGGGGGAGGTTTGATATTATAAATTGCATCGGAGAGTGGTGCTTTTTACGCACTTACGGGCAGGGTGAGCGAATGTGAGCGAGATTGATGATCTACGAACTCGCCCCCGATCCTTACAAATAGCAAAACAGGTCGAAAAGGACGTAAGAAGGAAAGTAAGTAGCAACCCGCTTTTCACTCAGTGAGACTGAAGGGCGTGGTTGGAAGAGGCACTAAGATTGACGTTTACGGCAGTTGAATTATTCCTCCAAGTCACGTGAGATACGCCGAGGTTCCGAAACGCCGTGAGGCTCGGGGCGGAGGATGGGAGAAGTTTCGGGGGGGATTTAACGACAGTAGGTAGACAGGGCAGCAGCGCAGGCCGTTCGCCCATAACTAGCTAGATACCTGCTGAAGAAGCCGTGGTAATCGAGGGACAGCTGCAGATTCCAATCACGAGTAGCATTGGGTCTCAACAAGAACGTAAGATCGAGATCAAACCGACGGTGAGGTTTCTGGTTTCCGGACGGGATATGTGCAATTGGCCGGTGAAGCCAAGTCAATTGGCAGCAAGCTGCGGATATTTGCGTCTATGATACAATCCCTCCCCGGTCCATGGACCCTTAGCAAACCAGAGGGTCAAGAGTAGTCTAATGCATTTCCGGCAGAATATCCTTCGCTTTAGTGGGAGGGCTTCGCGTGGGGGTTGCGGGGGTCGTTCTTCCACTCGGCACCTATTCTCAGGGTTAGATCTGGTCGTCGGCGAATGCGTGTGTGTGTGTGTCCTGGAAGGCGGCGTTTACTGCGTACCCTGCATCATGGAGTTTTGCGCGGCATTGATTCCGTAGGCGACAACGAGACCTTGAACGTCCCAAGTTAGCATCCATCCCTGGTAGAGAACATCCGCGAGGATTCCGTTCGATCCGTTCGAAAAGTTTATCGCGTACCGGCAATGAAGAAGGGAGCCATCGGCCTGACTGTTTCCGGGGGATGCGGATTAGCTTCATATTCCTCAAAGATGGGCCAAGGGGAAAAATTCGCTCCCGTCGTGGCGGACGTAATTGACATACCGATAGGCGTGGAGAACTTCTTAATGGGGTTGGCACCGAACCAGAACATCTTGACTTTCTTATTGGGGGGGTGTCCGACTAGAAACGAAGGATACGTAGTTGTTGGCTTGAAGGGTCGACGGAGGATTGTTTCTTGGACGAGCTGTTTTTGATGATTCGGCTGCCGGCAAAGACCGCGAGGCAGTCTGTTGATTCCTTGCAAACCAGGCGTCAATTGGAAGAATTGGGAGGATGAGTCAGCATTCCGCCAGGGAACAGTGGAAGACGGCAAATGAGACAGTGTGGGCCTGTTGATTGGACATCGTGCGAAGCTGCGACGGCACCGGTTCCGGACTGGCCTGAGCTAGGTCCATTATCATGTGACTCAGTTTCGGCTCGACCAGCCCTTTCACACGAGCTCATCGAAGTGGGGATTCGTGGAAATCACGAGACTCCATTACATCATGTTACAGCGGTAGCGGTATTTGTCCCCCAGCGACAAGTTAGAGTTGGGAAACTGCAATTGTGGGGAGGTACCTTTGGAGCAAGCTCCCGTTCTGGCATCTCGCATGTCCCTTATCAGCTCCAAGCTATGACCATCCACCAGCCAGAGCACATCCATGATGCATCCAATTGATGCCTGGTTGCCCGCCCATACAATCATAGCCTGTAATAGCCACAGCCAACCCCGTGTTCCCCATTTTAGCGTTGCCACCCCCAGCTTCGAAGAGCCAAACAGAGAGCGAACTGCTGCGGTAGTGGTCGTAGCATATACGTAGATTGGGGGCGCCTTGCTCCACCAGACCAGGATTTGTTTCCACGAGAGTTTCTGACACTGATGCTCGTTGCTCATTGCTGACTCGGGGCAGGCACTGTCACCTTTGACCTAAACTACCTTCTCTCCCCCTTCTCCATAGCTCTTGCCCCGTTTCCATTCCTATTCCCATTCCTATCCCTGTTCCCATTTCCATTGATAAAGACCTTCTCCCCCTTCTTCCCCCCTCCCCTTGACACCATCAGCTCACCATTGACTCTTCCCGCCCTCTGCTTCTCCTCAAAGCAACCCCCTCCTTTGCCATTGCCAATTCCCTGGTCCGTTGTGGTACAACATCAGATTCTCCTTTCTCCATCCGTCCATTCCTACATCACAAAGTGCGGGGTGACAACCCATCGGCAAGTTGTTGCATTGCCTCTCTCAAGCTTTCTATCCAATTAGCAACTACACCTGCCCTCCTATTCACTGGACTTCTACAGTTACACTCCGCATCCCCGTGCTCCTCCAAACCCAAGGCAGCATACACATCCGCATACTGCCATACTGCGCATCTCGTCTCAGGCCTCTCTCTATAAGCTTCTCCTGTATATCTGCTGCTGAACACAGTATAACTGCTTGCCGTTGCCCATTGCCTCTCTTGGAACTCTTTCGCCGCTCCGCTGCCGCCCAACAGTCCAATCCAAACGCTCCGAATTACAACAAAGGAAACTCCTCCTCAAACCCCTCACGGCTCGGGTCGTGTTTCCTAGCCTTGGTTTGTTTTTGTTATTCTCCTTGGCTAGCGATTCACTCCGTTTCTGAGGAGAGGTCGTGTCGCGGTTCAACTACAGCGATATTCCTTTTCCCGTCAAATTCGGCATTATCCAATTCGTTTCCCTATCATCGCTACCATGCTTAGCGGAAAGCTTTTTAGAGCTAGCACGAGCTCCGGCGTTCGATGCCTGTCGACGTCGGCAGTTCGTGCCAGCAGCAGGACCCCGTCCATGGGCGACATCAACCCTACCCACGAAAGCGTCGAAGAGTTCAATCAAAGGCAAAAGCAGTTCCGGGAGAAGCTCATAGAGGCGAGGAAGTTGCGAGATGCAGGTGCGTTGAAGCATCAGTTACCCCCCCATGACGCCGAAGATGAGGAGCATATTCCTGGTCTCACCACCCAGGGCCTCGGCTCACTAAGTACCGCTGCTACAGAGAAAGCTGCGGAGCTCGCTCAGAAGGAGTCGCACCGAAAGTCGGGTCGCTTGACCAACCTTATTTACGGTACTAAGGAGGGCAGGGAGATGGACGCCCAGATCGAGGCCAGCTTCAGCGCTGTTCTGGCCCGAGGCAAATACGTCCACTCCATTGTCTTTCACGAGGTTTACCCTGACAAGGTTGACGAATATGTTGAGCTCGTCGGCAAATGGTACCCCAAGATGGCCGGCGTGGAGAATAACAAGGTTCACCTGGTCGGAAGCTGGAGGACTGAAGTTGGCGATTGCGATACCTTTGGTAAGTCCTGCCAATCTTGATACCCGGCACTCTCTGCGTCAACTAAGCTAACTGATTTCTGTTTTTGTTACCAGTCCACATTTGGGAATATCAGCGATATCAAGGATACCACGAATCTCGACACCTCATCGCGTCCCACCCCGAGTACCCCGCTTTCAAAGAGAAGCTTCGAACCTTGATCAAAAGCCAGAATACCTCGCTCATGCAGGAGTTCTCCTTCTGGCCCACGACCCCTCCCCGAAAGCTCGGCGGCGTGTTCGAGCTCCGATCGTATACCCTGCACCCCGGCAACCTGCTTGAGTGGGAGACCCACTGGCGACGTGGTCTCAAGGCTCGTCGTGAGGTCATGGAGGGTGTCGGCGCCTGGTTCGTGCAGATTGGCGACCTCAACACGGTCCACCACCTCTGGCAGTTTGCCAACCTTGAGGAACGCAAGGTCCGCCGTGAGCAGAGTTGGAGCATAGAAGGCTGGAGCGAGACGGTTCACAAGACTGTTCCTTTGATCCAGACGATGAAGTCTAGGATCTTGATCCCTATGCCGTGGTCGCCCGTTTCTTAAGTCATCGACGCAGTGTCCTCACAGAGGCCGTTTTCTACGGAGTTGCCTAGAGAGGTCCTGATTCTTGAAGCTTGAACGATGCCGAGCAGACAACGATTACATTTGCGGCAGCTACGAGACGACCAGCATCGATGTGTTCCTGATCGCCTCTTTATCAACTCGACTTAACGGAGCATGTTCTGCGGTCCAGGACTACGGCTTGCTTTTTTCTTTGTTTCAAATTCGACCAGTTGTTTCTCTTTTTCTTTCTTTCTTGGCCTTGTCATTGCCTTGCATGGTTCTTTTTCGTTTCCTTCTGTTTTTCAACAAGTTGTTCAGGGAACTCTACTATAAGGCGACGGTGATTGCGGCGTTTGCGGACTCGCTCAGGCGAGGTTATTAGGGTGTATGCCTTTTCTGCACATATCGATTTCCATACTTTACAGAAACCCCAATGAGAATAAAGGCATCAACTGATACATGAACATCAACTGATACATATATGAATCTGCTATTCGGCGCTTATAATTGTGACACCCCTGTCGCTACGTCGTGTTCTAATTGTATTCCCAAATAATGCGAGGCGAAGGGCAGTAAACAGACAGTAGACTTCGCTTACCCAATTGACCTCTCGCTGGTTCAAATACACCATCGTTGATTGACGCCAAAAAGCACTGGCTGCTCCTTATAAGACGCCCGTACACCTTTTCCCTAAATAGATCCCGTAAGCAGAACGCCCTCCCATCCCCCCAGGAACTCCCACGAATAATGACCAAGCAAGGAAAACAAGACGTAAAAATAAAAGAGAGCTCCAACTCCATGCAGAGCCCATGGCAACTTCACTCTTTGGGTAGATTGGCAAGCACTACTTCGAGGTTCGACTCGATTCGCGCGAGGGTCGCCTTCACCGAGAGGAGCTTGGCAGAGAGCGACATCAGCCTAGGATCCGCCGTCTCGACCCGGACCTTTTCGCGGACGTAGACGGGGGTATACTCGCCCGGCACGATGACCTCGTAGGGCTGGCCGCTGGAGGAGGCCGAACTCGACGGATCTGAAGAAGGAGACGCAGCCGGGCGCACGACCTCGGGGGGCACGGGATCGGTAGGTGACCTCGGGGGTAGATTTGGCTTCGGCGTCCTCCCGTCGGCATCCTTGCGATTATAGACGTAATCGTAAATAAGGCCCGTCTCGTCGTGTTCCAAGCGCTTAACCGTACCGATAGCAAGGCCCAATTTCGTACCCAGATGCACGGGTGCGTTAACAGGCTCAAGTATGCGAATCCACAGGACGATGAAAGAGTCCTGAAGCCCAAAGTACCAGCTCATCTGGCTCCCCGGGTCCGGGTCAAAGTGTTCCGGGGCGCAGGACCGCGTCGTCCATGCCGTGTCGGGGATTTCGCGGGGGGGACCCTTGAGGATGGCTGCGGAGTCGGAGACGAGCTGGGAGAGGGCGCGGAGCTGGGCTTTTATGAATTGGGGGTCGGGGGGCAGGGTGAGGGTTACGGAGATGGCGCGGATGGCGTCGTCGATTTGGCGGCTTAGGGTGTCGAGTTGGGAGATGTGGATTTCGGAGTTGAGGGTTATGGTTTGGGGGTGCTGGGTTTGGAGGTGGAGGTGGACGTTCTACGGAAGCGGGGGTGAGAGTGTTAGTCGGATCCATGTGCTTCTGCTCTGCACTTTATATCTCTCTCCAAGAGACGTTAGATGTGACGGAAAACATACGGCCTTGACAATGCGGGTGCCGACTCGTGTCACGGTGCCCTTAACAAGCTCGTTACGACGTGTACTGAGGACAAGAGTAGTTCCTGGCAATACGGGGGCAAGCAGCGCGTAGCATTCGTCGAGGGTTTGTTTTATGGGCGGGAGCTCTCGTTCGCGGATGTAGTTGATGAGCCATGGAACGTGGTTCCGCTGTTGGTCGGTTACGACCTTGATCAGCATTGCTGAACCAGGAAAGAGGAACTGGAAAAAAAATATATGATTGATATTGGGGAGAGGGCTTCGACGGGGGAGGCTTGGGAGCTAGGCAAAGGCATAGAGAACGACCGTGAGGGCATACCTTGGTCTCTTTTATCTTTTCCTCCCGCTCCTCGTCCGTCATGGGCGGATAGGGGAAAGGTCCTAGAGACATGGCTGGCTACGTATATTGGGGCTATAGATGTGCCTAGGGATGTTGGAAATGACTGTAGGCAACCATTTATGGGGGTTTTGCGAGCGCGGCGGCGAGGTTGTTGAAGAGCTGCGATGTGGGATGTTGTTCGAGTGGGGAAGTCACAGGCTCGACATTTAGTTGCATGATGCAGCTTGGAGGTACCTGGGGAGCTCGGGTGCTCCTTCGCGCCAGTGCAGCTGTTAAGGGAGCTTGGGGGGTTACAGCTGGCTATTCTGGTGCCTGCAGGTGGTGGGACGGACAGACTTGACAGTGACGTATGTACCTCCGAGCATGTGCAATTTTGCCAGCCAAAACATCGAATTGATCAATTGACAGCAGATGCCCGCCCGCTGAAGCGACCCTCTTCATTGCCTTGAAGTTCGCGAAAATCTAATCTCACCATCGCTGAGAGAGCCACGCGCAGCAACACTCTCCGTACGCAATATATTCGTACGAAAAACTCATACCCTAACTTGAGTGGCATCCATAAACCCTATTCTAGAATCGAGTTCCCAGTCTCCGCAAAGACTTAGTGGCTTTTCAAGTCGTCGGTTCAAGTCCAATCAGCCGCTACCCATTGACACGACACCGTTTATACGTCTGCCTGGCAGGCAAGGATAGGACTCATTTCAAAGAGAGCTAAAGACGCATGCTCGAGGAGAATCTGTCAAGATGACACCGGCTCCTAAAACTAAACTTGCGCCCGTCCCCAAGGGTAAGCTCACCAGCGTCACCCCTGCCCCCCGTACCCGTTCTCACTGCTCATCATCATCGTAGGCTGCAAGGTTCAAAAGAGACCGCTCGTGCGCCAGCAACAGCCCGCCTCATCAAATTCTCGTCTCATCTACGTGTCTTCTTCAACCCGCTTCATGGCGGTGGTGAAACGTGTTCGCAAGCGGCTGGATAAAGCTGCCGTCGGCGGCTCTAAGCCACCCAACAAGAGGATGCACCTTAGCGCGAGGGTAGAAGCCCTGAAGAAGACGGACGGAACCAAAGGTAGTGGTGCGGAGGTCGTTGTGTTAGGTACGGGGAAGGCTGTTGAGAAGACACTAAAGGTGGCGAGTTGGTTCTCTGAGGAGAAGGACTGTGCGGTCTCGATTAAGACGAAGACTGTTGGTACTGTCGATGATATTGTGGCCGGAGATGAGGCTGAGGCTGAGGATGAGAGCCGTGTGAGGAAGCTCAGTTGTTTGGAGATCACGATTAAACTACGTTGAGTGGGGGGAGGGAAAAGATTATTATAACTACCGATCATGAGAGAGCATCTTGTCTCCTCATCCAGGCCTCACATCGTCCTAGCTTGCGGCGGTGCAGGAAGGCTAGGCTCAGCGCACAGGGCGACTGGACCGGCTTGGCTCATGCCGTCTAGGAAGGCTCTGCAATGTTTCGATTGAGGAACCACTCTCGAACTTTCCTGTAAGGCCATGCAAACTCTCCCGAGGAAAAGTTGGGCTCTGCTAACAACTCTCTGGAAGGTCACAACCGATCGTTACGACACACTAGGAATACGATTCGACGGTGTAAAATGCCAATATCTAATGCCATTGAAAACCTATCCCAAAGTAAACAGTCTAGTTTGCGTTGAAATCTAGGATTTCACGCAGAGAAATTTATTTAACAAAAAAGAAAAGATAAAAAGAAAAAAAAAAAGGAAAACTCCAACAGAAAAATGCAGCCTCCTCATCGTACACAATCACATCGTCCCCTCGTCTCCTCGCCACTGCTTACACGACAATCAACTTGCTCTTCCCGCAAACTCCCTTGGACAGCGTTTGAATCGACCCGCTCGACAGCAGTTCCAGGACCTGTAGGTTGGCCTCGAACTCCCTCGTGATAAAGTTACGAATCTCGATAGCGACGAGGGAATCAAGCGGGTAGTGAGAAAGCGACCGCGTAATGTCAAGCTCCTCCTCTTCCATCATCAGCACAGACGCAATCTTGAAAACCAATCCCTTGCAGACAACCTCCTCCCTCTCCTCGGGTGTCTTGGCCGCCTTGAGCGCGGCGCTATAGGAGATGGCCGTTGACGACGAAGCCGTCGCCTCCGCGGCTGCTTGCGCCTCCATGACTTCCCGGAGGTGCTTGAACTTGGCATCTTGCGTCCAGAACGGCTGCATGCTTGGGGTCATGCGGACGCCGGTGATAACATGGCTGTTGCATGCCTTCTCCAGCTGGCCGTTAATGGCGGCACCGGCAAGGGCCAGTACCTCGGCTTCGCAGATCATGTCACTTCCCAAGTTCTTGGCCACTTCTGCGGCTGCCTCGGCATTCTCTGCGAGGTATCCGATGTCCGAGATTGCCGTAGGGTCGATGGAGGATGCTGCAAGACCGAGAGCCCTCCTGTACTGCACGAATGCGTTCAAGAAGGCGTTGGCAGCAGCATACGCTGCTTGACCTCTGTTACCTACCGACGCAGCAACGGAGGAGAAGGTAATGAAGAAGTCAAGAGGTTGGTTAGCTAGAGCACGGTGGAAGTTCCAGGCGCCGTGCACCTTGGATTCCATGACGTCAACCCACTCCGCGTGGGTCATCTTCTCGAACAGGACATCGCGGAGAACCATGGATCCATGAACGACACCCCGTACTGGTGGGAGCCCCTCAACACCGGTGGACAGGAGCGTGTCGACCGAAGCGCGGTCAACAACATTGCAAGCGCGGACTGTGACGGTCGCGCCAACTTTCTTGGCGTCTTCGATCAGTTCGGCAACCTTTCCTGTCGAGGTTCCGCTGCGCGAAACGAGGACAAGGCTCTTGGCTCCTTGGCCGATCATCCACTTTGCTAGGCCACGACCCAATCCACCAGTACCGCCGATGAGGACGTAGGTGGCATCGGGCCGAAGGAGCTGGCTCAACTTTTGGGCTGGAGCTTGGACAGTGTCGTCAGCCTTGGGAGCGATAACAACCTTTCCGAAGAAGCTGCCCTCCTGAAGGGTCTTGAAAGCTTCGTCGGTCTGAGAAATGGAGAATGTATTGGCCGGCGACGGGGTCTTAGCCTTTCCTTCTTGAAGGAGTTTGTTGACTTCGCTCACTAGCTTCTTGATAAGCTTGGGTCTTTCAGAGATGACGGAGAACATGTCAACGGTGACGAAGGTGATGTTCTCTTGGAGGCGCGTCATCTCGACGTTGACGGTGTTAGCACCGTCCTGTTTGACAAGCTCGATGTAGCGGCCGAACTTATCCAAGCATCGCCAGGATTCCCTCGCTACTGGGCCGCGCAGACTATTCAGAACAACATCGACGCCCTTGTTGCCGGTCTGGTGGCGGAGGGCATCTACGAAGCTGGCGTCGCGACTGTAGTAGATGTGGCTTTCCGGAACGCCGAATTTCGAGATCAAATGCTCTTTCTTCTCTGCCGAGCCGACGGTCGCGAAGACTTCTGCGCCGACCATCTGCGCTATCGCGATGGCTGCCTGACCGACAGCTCCAGCTGCAGCATGAATGAGAATCTTCTCACCTTCGGAGAGTCGGGCGAGCTCAATGACGCTGTAGTACGCGGTGCAATAAGCGACTGGGAGAGAGGCAGCGGACTCGAAAGTCATCTCCGAAGGTATCTTGAGAATGAGATGAGACTTGGTGCGAGCGTAACTTGCAAGGGCGTTACTGGCTAGGGCGGCCACGCGGTCGCCGATGTGGATATCGGTCACGGCGGCTCCCACGGCAGTCACGATACCGCTTGCCTCTTGCCCGAACTCTTCATTGGGAAGCTTGCCAGTCACGGCGAGGACGTCCCTATGGTTCATGCCGATGGCCTTGACCTCAATCTCGATCTCGTCTTCAGCGAGATCGGAGTTTCGCATCTGGTCATCGACAAAATGGAGGCTCTCGAGGACGCCGGTTGCACCGACAACCATCTTCAAGGGACGACCTTCCTGTCCGAAAGCGGTCGGCTCAAGGACACCTTCTTTGGTCTGTCTGTGAACGAACTCGTTCATCTCGGGATCGTTAACAATACGAGGCGTAAAGAAAGCACCTCCACGCTCCATGAACTCAAGCTCGCTACTGGCACTAGCGCGACACCCGAACGCGGACTTGAAAACCTCGAGGATAGCCTTGCAGGAGTCGGCATCGGAGAGCCTCGTCTTGGAGTCAAGATCGAGAGTTGCGAAGCGAAGGAGAGTCTCAGATCGGATGCTGCGGCTCATGCCGACAACCATGTTCGCATCCGGGTTCTCGCACCCGCTGAGAGCGCCCCGGATAACCCACAGAATACCCTGGACGGACGTGATAATCTTCTGTATGGCGGTGAATTGCTCCGGAGTGACGGTAGTGAGGACAGACTGGTCAAGTTCGTTGAGGAAGATGCAAATCTTCCCGCTGGCATTGTTCTCGAAGAGGGTGCCGAGCTCGGGCCTCTTGCCGGTGGCCTCTTCAAGGTCCGCGGCAAGCTTCGCGGCGGTGTCCTTTTGGAGGTCGGAATCGCCGTGGATGATGACGATGTCCTCCGTCGTGTGCTTGGACTCTAGCGGCTCAACCATCTCGAAGTCATCCGTGGGGTGGATGGGGTTCAGGATAGGTTCCCACTCCATCTTATAGCAAAGTTCCCTCGCGGCGTTTCCGTTGGATTGAGATTTACGATCCAAGATGGGGGCCACCGTCAGATCTTCCAAGGTAATAAGAGGTTCCTTCGCATCGGCGATGGTTGCGAACATGGAAACCTTGGCGGGTTTGGGATTGGAGGCAGAAATGCTTCCACGGCAGTACGCCTGGAGAGTGCTGTTAGGTTCCTTGATGAGCGGGATCACGTCCTTCGAAAAAGTCATCCGTCCGATGGAAGAAGGCAAGTAAATGGTATCGAGAGCGGATGACGTCTCCGAAGCGAGGATGGGCCAGTACATCTCGATAAGGGACTCCAAGAAGGAAGGGTTGATAATGGGGCTGACGAGATGGCCGTTGGGCATCTCCTTGGCGACATCTGCGACCTTGAGGGTTCCGGACGAGTACCCGGATGCGGCCTTGCAGCTCTCGATGCCTTGGAAGGTCGGGCCGTAGGCGACACCGAGCGTCCAGAGATTGTCGTACATCTTGGTGGTGTCGATGGTCTTCTGGGCAGCAGCATCAATCTCGGCAATCGATGCCCTTAGAGTTGCTTCGGTATCTTGGGTCAACTTGTCACCGTTCACGCTGTTTACTTCCTTGGTCCGCAGACCGATGAGGCCCTTGCAGTGGTCCTTCCAGCCCTGGCTCGCGGTCCAGGAGCAGATGCGGAACTCGTCCCAGACGTTCTCCTCGACGGTCCGGATGGTGATATTCATCTCCACATCTTCGTCTGGAAGTACCAAGGGAGCGGACACAGTGACATTTTGAAGTTCAAACTTGTCGAAGGCGATGTCCGACTCTTGAGCCCTTTGGGTTGCGGCCTCCAAAGCCATGGTAATGTATCCAGCCAGAGGGAAGATGGTGAGGGATTGGATCTGGTGATGACGCAGCCAAGGAAGGTCATCCAAGCGAACGATGTTCCTCCAGGTGGGCTCCAGGTCGTTGGAGTAGTTGGCAAGAGTCCCGAGAATATCGGTTCGCGGGGCGCTTCGGGAGGCGTGCTTCTCCCACATGCGCGAACGGTGCCAGTATTCCGTCTGGTAGTTCCAGGGATAGCGCGGCAGGTCCGTAAGCAGCACAGGTGGCTTTGCGGGAGGCTTGGGGAAATTGATGGCCTCGAAATTCAGAGTGGCGCCCTTCATCCAGACGTTGGCCGCCAGCTCGAGAGCGGTTTCCACGGCATCTCTCTTTCGCACGAGTGCAGACGCGTAAGGGATTTTGGCGGCGTTGGCGCCCGCGACCTTAAGGATCTGCTTTACGGGGCCCTGAAGGGCGGAGTGTGGACCGAGTTCGACGAGCATGTTGACGCCGGTCTTGTATTCGCCGAAGGGCTGGACCATGTCATCCACAGCCTCGGCGAAACGCACAGAACAGGTCAAGTTCTGGACCCAGTAGCTTGGTTCCAGCTCAGTGCCATCGGCGAGCCTGCCGAGCAGAGAAGAGTGGAACTTGACCTTTGTGGATACAGGACGCTCGACGTTGCGGAGCGCCTGCTGATATTCCTTGGCTACGAGGTTCATGTGGTGAGAGTGGTAGGCAACGTCGACCTGGAGGCGACGGTTGAACAAGCCCTTCTCTTGGACGACCTTCTCCAACTCGGTAATTGCGGGCTCATCACCGGAAATGGTCAAGCTCGACGGGCTGTTGAAGCAAGCGATTCTCGCCTCCCCGGTCTTGAGGTCAGCGAGGAGCGGGGCAAACTCCTCCTTGCTTCCGCCGACGGCCATCATGGCGCCGCGGAGGTCGGGGTGCTTGCTCTTGAGGACGGGGATCAAGCGACCTCGGTGGTACGCGATGGTCATGCAGGCATCAAAGGTCAAGATACCAGCGGCGTATGCGGCGGCGATCTCTCCGCTGGAGTGACCGGCTACCGCGTACGGCTCGATACCCCAAGATCGGAGCAGGTCGGTCAAGGCAAGCTGGATAGCTGTGCACGCTGGCTGGCTGATATGTGCCTGGTTAACCTGAGAAGTAGCAGCGTCCTTTCCGAGCTCCTCGATGAGGGACCAATTGGCACCCATGGAGGTCATGCACGTATCGGCGCGGTCAAGGCTGTCCCGGAAGACGGGGTAGTCGAAGTACAGCTCGCGACCCATGGCCCACCACTGAGCGCCCTGGCCGGTGAAGATGAACCCGATCCGAAGCGGCTCGGTCTCCTTTCCGGGGGTGAACTGCTCCTTCGAGAGCTGCTCCACCAGCTCGAAAGAGTTGGAGGCGGGGACGGCCAGGCGCCACTGGAGAATAGAGCGCCTCTGGCAGATGGTGTAGGCCACGTTGGCCATGAGGTCCAACTCGAACATCTCGGGCCGCTGCTCGAGGTAGATGACTAGCTCCTTAGTGACCTTTTGCAGGGAAGCCTTGTCATTGGCAGAGAAGATGAAGAGCTTCCGGCCGTTTGTGGAAAACGCGTGCTTGCTATCGACGAACAACCGGTCTCGGCCCCTCTGAGCCAGGAACGGGCCCCTCTCCAGCACGACGTGGGCGTTGGTTCCACCGAATCCAAAGTTATTCACGCTAACATACTTCTTGTTCCGGGGCCAGGGCCTCTGACCCGGCGGGACCTTGATCCCCCACTCGGCGAAAGGGATCTTGGGATTTGGAATCTTGAAGTCGTGATTGGGGATGATGAAGCCGCGCTCGAGCATCAGCGCCGCCTTCATCACGGCCACGATGCCCGAGGCGCCCTCGAGATGGCCAATGTTTGACTTTACGGAGCCGATGAGGAGGGGGTCGCGGGGCGAGCGCTTCTGGGCGAGAACGTTGTGGATGGCGCGGGCTTCGATGGGGTCGCCGACTTTAGTGCCGGTTCCGTGGGCTTCGACGTAGCCGCAGTCGTTAGGGTCTAGGCCGGAGTTGGTGTAGACTTGCCTCATGAGGGCCTCTGATATCTCGTTAGTCCTGGTAATTATCCGGGGAAAAAGTGTTCCCGGGGAGTAACTTACCCTGGGCTTCCCCATTGGGCATAGTGATACCCGGAGTCTTTCCGTCCTGGTTGATGCCGCTGCCGACAATGACGGCTCTGATGGAGTCGCGGTCTTTGATAGCCTGATCCAGAGGCTTGAGAATGAGGATGGCACAGCCTTCACCACGGCCGAAACCTGTTCCTCTAGCATCGAAAGAAATTGACCGACCGTGGTCGGAGAAAAGTCTATATACCAACACAATCATCCCGTTAGAACCCGGAGGCTTACACGGATCATGAGTTATTCTTACCTAGACTTTGAAAATGAAATCCAAAACTCCGGGAGCATGTTAAGATGGCATCCACCAACCAAAGCCATGCTAGACTCGCCGGCCCTCAAGCTCTGGCAGGCAGTGTGGAGGGCGACCAAACTCGAGGAGCATGCAGTGTCTGTTGTGAAACTAGGACCTCTGAGGTCGAAGAAGTGAGAAATTCTGTTTGATTGCATGGCATATGCACAACCTACGGCAATAAAACATGTCAGCATATCGAGATAAAAAAGACGAAGGAAATAGGAGAATGGAGGCTGTTCTTACCGGTCGCTTGATGCATGGGAATGGTATCTGTATCTCTAAATAACGCCGACTCATACTCCGGGAACGAACCACCAATGAACACACCAACATCCTTGCCCACAATATTCTGCTTCGGCACGCCAGCATTTTCAAGCGCCTCGAACGAGCACTCAAGAAGCAGCCTCTGCTGGGGATCGAGCGAAATGGCCTCCTTCTCGGTCAAGCTGAAAAACGGCGCGTCGAAGGCCTTGAAATCAGTGTTGAGGAAGCACCCGCCCACGGGGTTATGGGTGCCGGCCTTGCCCGGGTTGGGGTGCTGGAAGGGCGCCATGTTGAAGCGGTTCTCGGGGATGGGGGACCAGGTGCCGCGGGCTCGAGCGATGAGTTCCCAGAACTCGGCGGGGCTGGAGATGCTGCCGGGGAGGCGGCAGGACATGCCGATGATGGCTATGGGCATGACTTTGTGGGGACCGGTGCTGGTGGTCGTGCTGTTGGCGGCAGCGGGGGTGGGAGGGTTGACCGCTGGCGGAGCTCGGACGCCGTTGGTGAACGGCGCGCTGGGGTAGGTTGTATGGGCGGTGGTGCCGTTGCCGTTTGTGTGACCGTTGGCGAATCTCCAATCGGCAACGCCCGAGAAGCCGTGGGCGCTGGAGATGCCGCCATTGTTGTCTGTAGGGGTTAAAGGCTCAAACCCATCGGGAATGGTGATGGGGTAGGCACCGGGGATGGTGCTACCTCCGACGGGGCCACCGAGGAGACCCTCGAGGCTGGTCAGGAAGCTATAGTCATCCTGCCAATTGGTGTTTCCATTGCCATTGACCGGCGTTGGAGGAGTAGAGTCTGCTGCCGGAGACATGGTCGTGGGATTTTGTCTGACCAAGAGCCGAGGGGGCGAAGAGGCAGGCAGCTATGTCCTTGCGAGGGACACAAAAGACTCTCTTTGACAGGCGGGTTGGGGAAGAGAAGGAGGAGAAAGGAGGGAAGAGGCGTTTGAAGGTTTTGAGAAGAATACTCCCCGGCGCGAGGGAGAACCAAGCAGTTCTATTCTTCAGGCCAAGACAGACATGACAAAGCTTTTCAATTCGGGGTGCATGTAGAACTTGGCAATTGGCAGAGCAATAATAAAAAGGGTCAAGAGATAAAATAAGAAAAAGAAATGAAAAATAGAGGTGTGTGTGGCAAGGAAAGGAAAGGGAAGGAAAGGAAGTGGAAGCTCCCTTTTGCCAAGACTTTTTGATTCTTTTTAAAGAAGTCTGGAAGAATAAGGGCCAGTTTTGATAAATGGGATGTGAAGAAGATATATGAAGGGCAGCAACTGCACAATGCTAGCTCGCCGCTCTTATTGACACATCTGATGTCGGGCGGAAACGAGCTCTTCTTGGATGCGTATGCGTAGTCTAACTTGGGGTACTCGGGGGAAAGGCGTGGGAAAGTGTGGAATCTAATATTCGAAACCCAAGGTTATAAAGATCGAATTGAGACTGGGTCTGGAACTGGAACTGGAACTGGAACTGGGAAAGTAGTGGAGCGACGAGGGAGTTCTTCTTGTTCGACTATGACTATTTCCCTTTATGGACCATATACAAGGCCGCGCCTTACACGGGCCAAAGGGGGAGACGTGGACGGAGTTCGTTTCCGAAGAGCGGCCCTATTATTTTCTCCCATTTCTGCTCCTCATTTGGCTGTCGTCGTCTTTACCCTGGGTTTACGTCTTTCTGAATTTCCAGCCTCATCTAACTTGGGTTAAAAGGGAAAAAACGAGAACCCAGCAAGCAGCAAGCCACGTTATCACCATAATCCGGAAGGGACGTTACCCTCAGCATACGGATATTTTAAACAAGGGGGCTCCAGGTGTCAAGCTGCATGTCGAATGGAGAACATATTGGGGCCACGCTAGCTGGGGCATATCCGCCCTCGTGGGGTCGATTCTGCCCTCCGCCTTGTCCATTCTACGTATTACAAGGACGGCGCCGATCATGACCGACGTGGGTCCTGCAGACATAGTGTAGTTACTTGGTGGGCTTTCCATGGAAGACGCGGCAAATGAACGCGGAGACGGGAAGCCAGGGAGGGGGGGTGGAGGAAGATTCTGACAGGTAGAGGGGAGTGGGCGTGTAAGTGGGTAGTTTTGGGGAGACAGAAAGTGTTAGGCACAGAGTGGTACGTTTTAGAAGGGTCAAGGGGAGATGCGGTGAGTGGAGCTTACTGGAACGGAGGGAAACCAGCAACTCGGACAGACTCCTTGTTCTCTGAGAGGGTTACTGGACGTGCTGCTTGTAGTTCGGGGTTGCGTGTGCGTGAATGTGCGAAGCGTGAGCGTGAGTGTTCGCATGCGTGTGGGTGTGTGTGTGGGGATCGTGGGATTAATATAAATCCCAAATGAGCTGACGACACTCGGTTTCTTAGAGGGGCAAAGGGGACGGAGAACATGGAATGGGAAGGGGGAAGGGAAGGAAAAATGCTGTATGTCTACATCCAGTATCGTGAGTAAGGGATGAGAGATATGCAATGAACCCAGACGATATCCGAGCCTAGCCAGGCCCATCGAGTCTGGGTACTGTCTGTATGTTGGGTCCCCTCTTGCTGCGTTTCCGTTTGTCGGGTAAAAAAAAATATGTGATGCGATAGATGAGATCTACACAGAAAAGAGATTCGTGATCGCCCATGTCGATGGCGCTAGCTCATCAGCTTCCCCGACGAACGCGTAATTGGGAGAAAGGAATGGTTGCGTGAATCCTTGATGATACACCGTTGGTCTTCCAGAAAATCTCGCGAGGTGTCATACAGTCGATCCGGGGTTGACAGGGTGGTTGGATCAAGGGGGGCGTGAATCTTTTCAAGCTTCAATGGTTTTATGACTCGGGCATTTGGAACTTACACGAGTTACATGTCAGAAAGGCTGGCTAGACCAAAAAGGCACAGTAAAAAAAAAATATATATAAAGAATAAAGAAAAATCCCCTAGGTTCTGTTGTCCGGGCCCACATCGGGCAGTGGGGAGGAAGTGTTAATACGGAAGTGCCCAGCTCGGATCAAGGACCGAAGAGAAGCTTAAAGGAAGAGAAAGGAAACGAGGTTAGAGAAGCGTAGAGAAGGGAACCGGACCTGAGGGGGTGTGGTGGTAGTGGGAGTGGGACGCGGAGCATGCGTTCGTACCTTGCTTGCCGGACGGCTGTTCCGGACAAATGGGGATGCGGCCGGGTTCCTAAATGGGGGTAGAGTTGGAAGAAGACGATATTGGTGTACAAAGGTGGGACTGGGAACGTGGACGGGGAGAGAGCGTCGACATCATGGGATGGAGCCAGGAGCTTCGTCTGACAGGGCAACGCTCTCGCTGGGCAAGAGGAATAATCGAGTGGATTGAGGCGTACGAGTGCACATACGTGTCCCAAGCACGACGAACTGGAGTCGCGCATATCCTAGCGGGCGAGAACCGTCCGTGAACCGTGAACGGGACCGGGCATTCGCACTTGCGGTTATAAGCTCAGAAGTATTCGTGTCGTACAATTCCATTGTATCAATACAATGGAGGCAACGATGGAGTCACTCATTGGAGTGGGATTGTAGCCGAGAATCAATATATTGCTGGCTGTCAAAGTCTGTGATGATGGAGGCAGAGTCCGCGATGATCTCTGTTTTGCATAAATTTGATCCGGGGAAAAGAGACTGATGGGATCAATCCATTGGATGGCTGGCAGAATGCAGAATGAGAAGCAAAATGGATGATTGACTCGGCCAAGGGAGGTGGTCTGGATATAGCGATCCATTGCTGTCTATAGCGATTGTCCGCGAGGTCTACGAAGTATAGGTGTTGGGCTATAGTGGCTATAGTGATCATCGTTCTATAGAAACCCGTCATGCAATTGTCTTCAATCTTGAATTTTGTATTTACTAATCACAATTGCCAAGCAACTGAGATCTGGATCTTCGTAAATGCTTGATTCGCATTGATCTTTAGTGCTCTGCATGCTCGCTCTTGATCGCTGGTCATATCTCGGCTGCGCCGTCAAACATTTCCTGTCTTACATGCCACTCGGCTATATCTCATTTCGTTGCGGGTTTGTTTTTGCCCAATATTCTTGCTCCTTTTTGAGGGGAGCCAAATAGATGTCTTGATACATGGTTCCATACTTTCCCCTCGAGGAATACACCGCGAGAATTCCGAGGGCGAATTCGAACTGCTAATATGAGGAGAAGACGATTTTGGGGGCAAGGATGCCGCCGCACGATAAAATCATACTCACACTCGCCAGACCCAATCTATATATTGCGAATCCAGATAAATTCGTTATGGCATGGCATCTCTCTTCTCGGCTGCGGTTATTACGCGTCAGGAACAGACAGCCCAATTACGCACGTACATTAACCTACCGTTCCTTTCTATTATTCTCACTCTCATATCTTCCCCTTCCCACACGAAGAAAGCATCTTCTTGCTTCCCGCTTCTTTTACCGGTGCGCCCTCTTTCGTCTCTTGCTTTTTCTTCATTCGATGTTGGCGGAACGTTGAGCCGACTCGGAGCGCTCCGCGCAAATTTTCCATCACCACATGCAGCAACAGATAGATAGTAGAGTGGGAAGGAACTTTGGAGGATGACGTTGACAGCGGGATCGACTTCTCCGGACCCGGATGTTGAAGAGAGGATGCACAAAGACGCATCGACAGGGCTCAAGTCTTCTCCCCTTATCTTCTCTCTTTCTTTTTCTGCTCCTGTTAACTGCTGCTCCGATGTCGTCAACCTGTTGTCGTAACCTCTCTCTGAGACTGACGTAGGCAGACTAAGTGCACTTGCCCGCGATTATCTATTGCGGGTCAACCGGATCTGAGATGTCGGTAAAACGAGACACGACAGGACAGGATGCGAGTGAGCCTGAAAGAAGACGTAGAAATCGTAAGAAGGAAAAGCAGCTTGGCATCCATCATCACGTCGAGACCCTGCAGCGGCAACCAAGCCAGGTAAAAGGACGAGACTTGTGCTCGTGCTTATGTTTGTTCGTCCCGCCATCACGGTCAGGTTCGTTCTCGGTCAAAGTCCCGATCTTTCCTCTTTCCCCGCATTACTCTTCTCGAGGAACCTCTACAATCTGGACATTGGACCAGGAAATCTGCTCACCACGGATAAGACTCAAACTACGGATCGGCATGAGCTTGCATATTCCTGATCGCCACCTTAAAACCTCAATATGAGAGAAAGAGGGAGGGCATCCACTCTGTCTGATACAAGGCCTTGGCTAGGCGAAATGTCACAGATCGCATAAGGAAAGTGATGAAAAGAGAAACGGATTTAGGTCTCAGATGACCAGGAATAATCAAGCTTTTGGCCGATATTGCCCAGATTCTTCGCCTTCTGGCTCTTGTCCGTGCCTCGCCTTCTCCGCGCCGCGTGCTGTCTCCGATGAAGTTTCTGGTTGGCCGGGAGGGGTGGAGACTGGCACGCCGAGGTGGCAATTGGGATGGGGGTTACATTGAGCCCAATTCGTAGAACCGGCGGACGGCGAAATCAGGAATACGGAGTACTGCCAGAAATGTAAAGAGAGAGCGGGCGCTCTCTGAAGAGAACCGGTAGGCTACTTTTCTTGAGCATGTAGTAGACGGCATACCGATAGAGAGAGTGAGTTTCCCTCTTTCATACCATACCCATGCCATACAATATGACAGTAGCTTAAGTACCTGTTCCAGCTTTCGGGTCATCAGGCTACATGTATTCATCTCTTCATCTCCTTCAGTCGACTCTCTTGTCCACCTCTTGCTCACGATTCGTCGCCATGAAGCGGCGAAATGCGGGCTTTAATAACGTCGGGATCTACATGTCGAATTCCGCCTTAATTCTTGCCTGTCTGGGACCTACATTGGATATCATCGATAATATACGAGACCTCTTCTGTACAGTTTTCTATAGCCATGTCTGCTATAGCCTTGTCTGTCCTCCCCATATCCAACGCCAGCCATTCGAGTCCACCTTGCCCAGCTGGGAAGGTCACAACCCGGGGTAAAATCCGAATGAGTATTTCAGAATAGATATTCCGCGCCTTACGGATGACTGAAGGGCTATTTTACTACAGAGCAAGGTGGATTTGCTAGACTTCTGTCAGTATGATAGTATCTGATTCCTGAATTAAGGTGTCAAATGCTGTAGCCTCACTGCCTTTTTTTCTTCTTTTTTTCCTTCTCGTTCCCTTAATTCCCTTCACGAACTATAGGTGACGCTATTTTATGTGCGGGTGCTTCTCTTTTGCCGCCTTGCGGGTCTTGACTACTTCATCCGCCCGTCGTGTCTTAAAATCTCAACCTCGTCTCTGCTTTTCGGTGCCATCGTGGAAACTCCTAGCCCCCCTCCCATAGTCTCTCCTGAAGCCTTCTTTCTCTTGAGTCGGTGATATTCTGTTCTCATCGCTCGTCTATGCAACCCGTTAGCCCTCCCACCTTTTTTTTTTCCCCTCTTTTCCTTTTTATACTTGATATAACTTTTGCTGCTTCGCCAACTCCGTTTTCCTTGAATCAGCCTCGTATTTTTTAGGGCAGGCATTACAGATTCCCTGGCTCGTTTCTGATTCCAGTCATATTTACACGAAACGAGCTCTATTTTTGACAAGTCTGATCTCCCCTTTCGCTTCTATCTCCCAGGGCACATTTCAGCAGATTGGCCTCCCTGTTTTATATCCTTCTCATTGCTTCGCTGGTTCTGAGGCATTGTACCTCCCCAAGAGCATGATCTTCCGGATCTGAACCTCGTTCGCATCCCTCCCGTATCTCTATCAGTACCTGGTCCGCACCCTCCACACCACTTCTTAGTTTCCGTTTTTGCATCCCGACCCCAGAGAGCCTCAGCCTACATAGTCACCCGTTTCTTGTGACTACGATCTACTCCAACGTAGCTTGACCTGATCCTGTTAACTTCCTCCTTTCTTCCTCCTCTGCTTTTCTCCTCCCACACCTCCTGAGGGAGAGGTTGAGTCTTCCGTCACCCCTCTATCACCCCTTTGCCCCTCCCCCGCACCAGCCGCGGCATCATCCCATCGGAGGTCACCTCTGACCTCACACGTCGGTGCCGATCTTCCATTGCTTGGTAGCAGGGGCCTAGTATTTTCTCTTCTTCTTCACCTTCAGTTCGGGTCTCGGCTTCAGCTTCGACAGTCAAGATGAGGTTCTTGTGTCTTCCCGGTTCTTACGGGAGCTCGGATGTAAGTTGAGATGATGTCTTTCCCACTTTAGAGTGTCGGGGTGTACAGGTTTGCCACCGCAAGTGGGAATGCGATGGAGCTACCATTCTCGCCTTGAGTGGGGGGGCCACTGCGTGTCGCTCAGGTGGAATAATGGATCGAAAAGAAGAGCACTGGCTGTTGAACTGAGGAATCGCAAATACTAACAACCTCCGAAGAAATTCCAGGTTCAACTCGGTACGGATATGGCTTCCCCAGTGCTCGCTTCATGTCCACCTTAACCAGACAAAAGCTCTCTCTCTCCACTACGTTACTGTACACGAGAAACTTACATGCATCCCCAATTTCCCAGCCCCCATCGTAACAGAGCTCACCTCCGATGAATCCGCAACATTCCACTTCATCAACGGCAACTGCGAAGCCATGCCACCAGAAGGCTTCGAAGAATTCTTCGGCCAGCCGCCCTACCACCGCTTCATCGAGCCCGATGACCCAGACATCGTCGAAGGCGCCGACGTTCTCTCCCGCATCCGCGACTTCCCCGAATGTGAAACCCCCGAGGACACTATGCGCGAGCTCATGCGCGAGGGCGTCGCCGACTGCCGGCGCAGCACCGTGAGAGCCATCCAGTACCTTTACGAGATCATGGAAAAGAGCGGGCCCTTTGACGGCGTGATCGGATACTCCGAGGGTGCCATGTTGGCGGCGACTTTGTTGCTGTTCGAGCAAGTACGGAAGAAGGAGTTTGGTATTGAGCCGATGCTGAAGTGTGGCGTTTTCTTTATGGGTTGGCCGCCATTGCATCCTAAGACTTTGACCTTGGTGCTTGCTGATGAGGCGGATTTGATGATTGAGGTTCCGACGACGCACATCAGTGAGTCTTTTCTTCTTGTTTTCACTTTTTAATCTTCCTTGTTACCTAGTAAAACCAAACAATGTTGCTGATAAGTCTGTCATGCTAGTCGGTTCGCTCGATCCCTATCTCGATGGATCTATGGCGCTTTACAACGTTTGCGACGCGGACACGGCTTACATCTTTGACACGGCAAAAGGACATACTCTCCCAAGAGAGAAGACGTTGGTAAAGGAGTTGGGCGATACACTCAGGAACATGATGGCTCAGGTTCAGTAGATGGATGGATCGAATCACTGCATTAGACCTATGATGTTTTCCCCCTCGGTTTCTTTTTTTCAATGTTCTTTTTCTTTCCGCCTCAGATTTCGATTCGTTGTTTATAAGTTTATAACTTCTCTTCTTCTTCCACGGTTTCACTTCACATCTTCGATTCGACTAGCTTGCGCTCTTATAAAATACTCCTTCGTTTTCCGCCTTCCTTTTTCAGAGCCAGTTCTTCTCAACTGTCTCGCTCTTCACGACCACGCAGCCCCTTTCTGTCACTTTTAAAGGTATCAATAGAGTTATAAATATCCAAAAGGCCTTTTGCCCGTAAAATCGGAACATGGGTTCCCAAGCTCCCCATGATACATGCGCAGAAGGCTCCTGAGAGTACCCCAAAAAGAGAAGCTATCCCTGACCTGGGACCCCTCATCGGAGAGCTACTCTCCCCGGTTTATGCATTAGATGAGGACTGAAATAATATAATACCGCGGAGAATGTCCTGACAGGTCGGCTCAGTAGGTAAATCTTCCGTCGGCTTGGCACTTTCAAATTAAGCAAAAAGTAGATACGCGGGGGAAAGCAGCCTAAGAGTTGGGACCACCTCGTCCGGGACTTGTAACGGGAAAGGGGGAAAAACCGGTAAGGCCTGCCGATTGGGGGTCGCCCTCTTGGGACATGTGGAAGGGAATGAAGCTCGCCTGAATGCGGACGAACGTATTTGGCGTTACGGCAGCTCACCTTCGGGATGAGCTTCGTTCACCCCGAGAGCGATAGTCAATTTGTACAGCTTGTGATACTTGGAATAGAGCACATTGGGAAAGAGGCCATATAGACTCAGGATGGCGAGCTACAACTGGCCGGAGAGAGAGCGGGGGCCATTAAACGGTGCTTGCGTATGCAGGACCCGGATGAGATGCCGCTTTCATCCCGGCGGGTTCACCATTGTCGCCATCGACGTTTGCTGTCTCGTTTTTCAGCCTCCTCCTAGGGCGGTTTTAAGCAGGCGAGAATATAAATGAGCCAACGCAACTACCGCGACGACTACCCGAAGCGGGAATGCATATGAAAAGAGGGCGAAAGGGAAGAAATCAATCTTACAGGAAAAGACACGCGTCCGACCCACGCAGTCCTCCCCGTCGCGGATCTGTTCCTCAGATAAGCAGTCTTTCATTTTCCTGCTCCCAGAGACAAAAGGCAATGGAGAAGAATAAAGGAGAACAATAGAGAGATTTGACAAGGGTATGAGGTGTACGATTAAGGTATTGATCCTCCCCTTCCTCCATACTGACAGCTCTACTTCGTACATCAATCCCATTTATACGGATCAGTCAAGGTGTGTTGATATCATTCAGGCTGAAAAGACCAGCCCTCCACTCCATTGAATTTCCCAATTTTTAATGCCACGTTTAGAACTTCCCTTGAAACCCGCTCAAGGTCGAGAAAGAGATGAAATGAGCCGAAGACCACAGCCGGGGCGGCGCATGGCAGTGGAAGCGGGAATTGGGTGATGTTCTGTATAAATTAATTAACCCTAAGCAGATCTGGACTACGGGGCTACTCCCAGTCTGCAGTTGAAAGGACAAAGTATATCTATGGGGCGGCGAAAAAGAAGAAGGGTCATCGGACCTCTTGCTTGTAAATGACTTGATTTAATATCGAAAGATAAAAAGATATATACATTTTCGTTACAAAGAACCTCCGAAGTCGAGTCGTACGTAGGCCCAGCCACATCATAACACTCTCAGCCCGTGGCCTAGGGAATGGGCAAACTCTTGAAAGTGAAGAGAGATTGCTATCTATGAACGCGTGTCTGGCTTGGTGCCTTGATGCTTGACGGAAGCCGTTCCATCGCCTTTCTTCTTTCCTTCTCCCCTCGGTCTGATTCTCACGTTCGAAATGGGAGGGAAGCGAGTTTTGCCTTCTTCGCGCCCGCTTCCGGGGAACACCTATAACACGGGCTATAACACCGAGTGGCATGCCGGGACGGACCACACCAAAAAGGGCAATATGAGTGATGAGCCAGCACTAGCAGGTGAAGAGGACAAGGAGATTCTGGTCGAAGCATACAAGTCATCTATATGACATATGAGCCGGTTGCACACCACATCGTACCTTTTTTGCCATAACTAGATCTGATCCGAATTTCGTGCCCCTTGATGGTGCCTGGTATTGCCCGGGTTAATCCACACTCTCTTTAGAAGACGCCTCCTGCTCTCTATACGGCCATGCATATTGCTGTAATACTGTTTTCAACTCACCAATAGCTTGTATATCTTTTTGACTCTTTGGATGCTGCGTAATGTCTGCAAAGCAACTACGCCGCCCATCATCCGGTTCTCTCGGCCTGTGTCATCCGAACGCCATCTGACAGGCGAGGTTGGAAAGGCTCAAGAATTAATTGAGCGTCCACTTCTCCGGGCCTAATCCAGGGTCAGCACCCTTGCCTCTGAGCTCGCTTTGTTCCGGCACTCCGAGGTCTTCCATTTCTAAAGAAACAGTGCCGAATCGAAAGATCTGTAGAACCTGCTCGGCCGAAAGAGCTTCGTTGCTCACGTTGCCTGATTTCCCAACCCCAACAACATCTTTGCTCCCATCCTTCGCGGTACTGGCGCACTTGCACTCTTTTCATGTACGTATGTCCCCACGAGAATTTGGAAAAACGATGTAAACAGAGTAGAATTCTAAGGCTAGATTCCCGGTAGTAGCCAGTGCAAGAGATAGCTCTGCTAGCTCTGCACACCCACGCTGCTGAGGCTACTACAGAATTATCTATCAACCAGCCTGTCCTTCGCATTCTATCCGCCTTCTAGAAACAGTAGTCACTTTTGCTTCGGTGCCTTGCCACAAAGTCCAATCTCAAGTCGAGAGAAACAAGAAGAGAAAGTTGTTGAACGGTGATGGAGGCAAGAAGACTCTAGCGCGCTGGTCTCTCCAGCATCTTCTCCCATCCCATCAAGCCTCGCTCGTTTTCCTCTCTCAACTTATTTGTTTTTTCCCTTTGCGCTCGGCAGGTAGTGCCGCCATTCACTCTTTCATCTCAAGATACCCCCATCGTGTACGTGACTTCTCTTGGCTGTAGCTTCATTCCGCTACCCAAGGCTCTCGTGCCTAACAATGGATAACTCCAAACCCTCCCCCTCCGAGGCCCCAGTGCCTCCCCCGGCCATCACTACCACAACCCCTTCCACTCCGCCCACAGCCTCTTTCTCCCTCCCACCTCCGGCCCCGACACCAACCCCATCACCGGCCGGCGCGTCCCTAAACCCAGGCCCGCTCGCTCCCAAAACCTCCTACACATCCATACAAACAACAACGGAGTCCCTCCCGCCAAGCGCCGGGGTCTCCCAGAAACCATCATATGCCTCCCTCGCCTCGACAAAGGGACTCGTGGGGGCTGCGGCCCCGATAGCTGGAGCCAGTGGGACAACTGCCGCAGTGAAGCCTACCTTGGCGGATTTACCTGAGAGTCCCAGGTCGCCCAGTTCGTTGAAGAAGTGGGGCGCGATATTCAAGGGACCTCAGAGCGCTTCTCAGTCTCAGGCTAGTGTTGCGCCCGCGGGATCGGCTGGTTCTGGGGCTGGAATAGCTGCCGCTGCGCCAGCGGTGGCAGTCGGTCCTGGGAAGGTGGATGAGAAGGTTGTCGCAAAACCGGCCGAGACTAAGAAGGCGCCGACAAAGGTGGATGAGTATAAGAAGCGGTTCTTTACTTTTTGGGTATGTTACTTATGAGCTATTCTGTTAAAGAATGAAAACTGATGGGCGGCTTCTAGAGGTTATTTACTTTCACGTCGACGAGGGATAGGATATGGCTTGCCTTCGCTGTTTTCGCCGCCATGGCAGCCGGTTGTATCATGCCCTTGGCGAGCATCGTGTTTGGTAGGTCCTCCAGAATCTGGGCGACGTCCGAACAGGATGCCCTTGGTACTAACACGTTTATTCAAAGGGCGACTTGTAACTGCCGCGACGGCTTATGACCCAACAGCGTCAACGGAAAGACATCGAGAACTATTCAAAAATGAAGTGCGAGAATGCGTGTAAGTCATTTCTCTATCTTCCTGGGCTACTAATCGAAAGATTCTGGGTGCCTACTGACAAGATCAGGTTATACATGGTCTATCTCTTCATCGGCAAATTCGTCCTTTCATACTGCTCAATGGTAAGGAAAGAGGGCCATCGGGTCCATTCCCAATCGTCACCCCCTCCTCCGGGGACTCCATACTAACAAAAACCAAGCTCGGCTTCCGAATGAACTCCCTCCGCATCTCCGCCAACCTCCGCCTCACCTACCTCACCTCGGTCCTCCCACAACCCATCTCCATGCTCGATGCTTTACCGGCAGGCCGTATGACAGCTATCCTCACCAACACAGCCAACACCGTCCAGCTCGGCATTGGCGAAAAGCTTGGTTCCCTAGTAACGGCCCTATCTCTTGTCATAATCGCCCTTACTATCGCCTTGTCCCACAGTTGGAAGTTGACTTTAGTGTCCGCTAGCGGATTGGTCGTGATTGCCATCACGTATGGGACTACGATGCCGTTCATGATTCGGAAGCTGAAGAGCGTCGAGGAGTCGGATATGGCCGCTTCGAGTATAGCGGGGGAGGCGCTAAACTCGGTCAGGATGGTGGCGGCTTGCGGTGCTGAAGCGAAGATGGCGGAGAGGTATGCCGGTTGGGTGAGGGAGTCGAGGAAGAGAGGAGCGGGGATGGCAAAGATTGTGGCTATCCAGCAGGCTATTGGTGAGTTTCTCCATATCCCCTGAGACGATAAAATTTACGCTTTCAATATGAGACAACTTTTCTAACCATGGCGATAGTCTTCTTTACGATATATGCGTAAGTGTGGATATATTTACCGGAGGGAGGAGCCTCATTAGTTCTTTCTAGACTAACGCGGATCTACAGGACATATGCGCTTACCTTCTACTTCGCCATCAAGATGTATCTCAACTTTGAGATACCCAGCGTTGGAACCCTCGTCATGTAAGTGCAGGGAAGCCCCTCTCTCTAATCCATCCCTCGCCACTTCTAACATGCATGTCTTTCCATGGAGTGTCCTCATGTGTACAATGATGATCATCGCCTCTGTCAGCGGCCTAGCTGCGCCCATCTCGGCAGCAATTAGATCTTCAATAGCCGCCAAAGCTCTCTTCAATGGCATCGACATTCCCAAACCCCATCTCGGAGGAAAGAAAGCCCCCGAAGTCTCGGCGAGGGGAGACATCGTGCTCACCAACGTCAATTTCACGTATCCCGCGCGCCACGACAGGAAGGTTCTCATCACAGTCAATCTCAGGATTCCTGCGGGCAAGACGACGGCCATTGTTGGGCCTTCGGGGTCCGGGAAGAGTACGATTGTGGGGCTAATTGAGAGATGGTATGAGCTTGATGGGGACTGGAAGACGAACTTAAAGGTAAGAATGGAACAATAAGAAAGTCAAACGATGATTCATGGCCAGTTCTTGCTAATTTGAGATGGGATACAGACGTACTACTTCCGAAACGGAAGGATAACTTGCGGAGGTGTCGACCTGAAAGAAATGGACCTCCGATGGTGGCGATCGCAAATCGGGCTCGTCCAGCAGGAGCCCTTCCTCTTTAACGACACCATCCAAAAGAACATCGAGTACGGTCTCGTCGGAACAATTTGGGAAGACGCACCTCAAGAGAAGAAAACCACCCTCGTGAAGAAAGCCTGTCGTGAAGCCTTTGCCGATGAGTTCATCTCTCGGCTGCCAGAGGTAAATTGGTTTAAACCCTCTTCCTCCAAGCCTAGGCACACTCCGAACATAACATCTAACATTCGTAATGTTCCATCAAGGGCTTTCAAACTCAAGTGGGAGACGGCGGCATCAAACTAAGCGGTGGCCAACGCCAACGCCTTGCCATCGCCCGTGCCCTCATCCGTAGCCCTAAAATCCTCATCCTCGACGAAGCGACGAGCGCAATCGATGTGCGCAGTGAACAAATCGTCCAAGCGGCACTCGAACGGGCATCCCAAGGCCGCACGACCATCACTATCGCCCACCGTCTCTCAACGGTGCGCAAGGCCGACAACATCGTCGTCTTGGCCAAGGGCAAGGTCGTGCAGCAGGGCACGCATGAGCAGTTAATGGCCCAAGTTGGCGGTGCTTATTGGAAGCTTGCGACGGCGCAGAAGATGAATCTTGGGGAGGATGAGGATGAGGAGGATAAGTATAAGTGGGTGAGGAGTTTGGAGAGGGTCAGTTTGGCGGAGATGCTGATTCTGGGGGATAAGCACAAGAGCATGGATCTTATGGAGTCGGATGCGACAACTACTAGCGGCGAGACCAAGGATGGGGGTGAAGGGGAGTATGTGCCCAAGGGATTCTTCGGCAGCTTTGGTACCTTGATTGTTGAGCAGGGTAAGAAGTGGCCTTGGTATACGGCTCTGCTTTTCGGGGCTCTCATTGCGGGAGGTAAGTCCCTAGGTCCTTTCCAGTTTATTACTTTCTTCCTCTTTGTCGCTGTCCCTCCACCTCTTGTTGAGAGCTACTAACTTATTTACTTCCTCTCTCAGCTTGCACTCCGATTCAGGCTTTCCTCTTTGCCAATGCACTCACCGGATTCTACCTCTGGGGGGAAGCTCTCCGAGCCCACATCAACTTCTGGTGTCTCATGTTTACAGCCCTAGCAGGCGCTGTTGGGCTCGGCTATTGCATCCTAGGCGGATCGGCGACAACTCTCGCCTTTGTAAGTGACTTCAAGCTTCCTCCGTTCCAGTCGTTCGTCTTCTTCTTCAACTAACACAGTCACTTAGAAAATCACGGCAACTTACCGCAAAGAATATTTCAAAAACATAATCTCAAAACCAATCTCCTTCTTCGACACCGACGACCACTCCCCCGGCGCCCTAACCGCCCTCATCGCCACAGATCCCTCCCAACTCCAACAGCTCCTCGGCACAAACATGGGCTTCGCTCTCATCTCCGTCCTCGCCGTAACGGGCTGCATCATCCTTTCCTTCTACTTCGGCTGGAAACTCGCCCTTGCCGCCCTCGGAGGCTCCCTGCCCCTTGTCCTCGCAGCCGGTTTCTACCGCATCCGGTACGAGTCGAAGTTTGAAAAGACCAACAGGACGGTGTTTGGAGAGAGTGCGAGGTTTTCGACCGAGGCTGTTGGGGCGGCAAGGACGGTGACGGCGTTTACGATGGAGGAGGGGATTTTGGATCGGTATGAGGATTTGCTAAATAGGCATTTGGATAAGGCGTGGCACAAGGCAAAGTATTCGACATTAGTGTTTGCGGCGAGTGATGGGATGCAGCTCTTGTGCATGGCCTTCATGCTTTGGTAAGTTCTCCTTTCTTGAGGGGGGATTCGAACAAGTTTACTTATAAATGAGGCCTTGCAATGCTGATAACTCTCTTTAGGTATGGCGGAAAGCTCCTCGCTGAAGGCGAGTACGTAACCTTCCAGTATCTCGTCGTCTACATCGCGGTCATGCAAGGCGGCATGGCTGCGGGACAATGGCTCAGCTACGCGCCTAATATCGCACAGGCCACAGCAGCCGCGAATCGCATCCTTGCCTCAAGACCCCCGAGACAGGGGACCGTCGAGAAACAAGTCTCCCGGAAGGGCAAGGATGAGGACAAGAGTTTCGAGGCGGGCGTGGATAGTGACTCGCAGAGGGGCGTGAGGGTTGAGTTTTTAAACGTCTGGTTCCGGTATCCCACTAGAGATGCGCCTGTTCTCAATGGCCTTAATCTTACTGTAAGAACATCATCACACCTGTCTACGATAGCTCGATGCTAACCTTTTGCGCAATAGATAAAACAAGGGCAATTTGCTGCTATCGTAGGGGCTTCCGGTAAGTTGCCTGCTAATAAGCAAGTTATCTCTTCACGGCCAGGCCAGACCCTAACCAGAAACCATGCAGGAGCCGGGAAAACGAGCATCGTCTCTCTCCTCGAAAGGTGTCTTCGAAATCCCCCTCACTTCTCCTCGCACAAGCTCCCGCATATCAACTAACACGGAACCAGATTCTACTCGGTCAACGCCGGTGCCATATACCTCAACGACACCGACATCTCCACCATCCCCCTCCAAACCTACCGCCAAAGCATCTCCCTCGTCGCCCAAGAATCCAACCTCTTCAGCGGCACCATCCGCGAAAACATCCTCGCAGGCGTCCCCGACCCGTCCACCATCTCCGAATCCACTCTCCACGAAGTCTGCACCTCCGTCGAGATGCACGACTTCATCATCTCCCTCCCCGAAGGCTACGAGACGCGCGTCGGCCAAAAGGGCGTCCTGCTCTCGGGCGGGCAGAGGCAGCGCATCGCCATCGCGCGGGCTCTCGTCCGCCGGCCGAAGCTTTTGCTGCTGGATGAGGCGACGGCGAGTTTGGACTCTGAGGTGGAGAGGGCGATTCAGAAGGTGTTTGAGAGGATGAAGGGGGCGAGGACGATGGTTGTTGTCGCGCATAGGTTGGCGACGGTGCAGAATGCTGATGTTATCTTCGTGCTCAGTGAGGGTCAGGTTGTTGAGAGGGGGACGCATGTGGAGTTGCTGGCTATGAGGGGCGCGTATCACCGGATGGTAAGTTTGTTCTTGCGCCGGCTTGCGGTGCTTTCGTTTTCTGATCTTTGACTATGGGACTGACATCTTTCTCTTTCAGTGCATCGCGCAAGCTTTGGACCGATAGGGTGGAGCATCCTAGCGTTGGTGCTCCCCGACGACAGAATGTGTGATTGGTTTACATGAAAATGGGAAGGAAAGAAATTCATATCTGCATGAAAGTGTAAAGAGGAATGGGAATAAGCTGCATTCTGAGAAGGAGAGCATCAGCGAGACAGGATGGGAAGGTTTGGATGCGATAGAAAATATTTCAAACGAATTGACGACTTTTCCAACTAGCAGTATAAAATAAATGCTTTGTTTCAACAACAATATTTTCTCCAAGTGAGAAAAAGTGCCCGACTTAGAATGGAAGATGACTTTCTTGGTATAGTAGACCGGAAGAGGAGTTTGTGAAGATAACTCGACATCAACTCCGGACACCTCTGCTATGCAAAACGATAAATGAAAAAAACAAGAAGCGACCTTAAGAAACTCGATATGAACTGTAGATAAAAGTTAGTTTAACAGACAGCCAGGGAGGGGAGACCAACAAGGAGGGGGGAGGGGGGAAGAAAAGCATCTCACTCCAATATCAGCTCATCGTCCTTCCATACTCCAGATCCGATCCATAGTCCCAGGTTTACAGTCTCGGCATATCTCGGATCCTGCGTCCGAAGTGACATGACCATGCGGAAAGTGTAGCTCTTCGTGTCGTCGATGTTGCCTTGAAGGATAGTCTCTAGGGCGCCGGGAAGATAGGAGATGTAGCCCCGCGTTCGCAACTCCAACCTGCCAAATTCGTTAGCCAAGATAAATAGGGATATTTATCATCTCCATTATCTCCAGGGGCATTAGAAACTTACTTCGCAGGTGGCTCGTCGTCCGTGACAAGCTCAAAAGCGGTGTCGAGTCTCGCCCTCGTCTTCTCAGCTAGCTGTGAAGGTTGTAAATCGTGCCCGCCGACCTATGTCTCCCCGTTAGTATGAAGGGGTCCACGTCGACTTGGAACTCTCTTTTCACATCCTCACCCAGGAGGGTGGGAGTACTCACTCTAACAACCCCCTTGCCAAATGATCCAGCCCATGTTCCACTCTCCACAACGGTTAACTCCTTCGCAGCTCCGTCGCCTGAGTTAACCATACACCGGGCCTTCCTCAACTTGACAGCCAACCGAAAGTCAAGCTCCAGAGTCGGAATCGGCAACAACAGCTCTGGATACGGCACGCCCAGCCTAGCCCTCATGATGGTTTCCATCTCGACATCGTGTGCCGTGGACATCGTCGATGAAGGTGGCGGCGTGGGGATGTGAGATGGAGGCGCATCCTCCATCACTTCGGATACGGGACTGGTCATGGTTTGCCAGCCGTCGTGGTGGCGGGCCCGAGAGGCGTCGGGAAGCTTGCTGAAGTCGGCGGATATTGTGATGAGCCAGTTGGTTTCCCAGTCGCTGGTAGGTTTTGTTCGTCCGTCTTTGCGTTTAGTTACTCGGCTGGAGTATGGAGATGAGGTGCTCATGTTGAGGCTATAAGAGCGCAAAGGCGTGTAAACAGATTTGGGTGGAAGCGCAGAAACGTCCTTGGCCTGCGCACAAAAATAGCAGGAGATAAACCTTTTTAACTTGTAGTATCCGGTTGCAACCTCGAGATTATTAAGGGCAAAGTCGAAAAACTATATGATCGACAATTTCAACCGTATTAAAAGCATAAGCATCCAGCCAGTCTGCATGGACGGGGATGGTGTTGTATGCGCGGATCACCACCAATGCTGATGCTTGTAAGCGTCTAAGTTCGTTTTCAGTCTCCTCGATCGCGTTATGCCCCCTCCACTCGGAGATAGTATGCTCCGGAGTCTGCAATGTGTACATACCAGGATGTGAAGAAAGAAAAGACGACCCATTGCTCCACGTCGAGAGGAAAGTTGGCCCATATATGAGTGCCGTTACAACCTTCATTAACACTCATTCCTCATCTTGGCTAAGGTTCCAAAAGCATGGGACCCCATACCAAGCCTCGGTTCCACAAGGAATAATACAACCCCGAGTTTGTTTGTCAAGGTCAGCTGTCCCCATCATGCCCAGCCTCATCCTGCCCGGAATCTCACCATTTAAGCCCACTCAAATACCACTTTACCAGCTGCTTCCTTCCTTCCCATTCACAAGCACCAAGCTGTGGTAAAAATCCCGATATCAAGGGAGTAAGTAATATATTAAAAATTGGAAATTGAAAAAACAGGAATACCCCGAGTCTGGGGAAAAAATGGCCCCCACGGAGCGACTCCCCACTCCTTCTCGGATGGACTATCAGCCCGCAGCTCCGACTTGCATCACCAGTTTTACAGGCTTTTATGCCTAACAATATCTTCGTATGGCTCGGTTTTTTCCCCTTTCTCCTAGCCTAGACGAGAGAGGGATAACTTATTGGTTAGATGTATCATTATTCTCTAATAATACCCTCGTTGGCGCGACATGAGCACGACAAAACAAAATTATCGACGCTATCAAGCTGCGCCAAGTCGGGCTCAAGCCAGTTATTGATGTATGCTCGGTCCAGGTGAGGGAATGGAGTGCGACATACAGGACTTGGGTCCCGGTCGATGGTGGCTTGACATCCCCGGAGTGAAGAGCCCGGCCATCGGGGACTTTGGCGCATCGGCGACCAATGAATGGTTTGATGGCGGATGAAACGGTCAAATTGACTGCTCCGACCTGCCGTCAATGGAATAATAATAGAACTAAACCTTGAGTATTCGAGTCATCCTTACCCTCAAGACAACAAACCATTCTGGAATTTCAAACCTGCAGAATCGGTCGATTTTCCTGCGTCGTCCTGGAATGTTCCTCCGCCCTTGGTATTGGAGGGATGTCGTGTAACGAGCGATAGGATGCTTACCCTGCGGAATCCTCAATCCTGTCGCTGCGGGTGCTTATCCTGGGGAGAACTAAGGATAATCGCTTCTGCTGATGATCCTCGAAGAGTTGCCAAGCCGTTATGCTCCCACCACTTTCTCCATTCAGCACAGCAGTATGCGACCATTGTGCAATATATCTTGGCGAACCTATCTAGTGGCCAACGTGGAGGTGGAGACGCTCCCGTGAGCCTCCAAGCATCGCCCGAGACAGCCTTTACATCATCTCAAGAGTATCTATCACCAAAGAACCTTACGCCTTGTCGGCCGCTCTCGCCATTCGACCTTTCCCTTTGCCTTCCCGACACGGCTTAACTAGAACGGGTTCCACGTCGCCGCCTGGGTCCAGTGTGGGGAGTCGCCGAGCAACTAGAGCACCTGTGCAGCTCCGCCCATATATTTGACGATGAGGCTATCACAGCCCCCATCAAACTAGAATCCTCGATTGCCGATTTCGTAGCTGCAACATTTCTCACTGGCTTACACTTTGTTTTCATTGGAGCCCGCGCTTACCGCCATTTAACTAGAAACTAGTCATCAATTTCTTCATTCCCTCGAGCGTCCGATGTTTGGGGGGTGGTATTCAAAGATGAGAGAATCGGCCTCTTGAAGAACCAGATGGGCCTAGACTAAGCCTTCAACGACTAGAAATTCCAAGTTCCAAAGCCGTAGCGGATCGCCGCTAAAAAAAAGATCTTGAACTGCTAACGAACCCCAAACTCTTTCAAACGCGGTGGTATGATTGCCCCCGGCCGATAAGAGGATTGAGCATCCCACCTAAGAATTTAGAAAACCACTTCGTAGTCCCCGGAGCTTGTTTCCGGCGTCGGTTGGGGAAACGGAGCCGGAAGAGGCCGATTCCGGCTCGGAGAAACTGTTGGACGTCTCCATGTTTTACTGCGGCGTGATGCTTCAAGGCAACACATTCGGAATCCTGCAAATCGGACTCCAGGCCACCCACAAGCCCACATCACGATCTCTACACCATCTTAGGCCTCGCCCTTACTTCCTTACGACACGATTAAGACCTCGCCTCGGACAGCTTCACGATCCATACGACACCACAACTCGTCGTGTAAAAACTCCAAACACTCCCATTTTTAAATCTCAAAACCTTTTTAAACCCATGAACCAGCTGGAACAAAGAAATATGCAGACATCAAATCTGATAAAATGCAAAATGCAATTTGAAAAATGAGAAAAATAAGAGGGTCCGTAGACAAAGAAAAGAAATAGAATAAAAAAGTTCGGGGTCGAGGAAAGAAAACAACCTCGTCCCCTCCTTTTTTATCACGGGGCACATTCATGTGCGCCACATTGTTTCGACCACCCTTGATGGGGCTCACCGCCGAGCAAACAGCAAAAAGTTGGACGAAGCATGTAAAAAGCGGAAGAATCGAAAAAATGCGACGTCGCTAAGTACGGCAGGTACGTAAACTACATCTCAGAAGTGAACATCATAACAAGAGGTCTTTTAACATGCAGAGACCGGTTCATGTGCCGCCGATCTGCGTAGGCATTGGAAGACCCTCCAATGCCTACTTTCGTTCATTTCTTATTTCTTCCATGAAATGCTCCTTCTTACGCAAGGACGGTGGGGTTGCCGAGGGGAACCTTGACGTTCTCGGCGTACGCGCCAGGAACGTTTCCTATCAAATGAGTTAGGGATAATTTCCAAATACTAGTCACAGAGGGGAGGGATATGCATACCGGCAGGGCCGTAGTTGCAGACGGCGAACCAGCCACGCATGCCGCTAGCAAGCTGGCCGGCTTCGCAGTAGGAGATAGCGCAGCCGATGGTCGTGGTGCTGGCCCAGACAATCTGAGAAAGGTGGCCCCACTTCTCGAAGTTGGTCATGTCGGGGTTGGCACCGAAGCTGGGGTACAAGCTGAACTCGTCGTTGTACCAGAGACCAGTGATGGCGCGCTGGAGGGCATCGGCGTCACCGGGGAGATCGCCAGTAGAAGCGGACATGGCAATGTTCTGGCCATAACCACCGCCACCAATTTTACTAGATTCAAATTAGCAGCTGACCGAGGATGGGGAAAAGCGAAGAGAGCAGGATGGCTTACGTGTCATGGCCGTAGTTGCAAGTGTTGGCGAGCTGCTGGGCGTACGAAGCAAGGTTGCTATCCCAGGTCACGGCGGGGGCGGAGTGGTTGGAGCGGTGGACGTTGTGGGCATTGAGCGAGGCTTCCTGGGCGCTGCCAGCAGGAGCAGCCTGGACGGGCTCAGGCTGCGCCTGGGGCTGTTCGGCGGTGGGTTGCTCGACAGGGGTCTCGACGACGGGAGCAGGCTCGGGCTCAGCAACGGGCGCCGGCTCCGGTTCAGGCTCGGGGGCAGGAGCAGGAGTGGGCTCGGGCTGGGGTTCGGGGGTAGGTTGGGGGTTCGCGATGTTCTCGAAGACAACGAAAGCCTTGTCGGTGGGCTGAGGGCCAAGGTGAGTAGCAGGGGAACCGTCGGGGTAGACGAAGACCGTGACGGTCTTAATGTCGAGATCGGTGACGTAGAGACGCTTGTGGACGGGGCTGGCGAGAGCAAGCATGGCATTGGCCACGGCAAGAGCGAGAGAAGCCTTCATCTTGAACGATTTCAGGTCTGATATATAAACCTGTTTCTGTATGTGAGTATCTTCCTCACATTTGTATCATTGCATCTCTCCCCATGACATCTGCCGGGGTGGGCCAATCCCTCGACACATTTTTATATTTTGACCAGTTCATTGCCCCCCGCCGTGCTTGAATGCTCTGTTCCACACGTCCTCCGCACGACGTCTACTCCATTGTCGGCTTACCTTTGATAATGTTCGAAGTTAAGTCGAATGAAGTCTTTGTCCTGACGTAAAAGGGATGCTCGGCGAATTGGAGTCGCACGGTTTGCTTTCAGTTCCAGCTGGGGATCGACAGCACTGCTGATATCACAGAAAATGACAGGTCCTTCAAGGTACCTTGGTCGTTTGGAGATTCGACTAAAGTCGTGGATATGGTGGTGGAAGGGAAGGCTCCGGGCTCCGATATCACTGGGGATGCTAGATCCTGCCTTGTCTTTTCACTACACCGAAGTCGGGAGTGCCTTGTTCAACTCGAAAAAGCCGGCGAGAGGGATATGGAGGGATGGGAGACGAAGTGAATATAAAAAAGGAATGGACTGTGCCTGTCTAAGAAAGGAGTGACTCGACTGGACACAAAAAAGAATATTGGCGTGTGAGGACCACGGGAAGGGAAAACCAGACGGTTGGAGGAGAGAAGAGAAGAAGAGACAAAAACTAGGCCGGTCGAGGTGGTCTCAGGCCCGTTTAGTATTTGAGGAGAGAGGTGCGGTGTCCAAGCCGCGACTATTAGAGGGGGTTCAAGGTTGCTGGGGTCCATCCAGAGAAGACGAAATGGAAGGCACAACACGGGCTGGAACTGTGTACTTTGAACTAACATTGTTGATGGTTGATGGCCAGGGGGGTGTGGATTCGGAAATGGGGCGTACGACTACACCCTCTGGTATATGGTACTCGAGAACTCTGTGTATTCGCTACTAGAAATAAGTAGATACTACGAAGGTACAACATACTCTTCAGAAAATGAAGGAGCATTGTCAGCAACAATTACTTGGACGATCCTCTGGTCAAGTCTACTTTGTGCCTTGAAGCTTGGGGCGCTAGGGCCTTTGATGAAAGGGTCGTGGAAGGGAGACGCACCCTTGGAAATCGAGCGTGGGACTTGATCAAGCGCCAGCAACAGGGTTTTACTTCGTAGAGGGGCAACATTGAACCTTCCCAGAGCACCACTAGCCCATTGACTTGTCCGAAGTATTATACTAAGAAGGAAACTGGTCTTGATGTTATTTTATCACCAATATCTCGGACCTTATGTTGATCTCGCGTCTTGGATTTATGCTTGGCAGTGTCAATAGTGCAGGTGTGTCCGGATCCGGATCTCACTTGACACAGCAGCTTCGCAAGGACCCCTTTCTCGCCTTCGGGGTTTGCTGGAGCTGAAAACGAATGGAGGAGTCTTTGGTTATGATTGTAGAACAGGTGGTCTGAATGTTGGCGAAATACTTCAGTAGTAATGCTAATTACCTGTGTACATCAAGAAAGACTACTTCGTGAGTACGAATTGATCGAGGCAACATCGTGAATTGCCCAATGCTCAATGGTACCTGCATGCAATCCAACCCCTGACCGCTCCCCCGTGCCCAGATACCGCCCAGTTTACTGATGTACCGGTAGGGCGATTACGAGTGCGTGAATACAAGGGCGTTTGAGTCTAAACCAACGAGTCCCTGCTACGCTGTAAAATTGGCAATCTCTACCCATCTCGACAATTACCAGACGAACCGGGTCCATCTTCCTTAAATCCCCCTCCAATTCAAGAGAGACGGCACGGACGAAGGAAGGGGCAATCATGTCCGCCCAACAGCAACAGCCGATTAGAAACCCCTAGAGTGGGTTTAATTGGTGAAAGTGCTAAGTCAACGCCGACGAAGGACATTGAGCATATTGATCCATCGCTGCGTACGAAGGAGATCCTGCTGCAGTGAGAATTTTAGCGTCGGCATGGGGCAGACATTCAATCTACACCGGTCCTGGCATCTTCTCATCTTATGGATTCGACGAAATTTCTATCTCCATGAGGATTGATACTTCTGATGCCGCCAATGCGAATGCGTAATTGAAGGATGTGAGCCGTGGACAGCAACATTCAACACCTTGAATATGGAAAAGGTCGTCAATTCTATGAATCCAGGCTCGCTCCCGATATGGGCGGCGATATCAATAGTGATAAAATGAGCCAGGATGCTCCCAGAAATGGGACCTTCGTCTCCAAATGGTACATGAATACTCTTCGGACAACGAAGTCGCTGGCGCCTTCCCCCTGATTTTAGTGTCGGTGTGGTCATCTCAATACAACCACCCCTTCCTTCATCTTGCCACACTCCCCGGCCTTGTTCTCCTTCCCCTTCTGAACCGCCAGTCCAGGGACGGAAGGGGCCAAATTAGGCCTTCATCATGATTCCATCCAATGATCTGGGCCGGTTCCTTGCAGAACAGGAACCCCACGAGCCAATGGGAGAAGGAGCGACCATCTTCCAAGTCCACCTGCGAATTTCCCCACACAGGCGCAGATCATCCCAGTTGATCCTGAAACAGCTCTAATTTCGCTGTCTCCAGAGTCAATCGACGACCCAGATTAGTGTGGGCGTTCCTCCCTTTCTCTGATGATTTTTAGCGTTGGCTGATCCACGATCCCACGATCCCGCTGTGCTTCCTTGTCGTTGCCCCCCAGTACGCCGGGCCAGGGATACGATAACACAGGAAACCCTGGTCCGCGAGGATGAAGGATTTTACGGAAAATGAGCCTCTCATTTCGAGGCATCATCCATCACAGAAAAGTCGCGAACACCCGTTTGAAAATTGGAGCAACTCACCCCAGCTGCCGCTGTTCCAATTTGTCTCGAAACTCCGTCATCTCAATTTTTTTATGGGAACCCTTATTGCTCTCTGGCTCAGGGTATCCACCATGTCTGAGGACGCTGGTCCTCCGAGTGGTCTCTAATGACCGACTTTGAAACCACGGCGCTTCTGGCTTGTTCAGTCGAAGCGCCGAGGACTTTGAACGTCGGCGCTGACGAAAGCCCCCTTGGAACCGGTCGCCGCCTGGACTCGCCCATATTAGTGTACAAAGCGCTCCATTCATTGGTATTATCAATGATTCGATGGCACGGTGTTCCGTGTTTGCAGCGTCCGATATTTTCCATCTACTTGTATAAACTTCGTTGAGTTCTCGACGCCTTGCAGATGAGATTTAAGTTTACGACGCCGTCTGAATGCCCTAGCACACTCTTCCGCGAGGCGTGCTGAGCGATTTACAAGCCTGTAGCCCTTCTTGTTGCCACTGCTGCCCCTGTCTCTCTCGGATCTCAGACATTGGACAAGACATTCATTCGGGGCTCTTCCTGCTCAAAACGTATTATCCTGCTGCTCGTTCTAATACTGCATGCAGCGCAAGAGGAAGGTTAGCCTGCTCAGACTACGGAATCGAAGACCACGTCAGACAGACGTGGACCCATCACGGTGCTCCGATTTTCCAGGAACCTGGGTTGGCTATAAGTGCGTGGCGTTAGGCTCACGACCGGCAGGCAGTAGTTGGTTGTTTCCTGTTTTCCTGCCTGATGCGTCACAAAAAAAAAAAAAAATCCTCGCATTGTCTCTCACTTTTCCTATCGGGTGATCAGGTCCCCTAAGTTTTCTGTTTCTGTTTTGTTCCTTCTCTAGATCCTTTCCGAAACACGCGAAGCGGGGTTGAAAAGCAAAGTTGGGAATGCCTTGAGCGGGCTAATCTCAAAAAATTCCAATGAGCCCACAGATGGTGAGACAACGGAGTAAGGAGTTAGCTCACCTGGCCGGCAAGCTGTTCCATTTCCTCGGGTACGCTGTTTGAAGCATCAAGCTTGCCCTGCATCTCTTGACTATGGATGAGGGGAGTCTTTCTTAAGAATGTCGCAAATGCTACGTCTTCTTGGGGGATAAATGTATTACCGCCTCTTCGCGGGACTTGGAGATATGCTGTAACACTACGGATGCATTTGACAATTTATTGCGAAGGCCAATCAACCCACGCGACGGACAACAGATACCAGAGCCCATCTTCATAGATTGTGATATCAAATCTAAGCGGCCGGGTATTTTCTCATTGGAAGAAACCCATCCAAGAAATGCCGAGCCCTCCATTTCACGTATGGGCCACATACCTGGGTGGAATGGCTATCGCCAATATCGCCCATGTCCGCTGGGAGTCACCTGGGAACTTGGATCCCGTCTTTTGCATGCCGTCACCCGTGCATGTCTAGAGCTCCATTTTGTTATTTTCCTCGTTGGCGAATATTTAGGTGTCTGCATGTACCCAGCAGGAGGAGTTGGGATTAAACCCATCATCTCGTGTGTAAGAAATACAACCAGAAAAGACGCAGAGATCTTTAGCTTTTTCAACTTGCAAATATGATGCTCCTCATCCCAGGCCATTTCGCCCTTCATCAACCCCTACTGCCGATATGTAGTATTCTATTAGTATTCTATACTCACCATGTATGAAGGAGTAGACTACAGCTTCGATATTCTGTCTATCTAATCCCAAGTAACATCAATTGATCCTCCCCGCACCCGCCCCCGACTAGGATCGTCTGCTATCCTCACTTATTTCCGGGTAGATACTCGCAGTAATATTTCGGGCGGGGAATAATAACCGGCAATAACTGCCCTGCCTGCTTTTTGCCTCCTTGTTTCTGATTCTCATCTCATCTGATCTCATGGAGGGGCGGAATGCTCAGGTTAATACTTGACACTTGACTTTTCCGTTCTCCACTTCTTGGGGGATTTTTGCCTGAGAAACAAAGAACAAGGGACAAACAGTTTCATGAGATGAGACGGTTTGCAGGGATGACAGTTCGTTCCCGGGTTTAAACAAGACAGGGAAAAAAGGGAATTCAATAACAGCTGTTACTGATTCTTTCTCGCCGACTCAATGTCGCAGCCCGGATAGCTCTCCACCAATGAGACCTCCGTCGGGTCTTGTCCAGCGTCCCATCGCGACCTGCACTCCTCGAGCCAGGCCCCTTCCCCTCTTGCGCTCTTTTATCAGATCAGATCTGATGGTCTGGCGTCCAACCATAACGCTGAGAGCCGCCAAGTTTATTAAGCAGAAAACAACGACACTGTCTTGGAAGCGGGTGTAGGAACATTTGATTCTCTCTCTCTCTCGCCTGGTGTAAGTGATCGAGGTAGCCACAAAAATTTGAAACAGAGGGTTTGATATCAGCTGTCATTTAGTGTCGGTGAGGCGATTTTGTGGTGCTGAGAGATACCACGGAGCTGCGGGCCTCTCGTTGTGCCCTAGATGCGGGGTTCAGCTAGTTTCGGAAGGGAGTCCTTTCCGTGGACTGTCTCTCGGTTGTTGAACGTCAGTCGGGTTGGTGTTTACTTCGTAGGGGAATCAGCGTTTGAAGGCCCTGGGGGTGTTTCCTCTCAGCACCGCTTGTTTGGTCGAGATGGAGAGGGGCGTAAGACCCTAGACCTTTCAGGGACATCTGTATACTGAACTATCTGTCGATACTCATCGCACATCCGGAGATTCCTGACCTTAATGGCGGCATCTGGATCGTCCCCCGCGGGCATGTCGTCCTGCACTATCCGATAATCCGCAGCAGCCGCACCATGTCATCTCCTACTCCCCAAACGGCCGACATGCAGTCAGTTGCAAAGGAGCGGAGCGGGTCTCCGTCGCAGACTGATGATTTGGACCCTGAAGGACATTTACGCATTGGAATGATCCCTCTAACTCGAATTAAGTACACCTGAAACCCAGAGATATGGTTTTTTAACGGGCCCAAGGGCAGAAACTGTCTTTCGGGAGCCCCAGTCTTCAGGTTTCTCCCAACGGGCTGAAGGGCCGAGTCGTCTGAACTTCCAGCGCTGGGCGAGTTAAGATCCTCACCTAGCTTGTTAAGATGGAGGGAGCCTGCGGAATCTCAAGGTCTCTTGATCTACGGAGTACTTCTTGCGGATAAGGGACGAACAAATAAGCGGAGACTCCAGCTCTGCGTAGGCTTCGTTGAATGTCGGAGATTCACTCAAGGCGCTCAAGCCCATGCCACGCCACAGGTATCCATGCATCTATCTACCCCCGCTGTCGCGCCCGGCCAGCCCATTTCCTCAGTAGAGTGAGCCAGCTCATACTGACTTTGAGTAAAGGAACGTGGGGGAGTCATGCCTTTTGAACTTAATGCTGCTCCCAGCTGTTGTGGCTCTTTGTATGCAGCCTCCCACTCAGCTTCGAGGCATCGTGAGTGACGATTTTATATGAAGGGGAGAGAGAGAGAGCTCCATCCTCCTCCAATGTCTCACGGGGTGGAAACATGCCATGTTTGGCATATATTGCCTCCTCCAGAGCTACTGTCGCGGGTTTGCTCTTTCCATTGTGATAAGTTCTATGAGTATCTTTCTTCCCAAGCTGCCTCAGTTCGGCGTGTTAACCGTCTCCGCCCGGATGGCATAACAGGACGGAGATTAGGAGATGTGAGAGGAATGAAAATCTTTGGGGTAACAGGTACTAGAAAAGAGTGTATGTAACCCTGATAGAAACTCTCAAGGCTTCCCTGTCGTTCTAGGCAGTTGATATGCACTGGAAGGATAAAGAAAAAAAAAAAAATCCAAGCTGTGCTTCCAAAAGACAACGCCACAAATTCAGGACGAAACGCGGTAGTCTGGAAGAATGGATTGGTCTTGAGTTACTATGTTAATATACGGAAACCCGTTGATTTTCTTGTTTTCCTTCCGATCGCACGGCGTCCGGGTATGTACCATTCCGTCACCCTGGACGGATCCACCAATATTGTCTCCTCTTCAGCAAGTATCCGTTTGTATAAATTGAATCCGAATCTTCCTGTTTCGTCATCTCCCTCGTGCTTGTTAGAAGAGGAGCGATTCTGTCAAGGCGTAACCGTGTCCGACGACGAATGAGTTCGGACAGGGGTTTGTCCCGAAAGCCTGATGTTCCGTCAATGCTGATGCTAACTCTGAGGCGAGAGTATGGATGGAGTACGTTTTGAAAGCATCTTAGACAGCTCCTTTAAAGCGGCGTTTTAGACCTTGTCGACTCCTGTTTTTAATGGATTGGTTTCTCAGAAACGACATGACATATTTCGGCTTATGTTTTAATCTTTGAGGATGGCGTATGGGACGTGGGTTGATAGAGGTCCCTAGACTGAAGAGCTAGGATCTTAAAGAAGATGTGAAAAGATCTCTACTTGATATGGCGTGAGAATAAAACAATGGCAATGGTTCGGTGAGTCACTGTTATCCAAAACCATCGTCGTCACTATCGGATCCAGGAGAATCGAAAGGCATCATCGTAATGACTCGGCAGGGAAAACAAAGGCAGGTGCCTGGGAAGTGCTTGGTGATGGACCAGTCACGCACCCGGGCCGGGTAGGCACCTGTCCTAATGCTGATACTGCGTGCCGTTAATACCGCCGGACTCCGTAGAAGTGTCGGTCATTAGTGGAATATCTAAGTGCCCTGCTTCCTCCCGGAGAAGCCGCTTGCCTACATGGGTTCATGACGCCCGCGATACTTCCCGCGAGCACGAGATTCTGGTAAGCGGGTGGTAGGGCCCGGGGTTCACATATTGACATATTCAGATGCCTCACCGAAAGTAGGAGAGTACAAATGAATTCTAAAGCGAAACCTTAATTTTCGAGACTAAGAGCCAGAGCTGGATGGACCTATGTACATATCCATACCCGCCCCGCCACAAGCTACATGTATGTATAACAAACACATCAAAGTTCGACGTCTATGTCAAATGATGGAAAGGTAGTAGTAGTAGTGAGACAAATTGGCTCTCCGTTACGAAGAGTCCTTGGAATCGGCCTTAGGGGGAACAAAGGGTTCTCCTTGGGACCGAAGGAGGGGGAAATCGGCAAGGACTTGCCTCGTCCTGAGGTGGACGGGTGTGGAGTTCTTGGGCTGGTCGGGAACGACCTTTTCAAGTTTCTGGGACGGGGTTAGCATTTCTTTCTTTTTCTTTGTTCTTTCGGTTGATTGAGGTGATTCCCGAGGCACATACAAGGTTCTCGTAGACGCATTTGTTCAACTTCCACTCCTCCGGGCGGCACTGCCAGAGCTGCTGATTTCCCTCCTCGAGACACATCCAATGCCTGCGGAACTCGTTCAGGCAGTGTGTGTTAATATCCTTAAGTCTAGTCATCCCAAGAAACCGTTAGCCTTTCGCATCGAATCAGGGCCCCGGCAAACCATCGCCCAACCCTGCGGGTCTGACATTGCCAATGAACGGCAAGCAGCGACCGGCATCGGAAAATACGGTGGAAAGGGATTCCATACACGCTAGCGGCACATCTGGTGACCCTTCGACCCTCCTTCAAGCACTCAAGCTCGCCACGGCCGGGCTTCTCGGTCTTGCACTGCATGTAGTCATCGTTGTAGTCGCGGCACCGGGCGCCGATGAAGAAAGCCGCCGAGAGAAGAGGGGCAGAGGTGGCGCCAATCTCCTTGACCGGGGGGATCGACGCGGGGAGAGGGGTGGTGTCGATGAGCACCTGCTGGTTGAACCTGCGAGGGAGATGGAAAGATTAGCCTTTTCGCTCACGGGGATTCGGGAGTCGGCTGGCCGGCGGTTGGGGGCGTCTGGGCGGGGAGAATGACGCCAATTGACATGTGGACCAGTCTCGCTAATTGGGGAAGGGCTTACTGAGTCTGTCGGGACGCCATGTTGACCGAGGGCTGCTGGGGTTGTCCTGAGGCTTTTCGGATTGGATTGATGAAGCTTTTGGATGATGTCGGGAACTTTGGAGGGTGAATATTGTATAAGCGACCTTTGATTGGTCGGATTCTATGAGGCTGCTTGGCAGTGTGAGAAGACTTCAATTTGAAAGAAAGACACTGTAGAGACGGGGCCGAATTTCGTGTGATAGCACAGTGCGTATTTCGTCACTTAAGCTCGACCATTCCCACAGTCAAGTGCAAGATGAGAGAAATTTCATGAATTATCAGAATATTTCTAGAAATTCATAGACGTTAATCAATTCGAAAGCCTATCTCATTTATAGAAGGTTTAACTTCTGAATTTCTTGGAGTGAGAGTTTGACTTTGACTGGGAGATCGTCGTCAAGGTGCAGCCCAGGCACGGGAAATTCGCACCAGTTCAGCCTTCCTCAAAATTCGCGTAGCTCTGGACCTGGAGCTCCCGACTGCCATCCACTCCAACCCAGACACCATCTTCCCCTCCATATCCCCTCCGACCGCGACGCCAACGACGTCTGTTTACATTTTCCAAATACTGGTCGGAGATATCCGAAGTCCAGTACATGAAGCTCTCCCCAAGCTAATCTAGTCGCTGCATCTCGGCGGCTCTTTCTCCACGACACGACCACGGCCATCAAAATAAACATCCCCCTCCACCCAACCCCTTCACACCTTCATCCACGATGTCGTCTATATTTGCGAGGCCCGCGGGCCAGTCGATATTTGGAGCGTCCCAGCAGCAGCAGCAACAACAACAGGCCGCCCCTGCGCAGGGTTCTATCTTTGGCCAGGCCGCCCCTCTGGCTGCCTCCGTCCAACAACCACAGCAGCAGGCGCCGCAGCTTCCCACTTTGGCTCAATCTCAAGCGCAATTGTCCAGCTCACTCTGGCAGCCGGTGAAGGAGACTCCCCGTATGTTTCGATCCATCCTCCCGCAGTCAAGCTCCCTCCACCCTAGGGATACTAACGGATATACGCGACAGTTCAAAAACCTTTAACCGAACAGATCCAGCAACTCATGGAAAAATGGGACCCCGCGAACCCCAACTGCGTGTTCAAGCACTACTTCTACAACAAAGTCGACGAGTCTAACATCCCCTTCTACAAGCCCTTACCTCACGAGAACCCCCGCGAATGGGAGGAGGCGCTACAGAAGAAACCCGCGCCGGGCTTCATCCCCGTCATGTGCGCCGGTTTTACGGGTCTATCCGATCGTCTAAAGACGCAGAAGCGAGCCGTTGCCGATCTTAACACGAGGCTACATCAGATTAACGGCGCTCTCGACGCGATTCTTTCCCGACACGATCTCCAGACTAGCGTTAGAGCGGCCGCTGCCAGGCGGCGTCACACGGTGCTGCAGGAGCGCTGTATAGGATTGGCTGCCAAGGTTCAGGTGCTGCGGAATCGGGGATATGCTCTAAGTGGAGATGAGGACCACCTCCGGCTTAAGCTTAAGGCTTTGGAGGCTTCGATTCAGGACCCTGCGCTGAGTGCCAAGGAGGAGGAGTTGTGGAGCAGGCTTATTGTCATTAGGGGATATGCCGAGCGCTTGACGCAGGAGATTAACAAGCCTGCATCGAGGGATGAGGAACAACTTGATGAAGAGACCGAAATCAAGGCTAAGAAGGTATGTTTCGTGATCCCTCAGCCAAGATGGAAAGTGTGCTAACTGGTTTATGCAGGTGCTGGAGGACTATGAGAAGCAGCTTCTTCACCTAAAGAAGGAGGTCGAGACGATCAAGAACGACTTTGAGCAGTGGGAGAAGGATCGCGACTCAACCTCGTGATGATGTACGGGACGGGGAATTCTGTGTTTAAACCGCACCAACCCCCTTAGAGTTTACTTATTGCGATGACTACAATTTCTTGCTCGAGGGGGAAGCACTACGCATTCTAATTAACCAACCGAGCGGATGACAGATATCACCACTTGAAAAGGCGTTTTCCGTGTGCGTTGAGTTATGTGTTAGAAAAAAAAGAGCTGGATGGTTTTAAATGATAACCGGACTTTTTTGTCCATCAACGCTATGTAATGTACATTATCGCCTCTATTGATTCCCCGTTGTAGCCGTGAACTATGTTCCTACATGCCAGTAATACACGAATTTCGAAGTTTAAGAAATGGTTGGTTCGTAAAGTGGATGGATTCGTTCCTTTGCCATTGGGCAGCCTATTAGATGCGGCTCCCTAGCGCTGGAGTACTTAAGCCGTCCATCGATATGGAGGTTTTGGGAGTCGCCGTTTGTAGCCAGGTCGTATTCTCGCCCCTCGAGTATATTCAACGACCGGATGGTTAGAACATCATCTTTACGGCATCGATGGCGTATGGAGCTAGGGAGAAGGAAAGAGGTTAGCTGTGCTGCCTGCAGCATGCGGCGTCCGCGATACAAGGTCCGATTTATCCACGTAGGAAATCATACATAGGTATAGGAAGACAGCGGCGGCGAGGGAGCGCTGGACGGTGAAGGAAGCCTCGGCCTCGAAGTGCTTCATCTCCTCCTCGGAGATCTGGGGGGGCGCAACTGCGAAAGAAAGAGCTGTCAGTCACTGGTTCTGTATCCCTCGGAGATTTCCTCTCTCCTCAGCATTTGTGAGTCATCACATACATCCTCCGAACATTTTGGCGGTAGTATTAGATTAGAAGGAGTTATCGGGGAATTGGGATCTCGGTATGCAGCGGTTCGCGATTGATAAAAAGTCGTGGTTGATATTCGCCTTGCTCTGGTTTTAGCTTGGAAAAATTTCAGCAAAGTGAACTACTTCTTCACAAACCCAAAAACCCGCGAGTGACGTACCTTGCATGGGAGTGGCAAGGTTCAGCCGAAGATAAACCGACGCTTGCCGCTGCATATTTTCATATGCGAACATATCGCGGAATTTGATATGATTTGTGCTGGCGAATTGTGACGATATCCAATATCCGGTACCCGGAATCAGCCGAGTCTACCCAGTACTTCGTTACACTACTTACACCATCGAAGTCCCCACATCACGCACAAAAAGCGGCAAGAGCACTGGACGCGGGCCTGGAACGAAGAGAAATCGGGGTCCACATCCGCTGGGAAGGGACAAGGAACAGCAGCGGAGATAAGAAGCTTTTTTGTAATGTATTCATCCTCAGGCGGTCTAGACCTTTTGCTAGCATTCAACGTCGGAGTAAATATGCTTGGAGTCATCTGCACTAGAAGAATCAATTGACTTCCAACGTTCCATCCCTCTTCTCCAGGAACCAGATCCAAACACAGAGCTTGGTTGTCTGGGCCCAGACGTCTCTTGTCCACCTTATTTTATCAATTGCTCTCTGTTTTCGCCCCAGTTCTCCAGCACGCATCATTACCCCGGATGGTGTTGTTGCGGTGGCCTTGAATTGATTCGTCTCGGGTGTGAGTAACTCGAGGTCTTGCGGGCCCTTTTTTTTTCTTGTTGAAACTCCCCACCACCCACTCGAAGTAAGCCGAGGTGATCCGATCTCGGGCTTCCTCAACGAGCAAAAACTCATTTTCTAAAGAGAAAGACCCTAGATATACGGCCACGTGCTTCTTCAGCACAATTCGGAGGAAGCTCATTGAAGCCGCCTCATCACTACAATGGCGATGCGACGATTGACATTGCGGCGATTGCCAAAGGCCCCGCGCCTCGCAACTTACACGACAAGGCTATGCCCTTCCCCGGTTCTGAGGTCCGCGGCGTACCTGTCGACGTCGACTCGCAATGGAGCCGCCGTCTTCACTGAGCGCGTGAGGCCGCTCATGGTAACTGAGTCGGATACGTTCCCCCGCAGGCACATTGGCCCGGATGATGGAGAGGCCGTGGAGATGCTCAAGGCGCTCTCCCCGCCTGCCCAGTCTTTTGATGAGTTCATCGCTCAGGTCATCCCCGCCAACATTCTGTCTACGTCTCGAGAGCTGCTCAACCAGGATTCTCAGGCCAAGAGCCGTCCTCTGGATGAACGAGATGTCGCCCGTCAGGCGATTGAGATGGCCGAGAGCAACGAGACTTTCACAAACTTCATTGGCGCTGGATACTCACCGACCATCACGCCCGGAGTCATTGCAAGGAACATTCTCCAGAACCCCGCTTGGTACACGAGTTACACGCCCTACCAGGCCGAGATCAGCCAGGGCCGTCTCGAGAGTCTTTTGAACTACCAGACTGTTGTGTCGGATCTTACTGGACTTCCCGTCGCAAACGCCAGTCTTCTTGACGAGGGTACCGCCGCCGGAGAGGCCATGACCATGTCGCTTCACGCCCTGCCCGCGTCTCGCCAGAAGCGTCCCGGCAAGACGTATGTCGTCTCCGACCGTGTCCATCCCCAGACCCTTGCTGTGATGAAGAGCCGAGCCGAGGGTTTCAAGCTGGATCTCAAGGTTGTAGATGTATCTTCGGCTGAGGCGCTCGAGACCATCAAGGCCCTGGGTCAGGATTTGGTTGGTGTTTTGGTCCAGTACCCCGACACGAGGGGCCACGTCCACGATTTCAAGAACCTCGCCGATGCCGTTCATGAGCAGGGCGCCCTTCTCAGCGCCGCTACCGACCTCCTCGCCCTCACGACCCTCGCGCCTCCTGGCGAGTGGGGTGCTGACATCGCCCTCGGCAGCGCCCAGCGCTTCGGTATTCCTCTAGGCTTTGGTGGTCCCCACGCTGCTTTCTTCTCGGTCCAGGAACACCTCAAGCGAAGGATGCCTGGACGATTGATTGGTATCTCGAAGGACCGCCTTGGAAACCCCGCCTTGAGGTTGGCTCTGCAAACCCGTGAGCAGCACATTAGGCGAGAAAAGGCGACGAGCAATGTGTGCACTGCTCAGGCGCTCCTCGCCAATATGAATGCCATGTACGCTATCTACCACGGTCCTGGCGGCCTCAAGGCGCAGGCCGAGAAGCTTACGACCTGGGCTCGTCTTGTACAGGCCGTAGCTGAATTCTACGGCATCGAGACCGAGAAGAGCTCGCTTGACCCGCAGGGCCGCGTCCTCTTCGACACCGTTGTGCTCAAGGCTGGCGAGCAAGCTCAGGCTATTCTTGAGAGGGCTCGCCAGGTGCGCTGTAACCTGCGAGACTTTGGCAATGGCGATGTCGGAATCAGTGTGAATGAGCAGCTGACGCCGCAGGATCTTCAAGTTCTCCTCGAGAAGGTCCTCAAGGAGTCTGCTACCAAGAACCAGTCCGTCTCCTATGAGGAGGCGTTCGAGCAGGCTGTCCAGGAGGTTGGCGAGTCCTCGTCAATCCAAATACCCTCTGTTGTCAAGCGTACCTCCGAATTCTTGACCCACCCCGTCTTCAACACCTATCACAGCGAGACCGAGCTCCTCCGTTACATCTACCACCTCGAATCCAAGGATCTGTCGCTTGTCCACTCTATGATTCCTCTAGGATCGTGCACGATGAAGCTTAACGGAACGACCGAGATGGAAATCATTACCCTCCCCGGATTTGCCAACCAGCATCCTTACAGCCCTGCCGAGCAGAACCGCGGCTACCAGCGTCTGATTGGCGAGTTGGAGGAGCAGCTGGCCACCATTACCGGTATGGACGGCACCTCCATTCAGCCCAACTCGGGCGCTCAGGGAGAATTCGCCGGTCTCCGCGTCATCCGAAAGTACCACGAGACGCAGCCCGGCCCCAAGCGTGACATCTGCCTTATCCCCGTCTCTGCCCACGGAACGAATCCCGCTTCGGCGGCCATGGCGGGAATGCGCGTGGTCCCCGTTAAGTGCAACGCCACCACTGGTAACCTAGATCTCGCGGATCTCGAGGCCAAGTGCAAGAAGCACGCCGAGGAACTCGGCGCCATGATGATCACTTACCCCAGCACGTACGGTGTGTTCGAGCCCGAAGTCAAGAAGGTCTGCGAGATTGTGCACCAGTACGGCGGTCTCGTGTACATGGACGGCGCCAACATGAATGCCCAGATTGGTCTCAGCTCGCCCGGCGAGATTGGTGCCGATGTCTGCCATCTCAACCTTCACAAGACCTTTTGTATTCCCCACGGTGGCGGTGGTCCCGGTGTTGGCCCAATCTGTGTTAAGAAACATCTTGTTCCTTTCCTGCCTGCCAAGTCTCCTCAGGCGGATCAGCCGATGGTTAGCAGCGCGCCCTATGGTAGCGCCAGCATTCTGCCCATCAGCTGGGCTTACAACAAGCTTATGGGTATGTCTCCTTCTCCTACCCTTCGCCGTCCCCCCTGCCCCCAATCCGCTAATACTAACTAAAATAATAGGCACCGACGGTCTTCGCAAGGCCACCAAGTTCACTCTCCTCAACGCCAACTACCTCCTCGCCCGCCTAAAGCCCCATTACAAGGTCCTTTACACCAACGAGCACGGCCGCTGCGCTCACGAGTTCATCCTCGACGCCCGGCCCTTCAAGGAATCCGCCGGCGTCGAGGCTATCGACATCGCCAAGCGTCTCCAAGATTTCGGCTTCCACGCCCCGACCATGAGCTGGCCCGTCGCCAACACACTCATGATCGAGCCGACGGAGAGCGAAAGCAAGGAGGAGCTCGACCGGTTCGTCGACGCGTTGGTGGCGATTAGGCAGGAGATTCGCGACGTCGAGGAGGGCAAGGTGCCGAGGGAGGGTAACGTTTTGAAGATGGCGCCGCATCCCATGTCGGATATCGTGGAGGGCGATGGACAAGGCAAGTGGGATAGGCCTTACTCGCGGGAGCAGGCTGCGTATCCTGTGGCGTGGCTTAAGGAGAAGAAGTTCTGGCCTAGCGTTGCCAGGGTGGATGATAGTGAGTTCAAACTTGTGAGATCATTTTTTCGGTGTGGATTGACCGACTGACTGCGTCTTAGCCTATGGCGATCTGAACCTCTTCTGCACTTGCCCTCCGGTCGAGGACACCACGAAACAGTAGACCCGACGTCCTTGTTTGAACTCACATAACCTCGACAAGAGAGCATGATGAGTCGCTTTTTGGAAATGATCTTGGCTTGATATTACGGCATATTCTTTCGTCAACCCATTCTGGACCGACACAGAATTCAACTTCCGGCGTCCCTGGGGCATTTTTACACTATTACTATCTGCTTTTCTGATTTCATCATCATTGGGTTTTGGTTTTTTTTGGGAAATGATTCTTTAGAAGAAAGAAGGGGAAAAATTATGGTCTTGGGAAACGATCGATCCATGCTTCAACCGGACATTCCTAGACCCTCGAAAACGGGGGATTCTTGTAGTTGATATTAAATAGAGGAAAATAAGATACAGATCCTCTACAGAATAGACTTCATCATATTTGATTACCAGAAGTGTGGTTCTCTCTTACCAAAAGAGCATGCGTGAAAAGAGGATGTGGTATCACAAACAAGACAAATTTTTATTCCCTTGGCCCTCTATTCTAATCAACCAAAGACATCTCATCCCGAAACAAACAAAACCTAAAAATCACGCCTCAAAAACAAGCACAACCGAATCATCACCCGCAGTAACGACCCTCTCCCCAGTCTCCCCCTGCACGAAACCCAAAACACCACCGCCCTCGCCATCTCCCCTGTGACCCTTCCACTCCTTGATCAAACCACCATCAGCACCCGCAGCACCGGCCGCGGAGCCACCTGCCCTAAGATCCCACCTCCTCACGACGCCGTCCATGCCGCACGAGGTGAGCTGCCACTGGCCCTTTACGAAGTCGACTTTCACGACGGCGTGTTCGCCGTGCGCGTGCTGGATGTGTCGCCGTACGGCGAAGCGTCTCGACGCGTCGAAGACGGCGATGCTTCCGTCGACGCTTCCCGCAGCAAGCAGGGTAGTTTGGGCAGCCGCGCCAGCAGCACCAGAAGACAGCGTAGAAAAGGCGAGGGTCTCGATGGTGTCCGTTTGTGTTTGGATGGATGCGAGGATCTGACCGCCGGCGGAAGATTCACCCCCGCCTGCCGCCCCTCTGGCTTTTTGTTTACCCCCCGCGCCTCCTGAGCGAGCTTGAGGTTGTTGCGAGAGGCGCGGAAGGCTGATGATGCGGATGGCGCCGCCCACGCCACCGACGGCTACGTACGCACCTTTGGGCTCGATGGCAAGGGAGTAGAACCCGCCCTCGACGGCGAAGCGCTGATCCGCACCCGTGAGGGACACGGCGGTGCCGTTGTCGCTACCTAGGCCCTTGGCGGCCACGAGGCCCCAGACGTCCCAGACGTAGAGGGTCACGTCCTCGGAGACGGTGACGAGGAGGGCGCCGTCGGGGGTCCATGCGCCTGCTGTGCAGGAGCCCGTGTGGAGGAAGTAGGACTGGGTGATCTGGAGGGGATTCGCGGAGTCGGAGGGGTCGATGGTGTATACCCAGACGGAACCGTCGACGGCGCCGAGGGCCACGGTGTTGGGGTATTCGGGCGAAGGGCAGGGAGCGATCCAATTCACCTCGGGAACCTCCTGCGTCTCGCCCAAAAGGGTAAATTTGCAGGGTCGGCCGGGCTTGACGTCCACGGCGTACGCGCGCAACTTTCCGTCCATGCCGCCCGAGACCAACACCTCGCCCTTGGGCAGAGTAAACGCCAACGCTGATATCGAATCCGTATGTCCATCAATCTCGAAAAGGGCTTCAAGGCCTGGGCGTTCGCCCGCGGTTGGATCGGAAGGATCAGCATTGTAGCTGGCAGGGAGGACGGGACGCTGTGGCGCGGCAGAGGTGTCGATGACGTAGCCCTTCCCGGGGGCATCGTCGTCTTCGCCCTCGGAGCCTCCCGTAGCGATGAGGGAAGGGTAGACGGGGTGCTGGGCGATGGCGAAGACGGAGTCCCTGTGGCGATCGAAGTAGGCGATGGAGTCGTTTTGGAGGATGAGTTCTTCGGCGTCGGAGTCGGCGTCGGAGTCCATGGCTACGTCGCCGTCGTCTTCGAGGGCGATTTCTTCGTCGACTTCATCTTGGGCGAGAATGGGGTCATCGTCGGGGTGGTTGGGGTCGTTGTCGCGGCTGGAGGACATGGTGGGTGGTTGTGGGAGGAGGTGAGATTTCGCGAAAAGGTGGGATGGATAGTTGATGGCGGGGTTGGAGTATGACGTCGAGATGTTCTGTGGGAGGAGGACTGAGCGACGCAGAAGCCCAACAGCGGTGATATATATTCTCCTAGTCCTCGGCTCTATACCGTAGGAGGTACGCACGAGGAAGGAGCGGTTGGAGAGTCGGGGCAATAAGTTGTTGCTTGGTAATCAGGACCGACGCTGAGGAAGGAACAATTGGAGGGAGGTAAATTTTCAGATTTGGAAGCAGCAATGCGGGGCATTAGAAATTCTTCAAAATTTTGGTGATGATATCTTTGGCGGGGTAGCAAATACAAATCAATTAGCACCAAGACTACGCTCGCATTTACTCGAAGCCACTAGGCCAGCTGGCGCATGTTCCGATGCACCAGAAACTCGAACATTGAGAGTACAACATAGATGCCGTCTATATCCAGAAACCCCCTCTGCTTATCACGAAATAAAAGAAATCCATGACAATCTGTGCCCTATCTGATATCTATCAACTGGGCCCCCATCTACTTGGGTCACCCAAACGTATCAGCCGTCTGCTTGGCTGAGAACTCTATGAGGCTCCAAACGTTCTCGTACTGCAAACATGGCGGAGCCATAAAAGTGATCAGCGGGCTTACCATGGCTCAAGCGGTGCGAGGAGATTTACCACGGCCCCGTGGCTGGTTTCCTCCGCCCAACGTATGGCCGTCGAGATTCTCTCTTCCGGATAGCTTGCGTCCTGCGTCGGCCGAGATGCTATTGCGATTCATCTCGTCGAGGAAAATTTCGAATTTGCTTATCGGCAGGGGAAGCGCATCTTCACGCGAGGCTATGGCAATGTGGAGCCTGTAATTGCTGGCTTGAGGAGAGAGCTTTTCGATGACATGTTTCAGCATTTCGAATAGATCAGCTCTGTCCCTCTCACTACATTGGTCCAACCCATCGATGAATAACCAGACCGAGTAGGTTTTTAAGATCTCACAGAGCGATGACTCGAAAGCATCCTGCAAATCTGTTAGATACCAATGCCAGCCCTCGCCAGCCCTCTCCGCAGCAGCATACTGGGTGCCAAAATCCGTGACGAAGTTACGCAGCATGCCAGGAAGCCGCGAAAGGATCTGGAAGAGAAGAGACCGGAGGAGTTCAAACGACTTCTTCTGAAGAGGGTTTCCCTGGTCTTGGAAGAAGAAGAATAAGGCGAAATCCAGCCCCTCTGGCAGCGAATCATTTCTTGACTGGTAGTTTAAGATGAAATCCATCAATGTTGACTTCCCCAGGCCGGCTTTCCCCTTGATCCAGAGCAAGGCTCGATCGCTGTCGGTCCAGTCCTTATATGCCTGGTGGTCAAGAATCCATTCACATGTCCCAGCTGACTCTATACCATCGGTTCTATTGTCGATCCCGGCGAACCACAGCTTGGCCAAGCAGTCAGATGTTAGATCAGAGAGTTCACGCCGAGGTAGCACTGATGTCAGTTCGTTTGGAGGTGCTGATATCTGTATGGAATGTTCGTCGTGCTGGGAACTTCCACCAGCAGCAATAATCTGAATGCCCGGTCTGGCATACACATTTTGAGCCCCAGAACTGAAGTTTCTTACAATAGTAAACCCAGCTTGCCCCACATCCTCAGCCTGGTCTCTGTGAAAGTGCATTGTGTTACCAATGATGCAGGCGATGTGCTGGGTACCTCCACCAGTATTAATATTCTGAATACCTGATCCAGTGTTCACATTTTGAGCTCCGGAACCGAAGTTTCTCACAATCGTAAACCTGTCTTGCCTCACATACCCAGCCTGGTCTCCAACAGGGGATGTTGCCTCCCTTGGGGATTGCGAAGTGCGGTTGGCCGCAGATCTTTCTCTAGATTGCTCCATTTTCGATTGTGTGCGTGCTCGCGTGGGAGGGAGGGATGAAAGCTGCAGTTGGCTTGTCCTCGGCTCACTTCTCCGTTATCGTCGACTTCTGTAGTTTCCCAGACTCTAAAGTAGGTGGAGTTGGCTGTGGTATGAATGGGGAAAGGGGTGTTTTCGTTTTTAATGAGTGTTGATGCTTTATAAGTGAGTTAGGATATTAATATAACCTCGATGTATGAGGTAGGTCGAAGCCAACCCTTATCCTTCCTTGCTAGCTATCTGGCCTATATATATATATATATATATATGATAGCTATTTCTAGGTAGTTTAATGTCTTCTTTAGCTGAATCATTCTATGGAAAGATATGGTTTTATCTTCCTGAGCTGCAGCTTTCTTCTCAACCTAAGTCTTTGCGCATCGATGTGGAAATAGGAACATGATTTATAACAACTCTCAAGCTACCATTCCATAGCTCTTTTGTGCTCTAGCTTCGTTATTGTTGGGTTATTCTCCCTTCTTTGGACGTTTCAGGGAGGCCAGGACAAGGAACCGCTTTGTGGCCTTATTTGCCTGGACTGTAAGAGTCTGAACTGTCATTGCTTATCCTTAAACCTCGCAATATACCTGTATCTTATTCTAAAAGTATTTTTTTCAGTATTCTGTAACATCAAGAATGGATCTACTATAAAGCTTACAAAAATAGCTTCCTTGTGATGAACATAGTCAAAGTAGGCTCAGGCGGCTACGGAGCGATAGTGAGGAAGCATGGCAGCTTTACACTATCTTGCCCAGTTGGTAGATTGGCCCTGATAATAGGATTATGGAATGAGATTGTATATATTACCGGTGCTACATTTCCTGTTTTGGTTTGGAATTTCGAAGTCTTGTTACGAACGATCATTCCATTCTCCTTGGGGATTGTATTCCTCGGCAAGGGCGTTGGCTTGCCTAGGAAGCTATAGAACACCTCACTACACGACTGACTGCTAACATATCTCTGACAGATCAACTTCATTCCCTATGACCGCTTCTTCATCCCCCATCTGGCTGCCAAGCTGTAGAGGAGGAAGGCACGGTACTAAAACGGACGATCTAGTCTTGGTATTGTGTCTTCAAATTGCCTTATTATTATTGGGAACCAACTTTCGGTGAGGCATTCTCATGATCATTTTCCAGCCGCATATCTAGTTAGTTCCAATGGGGTCTACGAACTTTGGTAACTTCTTTGTGGGTCGCAAGCTACGCGCCGCTGGGCAACTGGGCCTCTCTATAACGTGGGACTAATTCCTTGGGATCGTAGGACCTCTGCCGAGATTCCACCCTTCCTGTGTGCAATGTACGTTTATGATTCCCAAGGTGTGGCCATTTCCTGGGGACGACTGCTTGCAATATCACTGGCAGCGTGTTCTGTGCTTCGTTGCTAACAACTTCATCTTAAGGTCTTATCTATACATTACAATCAAACTGGGCCATGGGGAGGCTGTGAATTGAGCGGAATACCTTTACCTGGTGGTAGACGCTTGGGGGATATAGGTTGAATCGCCATTGACCCCATGTCAAGCTCAAGCGCCAATACCGACTGTTGTGAAGGCACTATATTGTTATGTGGAATCGCCATCGCCGCCTCCACACACTTATATAAACGTTCTTTTATGAGATCGGTGGCCTCCGGCCGTCAGTAATCGGCTTTCTCATTGATGGAAATGCAAATCTGTAGGTTGTTGTGCTGATTTGGAAACAGCGAGATGCGGCTCTTCTTAGTCGGCTACTCGCTCACTTCATTCTGCGAAATCTTTTCAGTGGGGATTGCCAGTAGGTAGTACTACCCGAATGGTAAGCAAAACTATGCTTGATATTTTTTCTCTTCTCTCTCTACTTGGAGATTGCCGGTCTGTATCTTGTCTCCTATGCTTACAGGCAAGCCAGTTGTTCACAAGTTTGCACCTTGGCTTCACCATTGCCATTTCCTGGGTCCTCCTCCTTAATTCTGTGGTCTGGTGACAGATCGCTAAGTGTATAACTTGTCTCTCGGTAAAAATCATGATTATTCCCTCTGCTCTCGTTCTTCTGATTATTACCGGCTATATAACCATGGACACTGGTTTCGGATGGTCGGGGTACGCACCGTGGGTGCAAAGTTAACAGCCCGCCGAACCGACACATGGCACTTTACATTTTATACCGGCTCGCGCCACTGGTATTCATCGTCACGTTTTACATCTTGAACGTGATTCTTGTTCTAGGTGTTCTACGGTGGATTGTACCCCTGTTGCCCCTATCCGGCACCGCGCTTCTCTTTGCGTTGGGTCAGGTTTTCAATTACACGATTAGCCCGCACATATGTAATGGCACTGCGGGAAGAATGGACGGGGCTCTATTCGAGACTCTGTTCACTTTCCTGGCTGTTATCCTGGTGTGGGTCTTTTGGTGCAGCATCACGGAGGTAGATCTCTCAACCCCCATTGATCACCTAGACGACATGGATCGGCGATTCAACACATCACCGACCACATCCTCGGAACGCATGGAGACACCACATGAGGTAGGAGACCATTTAACTTTAGGCCTGAATACAGAGAGGGGTGGCTAGGAAATGAAGGAAAACGCGACAGGACCTCGGTTGTATAATATTTGTTACACAGACGGAGGCATTTATGGATGGTAACAGTACATGACGTTCTCGATGCGTGTCCAGACATAAGAAAGATGAGATAGGAAACCCGTCCTTGTTTTCCTTTTTCATTCCAGTCAACGGGGCGCAGGTGGCTATGGTGGAAGGGCAAAGTGAAATGGCGCCTGGAAAGTGCCGCTGAACAGGGAGCCAGAGCCGTTGTTGTTAATCTGGGTTCCACTCCCCGAATGAATATTCTGGGGGCCGGTGCCGTAGTTGTAAACGCCTCCGATAGTAGCACCATTTCCCGGGCATGGAGGCGGTAATGGAGAATATGCAGCTTCTTCTGTCGACTCCGAGGGCTGCCCGGTGTTATTCCCGGTTAGGGCCTTGACGGTATAATTGCCGGTGAGGAGATCCACGTCATATCGTATCCCTCTCATGAGACGCTCAGCTGCCCTCTTCTTCCGAAGGGCCCGAATTGCTAGGCAACATCTCCCGAACCATGACGTCCCCTCTCGCGCGGCAACCTCCCTGAGGAGACACTCTAAATTTTCCGCTTTCTTCTTGCAAGCCTGTAGAGTAGGCATTACCACCGTCTCCATGTCATTGTCTTGCCTGTGTTCCGTCAGGCCCTCTTCAGCCGTGCGGAGCGTGTCTTGGATGAGTTTAATCCTCCCGGCCATGTCGCCGAGCACTGATGGAAGGCCGCTGTTTTTCTTACCGGCGTTGTGAACCCGGGCGCAAGCATCTAATAGGGTAAAAATCCCCGCGATGATGCCGACGATCTCTGCACCGGACATCGCTTGACCGGTGTAAGACCGATTAGAACGCGGCGAGCCTGGCGGGTTTCGTGGCAGAGGAGAAGTGATTTTCGTGGAGCTTTCGTTGTGAGGAAGAGTGGGAGAGAGTGATGATGGCTAGCGAGTCGGATTGAGATTACTGGTCTTAAGATTTGGTTAATCGGGTTGAGATATCAAGCTCTCTCGTCCAAGTCCAGCTTGAGCGAAAAGCAGACCTAGCTTGGTTCGAATTTTTGTCTTGTCTTGTCTTTCCTTTGTTTCCTGTTTCCTGTTTCCTCTTTTTTCCCCCTCCCTATCAAACACTCTCACCCAAGTCCAACTTGAGATGCTGGTTCGAACAAAGAACAGACTTAACTTGGCTCGATTTCTGTCTTGTCTTGTCTTCTCGTTGTTTCCTGTTTCTTTTCTTTCCCGTCATTCTCTTTGAAACGTCCTCACTACCCAACTCCATGTTTCGATGTTCCGCCAGGCCAATAGCCCTTGCCTTGCATGGCCTGGCAATGAGGCCAATACAATACAGATTGCCGTCGGTCTGCGTAACCGCCCTTCCAATGTGACATTTATGCGTGCAATCTGGGTATCGACTGAGGCATCAGCTTTAAATCAACGGGAGATAATTCTAGATTCTAGTCGGTGGCGCTACCTCACCCCCCGAGTCTCTGGAACATGGGGTCGTCAATCTATGAAGCAAGGAGCTGTTGCGATATTCGTCTAGTGCCTTCTCCTTCACTGTAACAGGACGTATGTCAACGCCGGAGGTTATCTTCATAGTTTAGGGGTAGTCGTCGTCGATATATATTTCCCGTGAAGAGCCATGCCACTCGCCTTCCAGAAGTAATCTCGTTACCCAACCATTGCCAAAATCAAACTCCATTAACAATCTCGTCATGGATGTCCCTGGAGTCGAATGCTACGAAATTGAGTCCATCGTCGGCCAGATAGGCGTTGAGCTCGATCTACTTCGGAAAATTTCAAACAAGCTTGGCGAAGGCGATGGCGACGGTCAAGGCCATCCGCCGCCAGCTTTTGGGGATGTCGCGAAACAGCTGCTCACCCTCATTGCGACTTTCAACGGCATGAAATCGAACCCTAACCTTCAACACGGATCTTCCCAATATATCCTCAATCCCCTCAAGTACTGCCAGAGCCAAGTTCTCTGCCTGCGCCGGCTATTTTCAAGCGTTGCCCACAAATCCGATGAGCCAGCGACCAGTCGATACGCCAAGGCTACCGCTCGAAATGGAGGGGGAGTCGAAGCTGTGACGATGGAGCTTCTCGAAGCTGTTATCGATATAGTACAGAACTTCGGCCATGCGACCAAAGCCCACATCAAAGAGCTGCAAAATGCCCTCGATGAAGTGCGGCAAATTCCCCCGTCACTTCCAAACCAGGCTCGAGGATCCTTCACGATAATCAACTATGGCTCGGGACCCCAGAACGTGAATTCCAGAGACGGGGTTCAATGTATCAACACTGGGCTAGGTCAGCAATGGATCCCAATATTTCAAGGGCCAGTTCACTTTGGCCCGCCAGCCCCTCCATCCACTGATTCTAAGGGGGGACGATGATCCATGATCAACCTGGTCCGGCCAGCGGGCCGCTTTCGTTTTTCTTGACAGCGCCTTGTTCAATGAACGAACACGAGACTCATAAGGTTGTGAGAATAAGAGTTGTTTTTAAAACCTCGGAATCCAAACACGCGTGCCGCTTTAGGATTAGTAGGTTGTCAATGTGATAGTAAACGTCTGGTGGGCTCCCCTCGTTCAATGCTCTCTACAACATCTGAAGGGTGAGTACGGGTACTTTGCTCATCCTGGTTCGTATGACCACAAGCCCGCGGAAGACCAAGAGATCATGAATTAGGTGGATAACAAGCTCGTTTTCATGCACCCCGAGCCCGTTTCGCTGGAGTCGGAGGTCAAAGACGTATGCCTCAGACGAGACATGTGGAAATCACGGTGTCTTGTTGCGTACCGCAGACAGCGCTCTGTTGACTGCACGTATCATCTTCTCCCTCGGCTTGAGAGGAATTCGGTAGTACGAAATGAGAACAGGACTACTTGAGAACCATTGCGACGGCCTGTCAAGTCGGTTCAGGAAAGCAGAAGGGATGAGAGCTGTGTAGAAGTAAAGGCTTCGTTCATCCGTTGCGGGAAGAGCCAGAACATGAACTTTAGCGTCCGTCACAGCCTGTTGGCCTATCGCGATATCGCCTGGCAATCGTGGAGGAATCGGCGGGGGCCCCGTAGGGGAAATGTATTCCACGTGTACCTCTGGAATAGCCCCGTTCGCCTTTGCGCCTGCGCTCTGTGTGCACCGCCGCTGTTGGGCTAAGGCGATCAGCACGGCGGCGATGTATGGGTCCTCTATCTCCTTGGTTGGTCGGAGACGCTGCTGGTGTTTCCACCGGAGATTATCGACCGGAAGATTCACTCTGTTGCAGCTTGAAATCCTAACTGACATATCACGGCGCGATCCCACAGCCTCAAGGTCCAGAAAAGCAAGAGTTGGTGGGTCGGCGGAGTCAGATGAGGAGTGGAAAATGCCGTCTGTTCGAAGAGCAGCAACCTTGCGACGATTGAAGCAGAAGGATAGGTCGAAGCTGACATGATGAAGGGGAATTAACAAAGCATTCAAATACAAAACACCTCAACCCGCCACTTACCCAATGCGTCGGATTTCGTAGTCGTTGAGGAGGTCATGAACTGCTAAAGTCTTAAATTTGTTCCAGTGTGAGTGAAGTAGGTGATCTGCCGCACGAATGGCCGGCTCGGTCGAGGAGGTCGCAGCGTCGCTCTGCTGCTGATGTCTAGGCGACACTATCTCACTACAGGAGCGGGTTTCCTTTGCGTTGCTGTATCTACATCTCCGTTCAGGAGCCGATTTGACCCCATTCTGTCTTCGTCGGGCTTTCTCGGGAACAAACTGGCAGCCTAGAAGCTCCAAATGGCGCATTTGCCAGTGTAATGGTGTGACATATAAACGGACTCGGGGATGTTGTCGGATGATGTTGTTGATCGATGACGAGGTTGGCAGAGCTACTTCCTGGGGCGTTGGTGATAAGCAGCTGGGCGAATCAAGTCGATACTGCCGCAGCCAAGGGCAAGGAAGCTCTTCTTCCGCCTTTCGTTTCGCGTTAGATTCAAAACCCATGGAAGACGAGGACATGCCTGTAGGGGGAGGGGGGAGATTGGGGGGGTGGTTATAAGACTACTATTTGGTTGATGGTCGTGTCGAAGGCCGCTTGGTTCGCGTGCACCGAGTACTCCTGAAATGAGATCAAAATTCGGATAAGTAAATATTATCGATTCCAAGTTTATGCGGGTGAATTATCTCCAGTTGATAAGTTATTCTTTTAACCGACACAGAGGGTCCATTAAAAGGCGTACCTGAATTTAGCGTCGAACACAACATCGTTCGGTTCAAGTTCAGGAGATATTATCGAATTGCGCAAGAAAGCATTTCCTCCCTCATCCACAGGAATTGAACCGAGGAAACCTAAGGGAGTGAAAAGGGATGAGTATGCATATTCCAGTGATCAGTTCCGGCCAGAATGTAGCCATTAGCCTGTCTACATGGGCGATGGATGGTGTTCACGAAGCTCCATCCCGTCAGGCAGGCGAAGAATAATAGTCTTTGGGTGCCGGTAGAATCCTGCCCAACATTTGATCATTGACGGTTTTTGCCTCCCAGGCGAGCATTTAATCCGAGTCTAGTTTCCTCATCGTGATGTCTCTATCGCCTGCCCCTTCGTTTAAAATTGTTTGACTAGATACACCTCGGTATATCTTTATTTCATTCATGATGGAATATAAGTTGTACTCTGCCCAGACCTCCGCGGATTTGAAGACTTTATCCACACAGCACGGAGACATACAAGTCATTTCGCAGCTAGATCCGAAAGAATTGAGGAGCCCTGCGAGTCGCTGGAATTTTCGTCATTTGATTACCTATCGACTTCTCCTCCGCGAAGAGGAGGCGGTCTTCCTACCAGTTCTCGAAGATGATCACGGCGACCGCTGTCCTTTGTGTAAACAGGACCAGTTCTCTTCCCACCAGAAGCTCAGCCATTCCTGGACTGAAAGTCTTATTGGAGAAAACCCGAGCCGCCTCTACACAAAGACTGAAGGCGAGCTCATGCAGTTACCAGATGGTTTCTTCTGGGTTGCACTTGCGCGGGCCGCTCGTGTAGACCCCGCTGAGGAGGAGAGAGTATACCCTCAACGTGAGAGGAAACAGGTGGATCGAAGGGGCTATGTCAGTTCCGCAACTGCGATTCAAGGGTCCTCTTCTCCAATCGACCACTATTCTTCGTCAGAATTTGATGCCGATATAAATAATGATGTCGATGAGGATGGGCATGAGGCTCGACGAAGCAAACCGGAAGAAGTCACCGTTCATCTCATCACTTGTTTCCTCCAACATGCACTGCACCTTTGTCTCCTGCAATACTCGGCTGGCGTGGTTGCCAATAGGGAGGTGCGGCCACGGGTGGAGCGCAAGTTGACCACTACTCACATTGCTGGAGGAAGTTTCGTTGCTGCTGAGGACGATGGAGGCATCTGCAGAATGCGTTGGCTTAGGGATGGCTGGGGTATCGAACATCCATACCTCGCTCTACTTGAAGCAAAGAGAGCTTTTAAATCTCTCTATTTCGATGAGAAAACGGAGAGATATATTCCTGTTGTTTCAAATGAGAGCTTAGCCCAATATTTGGGCGAGGCAGTCATAACGTGGAAAGAAAACCGGACGTTGCTACCAAACGAGTAATGCACTTGCACCCAATCAAGCCCATCCGGATGGCGCTAACTTATGCTCTTGATAGTATCTTCCTCATCGCAGCAACCAGTACCTTCGTACGCTTCATCCACTTCAGATTTGGCCGCGACTATCTAGAGTACCTAGATGCTAGGGGCGAGGCGGCGCAAAAGGAAATCGTCGAGGATGAAGAGAATGAAGCATTCGCCTATATGCGCAGCACGAGGTGGTTTAACCTCCAGTCGAGCGAAGGCAGACGAGCCGCGCTTTGCCATGTCCTAGCGTTATTAAGGTGGCATGATGCCCAAGTCTCGTCGCAGGGCGAGGACGATAGTGATTCCGCAAGCGATAGCGAGTATAGCCGCGAGTATTCCATCGAAGTTGGAGAGCGTGGAAATGATTGTATGGATATTGAGGAATAGTCTAAGTGACCATGTCCATTTCCCCTTTATGCCTTTTGAGGGGCATAGCAGCGGGAGTAAAAAGTCGCGTTATCCTGCACTCGCGACTCTCGATGTGCGGGACTGGATGCAGTTTATCATCGTCCCTATCGAACAAGGCAGAAAAAATCTGAGTCATTCTTGGATTAATATTTCTTAAGAAAAGAAGGAGAAAAGAAGGAGAATAGACATTAAAGAGTGTCCATCAAATACATTATCCATACATCGCCATCGACCAACACCGTCCATATCAGGGAAACGGATCGAAAAGCTCGAGATCCTCCCGTCCCGCAACGTACGAGATGCTCACCCCTTCTCATCCTTCACAACTTAGACTCAATTTCAAGCGCGAGAAGCAGAAAAAAGAAAAATTTTCAAAAAGATGGCCTAATTATATTCATTCTTCACCCTCCTAGAATCACGCGCCTTCGACTTCCTCCCCCACCTCTTATGACGAGGCGCCGCATCGTACGTGGCGCCACCGTAGGCCAAGCCATCATCGGCGGCACGCACGCGATTCTCCTTCTTCTTCCGGATGCCGGCGCAGAAGAGCAGGGTGGCGAGGAGGAGGGCCGTCCAGCCGGCCCAGGTCCAGGCGAATGCGTATGTGCCGATGTGTGCGTCGCGGCCGTTTCGGCGGAAGACGTCGCGGGCCTTGACGAAGGTGACACTAGCGTTCTTGTTAATAAATGGCCTGATAGAAAAAAATGTGTAGGGCGGATGGGGGGTTGGAGAACGTACGTCATGAGGACGGCGGCAATGGTCCAGAAGATCAGCGCGGTTAGCGCGGCGAGACTGGCGAGGAGCGAGCCGATGCGGCCGCAGCAGGCGAGGAAACTGGAGAGGAAGGCGAGCGTTGTGAAGAAGAGGGCGATGAGGAAGAAGACCCAGCCGAAGCGCCACATGTAAAAGTAGTAGCTCGAGGTGGTGTCGCCTCCGTGTGAGCTATATCCATCGTGTTAGTATTCCTCCAGACATCTTCGGCAGCTAGTGGAAAGAAACGAAGAAGATAGCAGATGGGAAAGACGGGGAAAAAAAATTATAACGAAAAAGATTAACACACCCCATCAACTCCTGGGGAACATTCTGCGCATTAGCATCCCAGGCCTTGCCAAACGGCGGCGCGGGCCTCGCCTTGCCGCAGTTGGCATTCTCCTCGCCGCACATGTAAAAGTAGGTCCAGCGGGTGACATCGCGGGCGCCGGTGATGCCGCTGGTGTCGGCCTGGAGGAAGTAGGTCTTGTTGAGGGGCGTGCTGTTGGTGACGCCGGAGAGGATGAGGAAGAAGAGGAAGAGGAGGGCGGTGGCGGTGAGGAGGAGACCAGCGAGGCCTAAGGGGGCGCCTTCGGGGGGAAATGGTTTGTTAGCTTTTATTATTTTTTATATTTTATTTTCTCTTTCGCCATTTCAATTTATCTTGTACAAAAGTCGAGTAGAGAGTTGGACATACGACGCATGGTTGCAGTGGTTTTGCGGGCTCTGGCTCTTGGATTTCGTATCACAGCTAGTTCAATCTCGCGACGGTTAGATTTCGCAGAGATGAGGGCGGTAACCGAGAAGCACTAGAGAGAAGAGAGAACAAAGAAAAGAGTGTCAGCCTCGTTTGGACATGTCGCGGTATAAGATCTGTCTTGTGGCATCGCGCCAGCAATTGCCTGACTCAGGATAGACCATGAGCTCATCCAACAGGGTCGAGCCAGGTGAGACAAGCCCTCGACCCAAAGCTTAAGGTGATCGCGAACGCCGAAACTTACCTTGAAAAAAGTGCGTGGCAGGGAAGGGGAAAGAAAAAGGTACGAGGGGATCAAGTGAGACAAAGGGTTCAGTCTCGTGTGCAGAGTTTCCTCCAAAGCTTGAGAAATTGGTTTGATAGAGGGGAGGAGGAAAACAAGGCGAATTATATCGAAGATCGAGGTCTCGGTTTAAGAGCTATAGAAAATGCAAAATTGACAGGGAAATGTACCAAGTAGGTGAAGGCAGCGTAAAAGCTAAGAAAAGCATTACGTATGAAGAGAATGCAGATATCGACCGAAGACGACTGTGGACAGAAGCGAGTATTCTTAAGGTTAGGTTGATGATGCAACAGTTCTCGTCGAGTCACCTTGTTGCATCTCGACAGAAAAGTCTCTGGGAGGGGTCAACGAGGAACATGGCGAACACGGGCCTAGAGTCTACGAGTACTAGTCGTCGGTACGCAGGGTCTGGTCTAACAGGGACACCGCGCGACTGGGCGATTGCACGACGTCCTCACGATAGTCTAAACTATTGAGACCATGATGTACTACAAGTGTGTTTGATGGGGTACATTACGACGATGACTGACGTGTGCCACGCATATCCGGGGCTTTGCTCTTTTCTCTATGTTATCGTCTACCAAGTATCCGCATTCCCAAGAAATCGACCCGTCGGAGTACACTACGGGGTACACAACTGCCAATAGGTCTGTCTGTTTCTTCGTAGTGGTGTGGTGAGGTAGAAATGGTGGCGTGTGGGTGGAGAGCAGGCGACTTGAAAAAACTCGGCACATGACGAAGGTGGCGGGAGACCAAGATCGATCGACATGGAGCTGGGAAGCGAAGAGCTGCGAGGATGCAGGATGTGGTTTAAAGTCCATGGGGCTAGCGATTGGCTAGGAACTCAAGAGAGCTATAGTCTCCTCCATGTCGTCTGGGTCGATACCAGAGTAAACTTTGCGTGTACGTGGCTGTGGCTGGACCTCTTCAAGTCGTCATCACTCTATTGATCCACCAATGGATCTAATCAGCCGAGTCACCGACCTTGTCATGTCTCAATGGGTTTCTTGACATCTTCTGCTTCCTTGCCGAATTGACGATAACTTTGCGGCAACAGAACTGGGGATTGAGTTCTGTCAAAAACCGGACAATTCCTGCGTTCGGTAGGTTGGGTGTACCCGACCTCTGGAGGGAAAAAAAACTAAATTGGAATAAAAAAATTAAAATAAAATAAAATAGAAAAAGAGAGAAAAAAAAGGATGTCCTCGAATGGTCCCTGAAGGGCAGGAAATAACGCCGGGCTCGAACATGCCCACATACCCACCCGCATGCCGGATACCGATTTCCATCAACAAGAGCCCCTCCACGAAACTCATCGGCCAGCCAGGCACACGACGCGAGCCACTGTCTCCCGCTGTCTTCTCCCAATGCTCCCCGTTTCTCTATGCCCGATTCCAGATGCTCGATGCTGGAACGGACTGAATGTAAACCAACTCCCTCCGACTCTTGAGAGAAGTACCGGTCTCCCCTCCCACCTTAGGGTCCAGGCCAAAAACTAGCAAGAATAAACTTTACGAGGCGAGAAGTCCCTTTTGGAGAAAAGGTAATATGGGATAGAGACAGAAATCAATTTGCCTAGCGCTTGGTAATGTGACTAAGCGCTAATCGCCAGCTCTTTGCATCTCCCATCCGCCCATGCCTCCAGAGCAGAGATAATCCAGGATCACCCAAGCTTCTCATCATTACCCCACATTTTCACCTCCCCACCACCACCACCATTACGATTGATCTCTCCGATCCAGCATCGCCGCGACCATTACACAACATTGAATCCTCACTCAGCAATTCCCCAAGATGACGTGTCCTCCTTTGCCCAGCCACTTCTCGTTCTTGCCCAGGGAAGCGCACTGCAAGCGCACATTGGCACACCTTCCCGCCAAACCGCGTGGTCATTTTCCCCACGACGCCGCGGCCCGCTCCTTCATCCTGGCTCTACAGACCTAATCGGCACGGCATTTCAAAACACGTAGATCCCCAGTGAGAATTGCCAAGAATTTACAAGTACATCCAATTGTCCACGATCTACTTCGTAGTGCTTGTCCAAAAGGAAGTGAAAAATAAAAATAAAAAAAGAAGAAGAAAAATGAAGGCAAAATAAAAATAAAATAATGATGTCATGTCCTTGATGTCAGGGTCCAACCTTGACCTGCCACCTGCTGTCACTTTCAAGTCTCGTCCCGCCGGCCCGAGCTACCTTTTTCGAACGTAATCCCAGTCCCAGAGAAAAACACCGTGTCGCCCTAGATCGCATTCCTACGCCGCACCACCTACCCCGAGCCGCACCTCCCACCCCGAGCCGCACCATTCCCGACGCCGAACCCCCCAACCCAGAAGAGGATTCCGACGCGGAGCTCCCAAGCTCCCCCCGAACCCCTTCCCGATGCGCGGCCCCTTCCCCCGCCGACCACTTCCCAAACCTCGGACGACAACCCCCCGCGCCCGCCGGCGCCACCTCCACATCCACCACGTCCACCTCCCAACCCAATGGCCAACCTACACCCCCTACCTCCTCGCCTCGTCCCTCCAAACCACCCTCGCAGCCCCTCACCACGCCCACAAAGCCTCACCCACAACAACACCCGCCCCCAACGCGATCCTGCTCTCCTTCACCCCAACGCCAACCTACACCCTCGGCCGCCGCCAACGCTCCCTGCCCGCCTCCCAGCTCACGACCCTCTCGGCGCCTCTCTCCGTCCACGATCCCTTCCTCTCTCCTGCTAAACAACGACAGCCTTTGCTCTTCACCCCCGAAATCCACCATTCCCTCCGCGGCGGCCTAACCACCTACCACGGCCCCGGCCAACTCGTCCTCTGGCCCATCATCGACCTCCGCTCCCCCCACCACCAGCACCTCTCCGTCCGCGCATACGCCTCCCTCCTCGAAGATACAACCGCCTCCGTGCTCCGCGAACGGTTCGGCATATCCACCTTCCGCGACGAGGAAAACCCCGGAGTGTGGGTTCGCGGAAATACGCGTCAGGGACCGCCCGATCGCAAGATTGCCGCATTGGGCATCCATCTGAGGAGGCATATCACTACCCTGGGATTGGCGCTTAATATTACCGTGCCTACGAGCGGGGACGCGGGGGTTAATCCCTGGGCGCGGTTTACGCCTTGCGGGATTCCGGATCGGGATGTGACGAGCGTTGCGGCGGAGATTGGGGCTGATTTAAGTCCTGACGCGACGGAGGATGTGAGGAGGGAGCTGGATCTGGAAGTTATTGCGGGGGCGTGGTGTGCCGAGTTTAAGAGGAGGTTAGAGGCGGGAGGATGATGGCATCTCCCCAACGTCTGATAGATCGTGGATGACTTATATCTTTTCCTTCGTCTATATACGGACACCTTGTACGAATACGTGTAAATCTCAATGATAGACCTCACGGAATGGGAGACAGCCGAGTGGAGATGGAATTAAATCATAGAATAAAGCGTAATCCCTATTAATTCCCTTCAAAAATCGTGGACTGCCTTTTGTCCACTTCAACCCAGGAAAAAAACGAGAGGCATGAAAAAGAAGAACAAAGAAAACAAGAAAAGGGAAAAAGGTATCGATGTAAACTCCTCAGCGACCTCGAATGAGTGAAAAGAAGGTCGGAGGTGGTAGAAAAAAGATGTGACGATAGTGGGAGCGAAAAACGCCGGTGCTATGAATCCGTCTGTCCTGGCGTTAAAACCGAAAACCAGGTGGTATTTCCTCGTGAAGAAACGAAAAGAAAGAGCACAAACCAGCAAGAGGCCGTAATGTGATCTGATATCAAAAAAATGGCAAAAGAACAGGAAAAAAAAGAACATTCAGATAGCCGCCATCATTTACCCTTTGAAACCCCCCCCCTTTTGCGATGTCCAACATTAGAGAAAAATCCCAAGGCAACGAGGCAGGCACCAAAGTCGAGTCCAAGGCAAAAGAAGCAAGTAGGGAGTTGAAAAAAGTAAGACGTCCCCTCACATATCATTTCATGTTCTGTCTTCCCGTTAAGGAGGAAAAAAAGAAAGAAAATTGAAGAAAAGGAAGACAGAAAGAAGTAAGAAAAGAAAGGATAACGTACATCATCATCATACCCTCCGAAGCCAATCAATACATGTGGTATCCCTTTGAGACATAAAAAGCAATTCCCAGAGTTTTGCTCCCCATCCCCACGCCGGTGTTTTTTAGGAGCCCAACGATCGAGGTAAAAGGGAAAAGAAATGACGGGGTTATGCAGCTAGATATGGGCAGTAACTCCGCATGAAAAGAAAAAGGGAACGAAATAAAATGCAGAAAAAGAGTGCCTTCGGTTGCTCGGACACTACCAAATCAGCATTGTCACCAGCTTTGATCCACACCAGCAGCACCCTGCATTTTTCGCCTACAAAGGTTCCCTAGGTGGCCTAAAACCACGGGTCAATCATGCCTATGCCGCGACTTCTTAGCTCTCCCTCCACTTCCACCACTTCTCTCTAAACAGTCGTCGTCTGGAGTCCATTCTTCGGGGTGGAAGTCGGGGTTATTGTAATGTGCTTTGTTATAATGGCTGTTTTTGAACATGGCCGTGGTGAAATTCGGCTCGGGAAACGTCGAGTTTTCAAGCTTGTAGTACTCCTGGCTGAATCGTAAATGATACGTCGTTTGAGGGCTCGGAACCGACGTGTGAGGAGGCGCAAGCGAGCCGGATACGTGGGAGGGTCGCGAGGGAAGTGGCGCAGGCTCGACGGGTGGCGCGCTGGGGGGTACTGGTGCCTGCCGGGGAGGAACCGTATGTGAGGGCACGGTGGCAGTGAACGCAGCGGGCGGCGGCATCCATTGGGGCTGCGGTGGGACCGGCACGAAACTGCCGGCCATGGTCGGTGCTAACGACTGAGAATCGAGCGGCGCCATCGAGGTTGCGGCATACGAGAAACCAGGGAGTACAGCCAGCGATTCAAAGTCGACGGACGAGAAAGTGTCGAGGCGTTGGTGCGCATCGATTCCTTGATGAGTAAAGGACATGGCTCGGTTGATTTGAATGTTGATCGGGGTCCTGTAGAGGAGATCGTAATGGTCCGGGCGATAGAGGAGGTAAATCACAGAGCCAAGCGAGGGATCCTGACTCTCCACACCATCGGGGAATCGGTAGATGTTGACCTGGCTTCCCGGGCTCCGGTCAAGGTAGGCAATTTCGAGAACGAAGTTGATGGGCTTCAGGAGAACGTTGACGAGGAGGGTAATGCCCAAATGCTCAATCTCACGATCCACCCTCTCAATGACTTCGGAACAATAGCCGGTTACGCCAAGGCCCTCAGGGATAAACGGCTCGTAAGGGGCGGGATACGTTTTCAGACAGGAGCAGGCAAGGAGTCTGAGGTGGTAGATGATGGCGTTGGAGCAATCCCTGTCGTTGAACCGATCCGTCAGGATAGCCATGGCCGCGTTCGGATCCACCATGTGAGCCGCAATATCCTTGAGAAGACGTATCGTCTCCTCGACCATGTCCTCGAACAGAAACCTGTCATAGCCGACGGATATTAGCACTTGGTTGAGACTTGTTATCCTGGCGACTTCAGCCTCGACATCATTCCGATCGCCGTTCTGTATTAGGGTTTCGAAATAGCCGAATCCAATCGCTAGTAAGAGTTGTCAGTTACGTTTTGTCCACCAAGTAAGCAAGATATGAGAGAGTAAGGCCAGTATGATCTATTCGGCTCGACGGGAAGCCACGAGACAGCCAACAAATCCTCGACTCGCAACTCTGATGGGGAGTCGATCCGACGAAGAGGTGTGCCGAAGTAGCCTTAGAGAGCTACGCAGAGGGTGTATTGAAGATGTCATAGCGAAAAACTCACCTCGCCACCCACAATTGCCATCACCTTGGATGGGACGATAATGCGAATACATGTTTGGGAGCGCCTAGGTAGGGGAGAAAAAAAAAAGAAGCAAATTAGTATACTCTTTCATTGAAAGGATCAAATCAACAAGGGACCAAGTATTTACCGAAGTCTTCTCCACGTAAACAGGATCTGCTTTCGCATATTCATTGGAGATTGCTGTGCTTAAAGTCTTCTCACCAACAAGTGGTCCCTATGAAAGAGTTGTTAGTGATGGTTCACTTAATTGATGAGCTTTGAAGTGCTGAAAATTTGTGAAAACATAAGATGAGAAGTCGCGACCAAGCGCATCTGCTACCTGCAGCTAATTCTCTCGAACACCAAAGCACACAAATTGGGAATAAAAATACGAAGATTGGTATGAATGTAGCAAAGGGGAATGCATCGTGAAAAAAAGAAGAAAAGAAAAAAGACCGGGGCAGACTTACTTCTAACCGAGGATGGTATTCTCGAGCTGCAGCCTCTTGCGCGGCAAGCTCGTCCTGGAGGATTTGGTTCTGGTCCATTTTGGAAGTGGTTGAACCGAAAGGCGAGGGGACGGAATGAGATGCGGGGCTAAGGTGACCATGCGAAGACGCGACAGGAGAAACCGAGGCCGAAGTGGAAGCGTGAGGAGAGTTGGAATAGAGTAATGATTGGGGAGTAGAATGGGAGAGATGGCTATGGGCGTGAGGGTTGTGGGAGGCGCGGGCGTGCCCGTGAGGATGAGGATGAGGGTGGCCTTGAGGATGTGTGTGGTGGTGAGCGGAGAGAGGGTGGGAAAGAGGAGGTTGTTGCGAGTGGCTGCGGCCGGCGTTGGTGTTGGCGTTGACACTGGCGTTGCCGGTAGCAGAGCCCGCGTGGGAGTGTCCAGACACTGAGTCTGGAGACACGGAACCAGCACTGGCCCCCTGTAGGCTCTGCAGCGTCAGAGGGAAGGAGAAATCCGCGACTCCACCATACGAGTTGAAGTACGAAGCAGCGAACGGCGTCGGCTGCGGTTGAAACATTTCCGCTTCGATTTTCTTCTTTGTTTCTGTTTTGTTTTTGTTTTTTTTCTTCTTCTTGTGTTTCTCTTCTTTTCTCCTCTCTTTTTACCTTCCTTTCCTTTTCTTCCTTTCCTTTTTCTCTCTCCTTTGTCCGGAGGCCGGGAGGTGGTGGAATTGAAGGGAAAAAAAAGAAGAACGGATTTGGCAGGGAAGGTGCGTCAGAAAAAGGAAATATACGAGGCGGGGAAAAAGTCAACCGACACAGGACAGACGCGCTGCGCAACGGATGGCTGCAGTCGCCGGTCCAGAGACGGGAAGGAAAAAAGAAAACGAGACTCCCCTGGCGACAATCGATGTGCAAATGCGATCGGAGCACTGGCGGGAAGCTGTAGCCGAATTTACTGTCCGAGGCAAATACAGCGCGCAGAGATAGATGGTTGCAAGTGCAGACAATGAATGGCACGGAAACCGAGCTGCCCCTTCTGGCACTGGTACTGGCACCGGGTTTAGATCTGGGTTATGGACAGGGACAATGTCCGAGCGGCTGAGGATATCGATGTCGAGATGTGGGCCGGATTGCTCATTTGACTCGCCGAGACGATACCTCCTACGGCGTCCTTTATTTTCCCCTTCCACGGATTTCTCTCCCGGTCGAATTTGATGGTTTAGGACTGGATCGTCTCCGCTCTGGTAAGCTGGTAAGCGATCAACAAGATGCTGCAATCGTGCACAATTGCTATTGTCCGGAGCTTCGAAATGTCTCCACCGGTTGGCGATTCGGGCAACGGGGTCTCCTCGTGGTCGATCTGTACAGCAAGCGCGAAGGTTTCGTCGAGAGGCGTGACTTGAAGCTAGCTCGAAGAAAACGTGGCTCCTTCCGAAACTCGTGTAGGTATCGCGGTTGCGCTTTCCAAGTTGGAGTCGGCTAGACTAGGCTGTCTGTCGTTCGGGCAGGTGCGACTCCTTCACAAGCAATTTGACGGCTCAAAGCTCGGTTACTTTACCCACAAGTTCCTTGTACTCGTAATTGTAAGCGCCGAAAGCTCCCACGGTATCCCCTTCCTTTTCTTTTTCCAGGTATAAATTCCACCTAAAGCTCAGAAAATCGACTCCAGAACAGCTATTATTCGAAGTGTATTTATGTGCGATCGACGGGATTTTTCGTCGGGTGTTGGCTGTGAGCTGGGGATCCGAAATTCTCAATTGTGCTTCGGATTGGCCGACGGGCGATGGGCGTGTGTGTGTAGGTGAGTGTGTAGGTGAGTGTAGGTCTGGCCTGGCGGGTTGGTCGGCAAACCGGAAGAGCACGGGATTCGGAAGCAGGCAGGGATTCAATACGTGCGCAGTATTAAGAGCAACACAGGATTTTGGACAGCGAGAGAATGTCGAGACACGACGACCAGCGAAAAGCGAGGATTCGCAATAAAAACAATAGAAAGAGGGTGAGAGAAGGCAGATGAAAAGGAAGTCGAGAAAAATGGATGAACTCTTTTCGAGGTAGCAGTGGGTGAGAGAGGAAGAGGGAGCGAGAGAGAGGGAAAAGAGACAAGAGAGAAGACGGTCAGAGGCGGGAATGCAGGAAAGACGCAGAATTTTGTGGGAGTAATAACAGAAAAAAAATACGGCCTGCAGGGAAGAGCACGCACGCACGGGAAGAAGAGGGAGTGTGGCTACAGGGGACAAGGTTATATGAAATCGTGCCGGACGCGGCGAGACGGATGGTCTGGTAGTGTACTTCGTACATCAATCAATTCGACAATCAATTCGACAGGGACACAGGCCGCAGAAGCGTCAGTTCTCCTCTTCCTCGCACTTGTATGAATCCAGCGAGTGGAGAGTGTACATAAACTACACCAGACTACATACATTGATACTTGCTTCGTATGTTGAAGGGGACATTGGACTGGGCCGGACTGGACTGGACCTGGTCGGTTTCTACTTCCTAGTGTCTTGAGGCCATCGTCCTCGCACAGAAGAATCACGCCTGTAACCTCTGGCATCCAGCTGGGGTGACACTTGAGACCAGGTCTGTTCCTCCAATACAACCCCAGACCAGTGACCAGCGACCAGTACGGACGACGGACAGTCCCTAGGGACGATTTTCTTGGGGCGGACACTACGGGACCTTAAAGTGGAGGGCGGGGAAGGGAGGGGAAGGGAAGGAGGCAGGATCAATCAAATGAGGCATATCGATGCTGTAACTCCTCCAAGACGCACTAATAATAACAGCGAGAGGAGTGTCAATGTAGTTGACAACAAGGAACATTGATTGATCTGTGGTATCGAGGTGTGGTACCCGCTAACGTCGACCTGGCTGGACCGGCCTGGGCTGGCGGGCCAGGGCTATAGGACCAGTATTATTGTTGCGACGGATTATTATTACATTGACATATTATTAGTAGATCACACCGACGACGTTATAGGATGAGGAGTGGGAAAACCCTTCCCGAGAGTGGCGAGAGAACGGAAAGAAAAAGGATCAGAATGGCCCATTGAATCAGAACACACGTTGCAAAACTCGATCGCTAGTGTTGAGCAGTGCGAGTGTTCTTTCTTAGCCCAATGAACAGGGCCAGGACCAAAAGGAATCTGATGATTGATCGCTTGACTCCGTCGCCTTCTTATTGTGGATCGTACAAGCTCACAGCCAAGCCGAAAGATCCAAGCTCGTACGACAGCGACGAGGGCGGGCGCCGTGGGCGTCATGGACGTATTTGTCATTGTTATATTTGATGTTGCCCATTGATGTCGGATTGAATTATGGTGGCCCGGCATTTAGCAATAACTATGCCCATTTATTCAAACTGAACGAATAAACAAGAATTCTGGAAAGTGATGTCAGGCTTATTATGCCAGCCAAATGTATAAGAGATCTCAGAGTAAGAGTATGCGGCCTCGTCTTGGGCACTACGAGTACTCCATCGATGACGGGCACGCGCAGGGACAAGGTGCCAAATCAATCAATACAAATGCATCGCAAACGCATCAATCCTTTGAGATGGGGCTCACGTTTTCGGTAGCAGGAGCGAGCGAAGCACATCGAGGATGCCAGGCAATGGGGGCATAAGACTCTCAAACAATGAACATGTAAACTAATAATACTTAGCCACTCCCGGCACAATAGTAATGGTTTCCTTTCACATGGAGCTGATGGATGCCATGCAGCCGAGCCAGGTCGTCCCTGATCAAAGGAAGCGTCCACAATTCGATCAACTCCACTTCCTTCACACCCATCTCCGTGCCGTAGCGAATGTGCGACCCACCAACAGGACGACGACGTGCAGCAGACTGGACACGCCATTAACACCGCTCTTAAATGTCCCGTCGCCGAGAAGTTGCACGAACAAGAGGGACTGGCATATTAATCCAATGCCCTGTTGAAATAGAGACTGGACCAGAGTCGAGTAGAAATGGGGTTCCCATGAAGCCTCTTCTTGTCCTTTGTAGTGGACTGACGACGACTCTTGACTCGGCGAGATGGCATTTGATCTTCTGCTTTCCCTATCAAGAACCAGATCGACAAGGTCCTTTTCTTGAGCTACACGGGACACATTGGCGGAAACAAATTACTACAAGCGAGATGGGTGTGCGTGCAGCTCGGTCCCGTCCGGCATGGAAAGCGAGAAAAGTTCCCCGTCATCAAGAAAGTAAAATAAAACACACGGAACATTTGAGAATTGGATACGAACGATGGTCCCTGCTTGTGGCTGCAATGTGCTCGGCGAGTGTCACGGTCGTCGACCCAAGAAAATGCCCAAAATCTCCAATTCCTTGACACATCCACACTAGTTTCGAGTTGAGTCTCCTTGTCTTTTTCCTCCTTGTTCTTCCGCGGGATCTACTGCTGAGGCAACCTGTTACTGTTTGGACTGTTTGGTACTGTTTCCGAACCATCTCCCAATCTCATCAACCCTTGTCTCGAAGGCTCTAAGCCTCCAACGCACGGGACCTGGATCTTGGCAAAAATGCCTCGACTTTCCTACACCACGCTCCACATTGCCTCGTGCACCATGTCTACGAAGTACGTAATTTGATGTGTTGGTCCAAGGTCTCGATAGCATCGCCAACTGGCGGATTGCTTCAAGTATATGATTATGGGGCACGCTAGAGGATATCATCGTCTTACTTTCTTACTTCGCCCGGTAGTGTTTGTGCACGAATCTGAGTAGGAAACAGAACGAGACTCGACATTGATCTATCCTCCTCCTCCCTCACACCCTAGAATAACCGGTTTGACCCATACGGGTCGGAGGGACCAGCCGCCTTGACATACCCGGTTCTTCCGCGGGGATCGCCAGACCCTCTCGTTCGATTACAAGCAATTCCCTTGTAATGTTAGTGCCCGTTTGACAAGCAACAAAACGGCACGGAACTTTGCAGTTAAAGCATCGGTGATTTTTTTTTTCTGCCTTGCTTTGGACTTGGGCATCACCCGTTGATCTTTTCAACTTTTGCCAATGCCAAGTTTGACTCTCCTCTCTAGCTCCTCGTTGCGGACGACGAAGTGTGTATTGCGAAGGGGTGGGTCCCATCTTTTGATGAGATCAGACGTTCTTTGACGCTTAGACTGAGGCCTTTCTAGTGTTCCCTTTCAGATCTCGCCTGTCACACTCGAATTGATATCGAGATCAGCAGTGACAGGACAAAAGTGTAGACTGATTTCTAATTCATTCAAAAATTGTCTTGACATTTGGAGAAAAGGGCATAGATCTCCGCCATTATATACCTCCAATGATATATAATATACGTCTGCATGTCAAACCAGACGCGCAATGCTCTGGAACGGATGCCGTCGATCACCCTTCCCTTCCCCCTTCATGTTCCCACAGAAGAGATACCACAAAAAAAGATCCCAACCACCGACTCTTCCCGCATGTTTGAAAGAAGGGGGTGCAAGGAGAAAAGAGTCCCAAAAACCAGTTCTGCTTCCCTTTTACCAGTACCATAGAACCTCATCAAAGGTGCCGCGACCGCCCGCCCGCCATCCGCCCGCTTCTCGGTCGCCCCAATCCTCAACAAAG